CTTCGTTTGACCCTACGACTCCTACAACCCTCCCACTCTCGCCGAAGGGCCATCGAAACTGTCTTCCCACAAGGAGGTCGCCTCGGCGAGTGAGACCTGGCATCAACGTCCTCCCTCAAGGGTGGGGTTGCAGGGCTTGGGGGTACACTGCCCCGAGTTACTTGAGGGTACTGAGTGTGGGCTTTCAGGGCTGACTCTCGAATCTCGAATAGCAGATCGTGCCCCTCTAGGACAAAATCCGAATGCTTGATGCAGCCCCCACCTGGCCGTCCACAACCGCCGCCTGCGCTCTGATCAGGGTTCAGAGTCTGGTGGAACGGGAAGCCACAGAAACTTGGAAGTTCAGAAGAGCCCTGAAGAAGTACTTGCCATAGTACAGGACCACAACATAGCAGCTAAAGTGCCTCCACACGGTCCAAGAGTGCACGATCGTACTTCACCCCATCAATGACTCCTGAGCTGATGACGGGTGTGCAGTTCTGACTTGGGATCTGGGACTTGTGTTGCTTGGAGGGCTAACAAAATGCGGCAATCCGCCAACGACAGCCAGCGGCACCTGGTGGATGCCAGCGCTGTGGACTTTGGTATATGGGTTATTGAAACGCCACGTGACACATGCAAGCCATTTCTAATCACTTTCTCACCGGCCGCCTTTTCCAATTTACCTTCCACTCGCAGGCGACACTCTTCACATCTTTTGCCCCTGCTTCGGCATCTGTGCCCCGTACCCTCCTCGACAGAGCCCCCCTGAACGTGGTGTTCGTTGAAATGCCATTGTGTTGACATTGTTAAGGAGTTTACGCATGCAAATGCCTGCCTCCTGCCTATACTTACTCGCTAAATAATTGATGCGCAGTGATATGCCCATGCTTGCACTACAGGAGTGGCCGGGTGTCCTTAAACAACTTCATCTCTCGAATCGTATGACACCCTGGGTCGTAGACTGGAAGTTGCACTTGAGAATGTGTTTTCGACTCGCAGATGCCGGGTTCAGAGACTGCTCGTCAAGAGTTCATGCAAAGGTGTGCCAGACCCAGCCGATGTTGTGTCAGGATTGGTTATTCTGCTTGGGGCTTAGCAGGGGAAGGGAGGCCTCAGGTGAGTCATGTGACATCGTTGGCAATATGCGACCGCTGACAACCTGACTTCTGCCAGGCCACTATAGGAGTCACCAGTTTTGGCCCGCTTCGCGGGACTTTCAGGGGGCATTGGCACGGTTCCCCTCCCACAGAGGCAGTGAAGCAAATCAGGTCTGGACGCCAGTGCAGACTTCTAGATTCTAGACTCTTTGTGGGGGCCATGTCGCCAGGGTGTGTCTGTGGGGTCTAAACGCTCAGCACTTGGCAGGGATGCCTGCTTCTTGTTGCGATGACTCATGTTCTCATCCTGAGAGCCACATGCATTTGCAGATCAGTTCTCGGCAGCCCTTGATGGACGAAGGCTGATCAGTAAGCCCCTAGGCCCGAAGCCTTAAGACCACTCCCCTTTTCTGTGAGGCGGGACGACTGCCAGCATGCTTTAGCATCTGGGCATTGTGCCGTCAGCTGCACCTGCAAACACCAACAGTGTGCCAAGTCTACCACAAATCTGCCATGTTTGCTTTAGCGCTGAAATTCATGCCGTAATTCCCAGTGCCCCGAGTCGTAGAGGTCTGAAAAGAACGAATCGAACGAATCAACAAAGTCCCGCCCGACCTCCTCACAAGAAGCTGCCAGTCCTGGGCAGGGCACTCCCCAGGTCCTTCAGATGAGACTCCGGCCTCCTTTAGTGCTGGGCTATGCTGCTTCACAGAGTGTTACCCCCACCCACACACACACACTCTTCCGATAATGCCCATTGCCTACAATACAGGCCTACAGCAATGCCTACCTCTGATCCGTTCAAAACCAAGCTATGCGTCTTGTTAACCACAGCTTTCTATGGAGGTCCTTCCTAGACCCCTAAGCGTGCGTAAGGCATTGTGTGGGTGCTTCAGACTAACTCCTATTTCTGAGGGCGGCGCAGAAAGAACAGCCTAGACTCAGAAGACGCACCTACTTATGAGCACGGGGAAGCTGGCGGCACAATAATCAAAAATCGGCGCGTGAAGCATGACGGTGGACAAGCTCGGGCGAGGGATGCGCGTCACGCAGATCGGGCTCAGGCCAGCACCGCAACACGGGTGCTTGCACTGCCTGCGGCACAGCTCATGCTCGCAAGGCTGTGGGGCAGGGGCATCTGTGATGCATCCTCAACAGTATCTTTTCAAATCCGCAGCTGAGATGCAGCTTGATGCAGCACACCCTGGCCATGGCTGGCTGGCAGCCTGACTGCACGAAAGGCAAAGCGCGTCTTTGTGTGTGTGGGTGCAGAAAACCAGAATCCTTTCATGGGACTCTACCTTGGACCTTAAGGTTGTACCTTTGGGGTTCGTCCTATTTGACGATCCTCTGAGGGAATGTAGGGTTTTTCGTTAAGCGGAACCTCTCAGGGATACATCCTTAGGGGTCTGAGTATGACTCCCTTGATCCTCCCAGCGCTTGGTCTTCGACAAGGCTAAGAGGGTCGGATCCGGCATGGACATCATGTCCAAGGGGAGGTACGGCCTCAAGCGTGAGGCTTCGCCAGAGGATCAAGGAGGTTCCAACCCCGAGCCAACAGGAAGCTAGGTGGCCAGCGGATCCACCTCAGCGATGGTCGAGTGAACAGGGTGATTGATTCGACTGCGCTGCCCGTGTCTTGAAGTCGCTGGAGGTTTGAGGGAGTACGCCCCCCTAAGTCTCACTAGGTCTCCCTGGGTCTCTCTGGGTCTCCCTGCACCAGTTGGCATCTTCAGCGCCAGCCCAAGCCTGAATCTCGAATGTTGAGGGTTTGGGCGGAGGGTCCTGTTTCGGAGCATAGTTAGGATTCAAGTTTGGGGCTTCAGCTGGCGTTCCTGCGGCCTGAGCCCCGGGCTGCCGCGCAAAGAACTCTAAGTCGTGGGCCTGGACCGGAGATGCCCTTCTTGTCACACTATGCTTTGTGCCGCGAAGGGTCGGACGCATGCACACACGAGCAGCGGTTGTAGATAGAGAAGTGCGGTATGCGTGAATTCTTCGTTTTGGTCTCAGACGCTCTTTACACAGGGGCTCCGGGCGTAGTGCGCCGTGTCGGCCGCATAGTGCCGCACCTTTCGCCGAGAATGAGTAGGGAAAGCAAACGCGAACGGACTTCCCCAACCCTCGATTTCGCTGCACTCTCGGCTTTGTGTTGCGGGTGCCCACACCGTGACAAGTGATTCTCAAAGTGAAGGGCCGCAAGAGTGGTCAATTGTAAAGGATCAACCTCTGAAAGCCCTCCTTCGCTCACTTCATTGAAGCAGCCTTAGGGTCCAGTTTCGGCGTGTGCATCATCTCCTCCGCTTCACCTCAACCGCGATCACGACAATGCGCAGAGCAACCCAATCCCCCGACCTTGACACGACAAAGCGTCGACAAGGTGACTCATAGCCGAAATACGCCGAACAATTTCGAACACCCTCAGGCCTAGCAACTGACCAAAATTAAACCATTCCAAACAAAACACAATTTCCGAACACTCTGTTCTTGGGCTCCTTGCGCCGAGTGAAGTAAAGGGTTCGAGTCAGTTCGGCGACCTGAAATCTCCACGGGCTTGGAGGGTTTCAGGGTTGCTTTACAGTTCACGGGCTTGTGAAATCTTGGGGTGTTTGGCTACTGTTTCTAGGACAAGCGTCACCGCACATGTTCAAGGGACATTGCAAGAGATGTTAAGATCTCCAGCATTCACAGCTCCTGCCCAACCATCCATGCGCAAGCACACATAAGCAGGGCCACAAGCATGATGAAAGCCAGTGGAGGAGCGCTCTTGTGTGAGGGCCTGGCCGGTCCAGTTATCTTGTTGTGGGGCACATCCACACCTCACCCAGAACAGAACCCCAAGTCCCGACTCCCCCGCCCCCCTTCTTCATTGGCTCAGGCTGTGGCTTACCTTTGAGCAACCGTACCTGACAAAGCCAAGCACTTGTGTTTACTGTTTCGGGTTGCGTCACTCTCCAAAAGCCAACTCACCACAAGTCCAGGCTTAGCGTGGCTGAGCTGGCGCACGGGACCCGATCAAACTCAGAGATGGCCTTGCAGTGCTTCACTGCTTCACTGCTTCACCCAATTCTAGAGGTTGAGGATTTCGGGTGTTAGGATTAAGGGCTGCGCGTACAATAACTTCGATTGTTTGGCATTCGTCTGGTTCGGAACTTGGAAAGGTTCAGGGTCTGGCTTCCGAATTTTGAGGTTCCTCTCTGTTAAAAGATTTAAGATTTCAGGCCAAGTGATGAACGATAGGGCTTAGGGCTGAAACCTCATCATTGGCGACAGAGCAGCTGCGTTTGGGCGATGATTTTACAGTGATATGACTAACAGGGCGGGACAAAAGCCTAGCTGCCTAGCTCATGCTGTTGGCAGCTACTGCCATCAGATGTTTGCAACCCACAGTGGCATGGTACCTGGGCGCCAATAGGGAAGGCAATCTCGCCGAGAACCTCCTTGCCTGGTCGAGCGCTGCTTGAAGATCATGATTTCACAAGTCTAGGATTGCAGCTGGCGCGCGCAATGGCTTCAAGGCTGCAGGCTGAACGCTGCCTCCAAGATGCCTAAACCCTGCACACTGCTGAGCTCGCGTCCCATACTTGCCACGTGTGATCACGGCTCCATTATCGCAAAGGGGCTGGTGGAACAAAATACTTCTGGGTAGGAGCCTGGGGTGCAGGGTTCTGGAGGTTTAGGCTTGACGTCGGGTTTTGTGGGATTGGAAACTGATGACTCGAGGCTTCGGGATTGGACACTGTGGCTCTGTCAGCTTGTGACGCATTGCACCTGACCTGTCAAGAGCAGCCGAGGCCCACCGCGGTGACGAGTAGAAACTCCGAGCTTGCATTCTGCGATGTGCAGTGACATGGACGCAACGGCTCTTCTTTCTCCTCCGCCCCCTTCGAACCGCAAGTTGCGAAGAACTTGGCTCAGCTGCGTTCAGCCGCGTGATATCAAGTATGCGCCCAGGAGGGTAAAGAAAGATCCCAGGAGCTTGCGAGTCGATGCTTTCTCTTTCATGAACACGGAGCAGAGGAGCAACGTGACGGGCGGATAGGACGCCGTTATGGCAGACACTGCGCCAGCATTGCCGTGCATCATTGCCCGAGTGTAGCACATGTTAGCCAGTGCTGAAGTAACTCCGCTAAGCAGCGCAGACAAAATGGCAAACTTGGGTCGGGACATGATGCCGGAGCCAAGGTGGCCAGGGTTGGGATCCCCCGAGGATGGCTTCAGAACGAGGGGCAACGTGAGAAAGAATCCCAGCTTCTCTAAGCCAGCCTCCTGCGCACCAGAAAGTCCGCGCACCATCGCCAGTTTTCCCAGAAAACCCCAGAACCCATAGAGAATCAAGCTTGTGAAACTGGTGGCCAGCCAATTGGAACTGAAAGGGGCCATGCTGCCGAGGAACTACCACTAAAGCTGAACGCTTGAGCCGCTGGCCCCATGGAATGAGAAGTTCTCATCAGTTTTTAACCTTCAGAAGGTTCAGGGATTGGTGATTTTGGGTTCTTTTGGAGATTCGTGTTCCGGGAGTGCAGCAAAACGCCAGGAGTCCTTCAAAGACTCACTAGGCGTTCGTGGGTTTCGGGCTTGGGCTCGTTCTCCAGCTAGGCCCCAGCTCGCACGGAGAAGAATACTTATCTGCCACACGTCCCCAGGCGAAACCCTCAACAGGGAAAGGCAAACTCAAGGGGATGTGGAAGTGAATCTCCAAAAGCTGACCCACTTGGAAACGTGGCCAAGACATCGCGAGACAATGCCCATAGCTCCCCCCGAGCAAACCACTCGAACCGGCAGTGACTTGGCAAACCTTGCTGGTTCAATCTGGGCAACTGGTGTGCGAAACTCTTAGAGCCGACAAGCCCAAAAGTCTAGAACAATTCTCCAAAAAACCCCAAACACTTCCTGAAACCGTTGACAAAAGCGCCACCTGACGCCTGACACTGCCAAACACGCCAAACAGCATATCCGCTTTCTCGCCGCGCTGGGCTCGCGGGCGGAGCTCTGTTGTGAATTGCTTTCAAGCAGCGCTTCTAAGCACTGTTTCTTCACGCGCCTTTGCTTTGGATGGCTTATGGCTGAGCATATTCGGGCTTTCGGCAACCGCAGGCTTGTAAGCAAAGCACACCTGCATGTCTTTAGGCTGACAAAGCGGGACAACTTGTGTCCCGTTATGTCCCTGGAGCATGTCAGGGAGATCTGGGAGTCTCGTCAGATCTCACGATAAGAGCACGCGGTCAGCATCTGAGAACCCTAGATCAAGCTAGGCCAAGCTCTCTAGGACACTATAGCTTGTAGAAGTAAAAGCATAATTATTAACACGAAACCAGGCGTAGGCATAGTCGCAGCCGTACACTTGGTTGCTCTCCAAGTGTCTGATGAATTCGACAGCGCTACCGACATGTGTTTCACGTCGCTATGGTCCTACCTGCCCTGGCAAGCAAAGATTCTCCTCTATGGGGAAGTGATTGCGGTGTTGAAGTTGGTTGAAGATTCCATCTACTATGATATACTCATATCAGGTATCACTCCAAGCCATTCAGAGCTGCAGAGAAGCGGCTCTTCAGCACATCGCAGACCTGAAGTACAAGCAGATTGATGCCGAAAGACACACACAGGCGCTTCACCCCATGACGGCAGGCACCAAGAACTTTCTGCGACAGCTTTCATGGTACTTGGCGCCTTCTCCAGATCTCCGGACTCTGCTAACTTTCCAGCGACCTTGTCGAACAAGGCCCCGTCGACACCTACAGCGACGAGACCTGACAAAAGCAGCCTTGAAGCACGTACCCTCCGTCCCATACCTATCAAGCGGTCAAGCGAGTCTCAGTCCCTGCAGATGCTCCAGCTTGTGCAGGCAGCATGAAGCGAAAACTGATCCGAACACTGCAAGCTCCTAAACCTGTCCGTCCCCGATCCCTGGGACTTGACGTCTGAAAATGTCAATGTGCACAGCACACCGCACCCATCCACACACGATAGAACGTTTGAAAACCTTCGAGCTTCGGATGCCCTGCCTCTCCGCATACCATCCAGCTTCTGACGTGGGTCTGGAGGGGCCTCAAACATGTGGCGTGAGTGGAAGACAGACAGGCCGGCGAGCTACAGTAGCAGCAGTACGTACTCTGATGCATTGAAAACCATTCGCTGTCCCAGAAGCCTGGGCCTAACCACGATTGTAGGCAGAAGGACGATCATTGCCATACCCAAAACCCTTGTAACCAGGATTGACACCAATCGCTGGGCATTTGTGCACTGGCAATGGCCACTACACATGCAAAGTTGTGCACCAAAAACTCGAGACCCTACAAATCCCTGAATCCTCAAGAAGCACAGATGTTCTGGGAGGCAGGCATCGGCGTCGAGCCGAACTGGCGCCTCACCCACCAGATGGCAGAGCTGAGGGCATAAGGTATAGGGTGTCCGGGTTCCAGAATTTGAGCTCTGGCCGCAAATTGTTTGACAGCTCTGAGAGTAGAGGCTATGGTGTAACCGATCAGAGAAGGAGCTGCTTAGAAAAATGTGGCGGTGTCTCCTGCGGACGAGACCAGACAGGTGGATTCTCTCAAAAGGATGCCGGTCCTCACCTTCCCAAACATTGGAAACTGGGGATTGTCAGGCCTTCTGGCATCTATACACCCATGAAACATCCCCACCCGCGGCACGCAGGCACGGCACGCAGGCACGGCACGCAGGCACGGCACGCAGGCACGGCACACACGGCACGTACAGCACACACACAGCAAGCGCGGCATGCACAGCACACACACACACACACACACACAGACACACACAGAGTCAGGGACCGAAACGCAGGGAACGAACGAACGAACGAAACTTGAGAGCGTAAACGCAGGTGTGTGTGTGTGTGCTCATAGTGTCGGGAGCGTCTCGGTGTGTAGGCGTGGCCGTGAGGGCTGGACACAGCGATGCGTTTTGCACATGTTACGTCGGGAGCCTAGATGAGCCTAGGCTCAAAGCCCAAAGGCACCCCCCCCGTTCCGTAAGCTTTCGAAGGGCCAATCATTCTGCATGGATATTCGTATCTTACTGAACCCTCACCCTCACGAAGCAGTTTTACTCCCCAACTTGAGCAGGCCGGGTGCCAGGCGCTATCATTACGGAGGTCGGTGCCGCCAAGGAAGCGCTGGCACAAGAGCGCGGAGCTTTTGAGGGGCTGGGCACTGAGAGTCAAGAGGTCGGGAGGTCAGAGTGTTGATTTAGCACAATTGGTTTTTTGATGTTTTGTGGAAGCCCCAGCCCCACATCAAGAGCTCTGTACACACGAGCTGTTTGCCGTCATGTCAGGGAGCCTTCACCTACGGAGGGTTCAAGTTGAAGGGACGATCGCGCTGAATCATTGGACCACCTTCTATTCGAACTGGTGTAAGGCGTAAGGCGTAGGGTTCAGCTTCGCCCTTGACCGGGCATATTGCAACAAACAAATTCGCATTGTCTCTTCAAGCCAAGCTACGCCCTTAAAGCATGCACCTCGCCTGCCCTTGAAGAAACCACGTTGGAACAAACCTGAGAACGGAAACTTCTGATCGCAATAGCCGGCTGAGAGGTTTCTCGGGCGTGAGCATGGTGATAATGTTCCTAAGCTTGATTTTGGCGGTAAAGGCTCTAAACCCCTCGTAAACCATACTATGGGGCCTAAACCGTAGGCGGAGACATGTAAGGCTTTTTCCGTCTCACAGCGCGTTGCGGTTCAGTCCAACTCTGCCCCCAGTTGGACCTCTCAACGACGGCTTTTGGAAGTGTGCTTCGTCCGAAGGAAAGACTTAACTAGAGAGAGACGCTTCATGAACTGTAGCAAAACATGGTCGGGGGTGTTTGGCCGACGTGTGCATACGGATTCAATGCCCTCATGATCGGGATGCAGCTCTGAGGGCTCGCATGTCTCCTTCCGTGCACTGGCTATATGGCCCAGTATGGCTATTTGGCCTCTCGCAACATTTCACTCGAAACACCTTGCCAGATCTACGGTCACAAGAGCTGAGCGGAGTGTTTGACACGGATGCTCACAAGAAACATTGGAGGAGCATGTTGTCTAACCTGAGCTTTCCGAAACCCAACCCCCAAACCCTTGGCCTCCATCCTGAACCAGCTCTTACTTCTAGACCCCAAACCACCAACCCGAAGCCCAAACCCCATAATTCATCATCAAGACCCATAATTCATCTCTTCAACAAACCCCCTCCTCGCAGCGCAAGCGCCGGCCCCAATGGCCGAGGTGCACCCTGAGGAGCGCAGCACGACACACAAAACGAGAGTCGGGCTCCGGGGGCAGCTGTGTGTCCATGATGGGGGATGTCCCCCCGCCCCCATTCGTGCCTCAAGAAGGCCTAACTGCCTAACTTGGGGCCAACATCTCATGGATCCAACAATGGCGAATGCTAAGGCATCGTTTTTGTTTCTTTGTGTTTCCGATGTCGACGAGCTCAGGATTAAGTGCACATCCGCCTTGAAGACTTTGCCAGGGGAACTGGAACGGGTGGAACTGGCTCGGCTGTCAAGTCGCCTGGGTGAATCATGTCAATGCGGCAGACAGCTACTGAAGCCCAAGAAGTCAGGACCCCTAAGCCACCCGATGGCCTTTCCAAGAGTAGCAGAGCACCCAACTAAGGTCGGGACAGGTGCTGCTCTCTGCAACCTCATGGCTCAACTTCAGTCCCCGGCACGCCACTTCTCTAACACAAAGCAGTGAGGGATGGAAACACCACATGGCACTTGCATTTCAAGCCCAGACTCCCTGACTCAAGCACCTCAAGCACCCCACAACCATCCAACACCCTAAGCCTAAAATCGCTTGCGGCCCTAGCGATGATTGGCACACTTGGGCCACTTGGGCGCCGCACATGCTGCGACGCGGGCGGCTCCTCAAATGGCGCCGTGGCGGCAGCCGGGAAATCGCGGAGGAACTGCCTGTTCAGCTCAAGGTTTGGAAGCCTTGACAAGGTGAAGCCTCGACTCCATGGAAGACGAAGCACGCTCACGGCCCGAACTTGTCAGGCTTTTTGGGGCGAGGGTTCGAGGGAGGTGAAGTAGCCCCATTCTTTCGTTCATTGTGCTGTGCATGTTGCGTTCCATATATAAAAGCGGGAACTCGGCGTGTCTGATGTACGTACAGTTCTTGCTATCGCGGTAGCCCTACTTGGTACATCTGCAAGCGACGTCAAGAAAATATCGAGCGCGCTTGCGTTGAACTCGCAGAGCCTTAGCTCAATAACTTCGTCAATAGCTATTTGAGTCTCAGGGCCGCAGAAAGAAACAAGCTAAACACCGAAGCCAGAAGTCAGACATCGCCTTGTAAGATCACAAGTGGCAAGCTGCCCGGGCTGCAGCGGCAAGTCACAAATCGGGCAGCGCCACCTGAACCATCTCAGACACAACAAACAACGCCGAACTCGGGTTCAGGGTTGCAGGTACTAGACAAGGAGAAACTCAAGCAAAACGCACCTGCGCTGAAAAGGCATCGCCGCCGCTGTGATGAGGAATGCTTCCAGCTCGAAGCACTGCAAATGCTGGCAGTGCATACCTGGCATAGCAGCACACAGCACAGAAGTCATGTGGATCGGAGGTCCGCCATCCCTGCGGCTGGTCCACACAACTCAAAACTTCTCCATCCCTGAGGTCGAGACCCCTGGCTGGTTCCGCGAGCCGTTCCTGCAGGCTCAGGGTCGAGACTGCTCCTCTGCTCATCTCGCTGCACTCTCGACAACCCTATAACCTCGTCTCTAACCATCGCAATCAGGAATAGCCTGCGTCAAAGGGCACCGCAGCGGTTGCTGCCAAGGTGTGTTGGATCGAACGCCAACCTCCGCGCATTCCGTGCCAAGGCATTAGAGGCACTTTTGGGTCTCCCAAACTTAAACACCAAAGCCGAAAGGAGAGCGTTAAAGTAAACCAAAAACCCGAAACGCCCAGCATACATTCGCATCGGCCTCAAGCATGCGACACTCTCCACCTCTGTTCCCATCACACAGACTCAAGAATTCTAGTCGAAGCGAGATTTCATGTGCAACGCGCCGACAAGCCCCCTCGCCCCCCACCGCAGCCGAAAGCATGGACCTGGAGGTTTGTGATGCTACGGGGTCCATTCGAATACTTAAAACCTCAGAGCCTTGGACACACACAGCACCCTGTAAACCCTGGATACTTACGGCTGATGCAACTCGTCGTCGTGGCACAGAACTGCCTCCCTTTTTCAAACTCGGTTTTCGCTTCTCGGGGCCTTCCGTTTTCATTTCTCTGTGCTTGAGTATGCTGCATGCTTCAAGTGCCACGCCTTACATCGCCGCTTGAACGAAATCAGAATTGCTTTGCAGCTACCGCCCACATTCAACTTTGATTCGCGAGCTGCTGCTGCCCACAACAGCAATATGAAGTGGCTTGATGTTGTTTGAGCAAAACTCGACATCGCAGCATGCAGCCAAACCCGAAACCCCCAGATCCTGTAAGCCCTAAGGGCCAACTTGAAAATGCAAGTTGCCAATTGCTGGTCCGCCCTGCCCCCCCGCCCCCGACACTGCCCACCCATTAAACGAGTCATGAATGCAGTTGCTCCCAACGGGGCCAGGGATATCTTAACGGATTCTTTGTGGGTTTTCTTGGGTTGGGCATTGCAGATGTAATCTGTGGCATTGCCTTTCGGTGGCAGATGTTCTCTGCGGGACGACCCCTGCAGTAGGGACTTTGTAGGGGCCACTGACCCCCATTCCCCCCCCCCTCCTGCAACCCCAAACACTGACAGGAGCCAGCCCCAGAATTCTGAAAGCACAGACCCCGCCTCGGCACTCCTCAAGCATGTTCTAGGGCAGCGACGAACCCCCGTCACATCCCAACTTCTGAAAAAAAGGTGGTTAGCAATCGCTCCGCCACATGCAAGGACATCTTGACCAAAGTGCCCCTCACATTTGGCCCTCAGAAGGTCGCGCACCAATCTTTCACCCCTTGGAGGCTCACGAGACCGACTCCTCAACCCTACTTACTTAAGTACAGAAGCCCCTAAACTACCCCGATTCCGACCCCGAACTAGACAAAGCTTTCACTGGCGGTCGACACGCAGTGCGTTTAATAACCTAGCCTTGCACCCTCAAGCCCAAGAACAAACCCCCGAACCGGTTTGAGCCCTAAGCCCGAACCTCCCTGCACATCTTTATAACATCTTCTGATCTCAGACCCATGTGACCCCCCCCCCCCCCCCAAAAAAAAAAAAAACATTGTTTTAGGGCACTCCAGGGACACTCTGGGGTTGGGCACTGGCGGCGTTGGGCACTCCAGGGATGAGCGAGGAGTAGACCGGGTGAGGAGAAGAGTTCCGGGAGCTGAGTTCAAAATCTAACAACCCCACACCGAGGGTGGGGAAAAAAAAGGACGAGCTTCGAAGCCTCAGCTTGCCGCAGCTCAGCAAGCAACTTCCACGAGGCTCCTCGAGAGGGTGGCGCATAGGGCGAACGATCGAGTTCAAGCGTGAAGGGCCTACAGCGAAGTGCCATGCCCCAATGAAAAAAACGACCTGCAAAGCCCAAACCCTGAACCCTGATTTTGGCATCGCCCCTGCCTACCGGAATGGCGGACCTGCGGCAAATGAGGGAAGGGCTTTCCTGTCAGGGTTTGTGCTTCAAATGATTCGGCTTCGGCCTTTTGCCATTGTGGTTTACGGGACTTTGGCTTTGATGGTTTCTCCAACTCCCCGAACATGAAAGTCCGGAAACGAAACACGCGGGGCTGCGTAACTGCGTGCACTCCGGACAGCTGGAGCCGCAGGAAGTGGGCCCTCGACACCCACAGTACACCCTTACGGCCTGGGCGCTTACATCCAGACCTAATGCTGTCTTCTATGTTCACGGTGTGTGCTTCGTGTTGGTTGAAGCCCGAAATTCTGCATCTTGAATGCTTACGATGATGCATAGGCATCATAGGCTTGGGGCTTACATGGATGGAAAACAGCTCAGCCAAGCATTGGTTGCCCGCCTTTGCCGACACTCATCCAAAAGGTCGGCCACACTCCGCCTTCTAACATGAGCCGCCAAAACAATCAAGAAACTCCAGCATGAAGAACACTTGCACATGCATGTGAGCCAAAAGACCCATCCGTCCGCAAATGCTGAAGTTGCGCCTCGGGCGGGTGACCAGTAGGCACAGCACGAAGTCCTTGGCATTTGCTGCGCCCGACATCCTCGGCAGCAAGCGGAAGAAAGCTGCGAGAGTGCACCTTGCGATGCAGACATGCCCCGTTGTTGAATTGCCTTTCGTCCTATGCACGAAGCCATACCTACCTACTTACTACATATCTGCTTATTAGCCTTCTTGGCTGCAACATCACAAGCTACGACTCGTCACATTGCGTGAACGGGAAAGATTATTAAATGAGTTCCAGTATCAACCTGGGCGGTGCCGCCCCAGCGAAAAGCTGAAAGACATGGCCGCCCGCCTGGGAGCAACAGTGCGTGATGGCGTGATGAGCTGCGGCTAGAGTGACACCCTGTCTCATGCAGCCGCAACTTGGACGTTGTCGAGGGGAAAGATCTCACTAGCCCTGCATGAGCACAAAGGCCAACTTCTAGTTTTCTAGCTGACAGGGATGCGCAACACTGTGTGGTTGCAAAATAGTGGATCGCATGACATGCTCCGTAGCTTGCAGTTACTACCTAACGAAGTTTCCCTGCCTTGTTGGGTGGCCGCAGCTTCAATGGCGAGTCTGGCCGCCTCTGGTCATCTGGAGGGTCCACGCGCACCAGCTCCACACCATCCAGAAGCACCCGCATGGAATGAGGCCAAAGGTGGCGCTCTGGTTGGCTCGCTAAAGCCATCCGCAACTCGACCTCTTCACCAGGACCCAATTGGGGCCAAGCCGAAAGCTCGAGCTCTGCAAAGCTGCCCACTCCAGAGCTGCTGGGTGCCAGCGGGGTCACTGCTAGCACGCGTGACGTAGGCTCCAAGGGGTTCATCTCCTTAAAGCTGCAGGCGCAAAGGCCATCCCTCCTGAAGCCACACACCTCGCACACAACCACGGCAGCGTGGCGTGCCGGCACAACCTTGCCAACCTTGCCGCCCTTGCCCTGGTGGGCCCCTTGGTGTGCCCGCACATCCCGCACCGGCCGATGCCGCGCCCAGCGACGCTTCCGTCCAAAGCCCAGAGCTTGCAGGGAGCGCATCTCCCTACCCGGCCAATGTTCTTCTTTGCTGTTACGTTGGTGATCGTTGGTGCTGATCGTTGGTGCTGATTTGCTCTTTCAAAATACAAGGCCTCCAACCTTGCACGTTCAATGATCCCGACTCGGAACTTAAAGAGACTGCTCGAATTCATGAATTCATGAAACAGCACTACACACAAACTAATTGAGTATCTCCCCATGGCCCATACCATCCATCACCATCTCATCACTACTGCGAAGCCAGTGCGGCTTCCTGGGAGCAGGGGCGCGGGAACGCGCGGTTTGCCACATGCACATGCAGCATTCTCAATAGGTGTTCTATTCGAGATATATCCCCCTGCACCAGTATATGATATCTGAATGACATTATAAGGCACGTGTCCGTACAGTGATATCATAAATATCCCAAGACGGTCGCACACTGGCAACTGAACTTCCAAGGCTCGAGTTCACACCACTTGCAATATGGTGTTACCCTGACCCAGTCGCCCTGTCGCACCAAAAAAGCCCTGCGATCATCCTGGAAACAACATTCGCTCACACCGTCTCTCGCACTGTGCGCCTTCTTCCCCTGGCTCTCGCTACTGCAGAAGCCCTGCGCGCAAAAAAACATAAACGCACACGCCTCAAGTAAGAGCTGCGATGCAAGCATTCAATTTCAGCAAAGCAGACTTGACACAACGCACACAGAAACCAGTGCAATCCCAGCGTGCAAGCAGCGGAAACGGCTGTTTGTCAAAAACAATGAAAAGGTCGTCAAAACCCCGCCTGGGTGCATCCTGGAATGTTCATGAACCTTTGCATTTCAAAAGTGGACATGCTCTCACGCAATCTTGAATTTGCGATTTGTTTTGCAACTCCCTGTATCCAAATGCCGTCAAATCCCAACACAACCTGAGATCGGAGCTCCTCAAACTCGTATGCCTTTCTATCCGGGCAGCATGACCTGCAAATTTCAGCTATAGAAAAAGATGCTGCCATAATGAAAACTGAGGTACAAGCCACCATTTGGCAGTTTCATGAAAAATCGGGGCAGCCTGAAGCTCAGTCCGCACGTTCTGGGGACGATCGACATGTCTCTTCCGCACCTTGTGGTGCACGCACTCCTGTGGCGGCCTCAGGGCTCTCAGCGCAGCAACACATCCAAAATACTGATCACTGGTAAGTCTGGTGGAAGTCTGCTAAGCTTTCGGCCCGTCCGGATCAAACATTTTTTGACAGCCGAAGTTCTTACACCTGGCACGCAGCTACGCAAATGGCTGTCTGCAATCATGTCCTGCCAGCAACAATGCGGTATTGCCACCAACCTGACTTTGCCATCTGCATTTTTGACCGCCTGAAGTCGAGGTGTAGCTATTTTTTGTCTGCCCTGCCCCCCCCCCCCCCCCCCAAAATATCAGTTGCGGCCGTCATCAACAGCAAGTCAAGCAATTCGCACAAAAAAAAATTGGCCTGTTTCGCGGTGGTTGTGCTGGGGGCTGCTGGAGTGCAGTGATAGCCCTGGCAGGATGCAAATCAATAAAAAATCAGGCAGGGCACAAGAGGGACTTTGGCCTTCTCAGGCTCTTGTCGTTTCGGTGCAGGCCTCAAGCAAGATAAGGCTGGTGATTGCAACCAACGCATGCCGCACTGTTACGTCACTGTTCCGGGTGTCCCACCCTTCCGAGTCTTTGCCTAAGAGGTAGCACTCGTCACCATTCCTCAGCGGTCCACTGCGCATGTATATCGAGCAGAATGGGGCTCTGAGGCTCTGAAGGCCCCCGCGACAGAGAGTCTCGCACTCTCTCTTCATTGTCGAGGTGAATCCCGCCAACCTCGCACTTTGGATTCATCTGGCATCGTTTGCTGCTGTGTCAAGGGCCCATGCTATTTTCAGATGCAGTTCGTCCGCTGAAAGTGGAGTCTCAGCATGCTTCCTCAGCTGTGCACATCAACATACAGGTAGGCATGCAAAGGTCGCCAGTGGCACGAACACATGCCATTTGCAGAATAGCATCTTGTTGTAGTGATCCACAAACAGCTTGACCACCTGACGTCAACACATGAGTGGCTTACTCAAAAATTCAGGCTGGCCAGCTCGCCTCCTTGTTGGCTCCGTTCACATACTTCTGCGGCAGAGTAAGCCGGAGCGTCATGTAACGGTCCTATCGCTCACGGCGGCCCGTAGAGAAGTTGCACAACACAAGACGCGCCTCTGTATTATTATTAATAATAATAATATGATTATTACTATTATTATGAAACTGCAACAACCTATCTCTCGTTGAAGCGGGGGCGCCTCCGTAGAAGCTTCCTTCCGCGCAGGGCAGGGTGCAGAAGGCTCCGAAACTCTTCGAAGCATTTCAAACGTCGTGCATTTACAGTCGCTTCAAACGGACTGAGCACGGCCTCAAACTTCAGCGTGACTTTCATGGCTCACGGAACTTATGTTTTAACATTCAAAATTTGGGACGCCTGCAGCCAAAAGTTGCAGCGCAGGCCCGCTCAGTTGTGCTCAACTGTGCAACTGTGCTGCCTTGTAAGCTTTGGCCAGTCACAGGAGAACTCAGCGCCGCGGAATGCAACTGTTGCACGGCCTTTCTTTTCGCCTCCGCTGGTGTCCTGTGTCCCGAAACCTTGCAGGGACCAAATCCTTCACGCTGTCATCGTCACAAAGCTGGCCTGTGCGAAGTGCTAGCAAACTGCTAGTGAGTGTTCAAGTATTATCGCAGCTGTCGCAGCTCTAGCAGGGGCTGCTGGAGCACCAAGGCCGACCCATCTCTTTTGAGCTCACAAATCATCCAGTGCATCACACCTCAGTGCCAAGCTCTGGAACCTACGCTTGGAAGCTACGCAGCAATGCCGACTGCTGATTGGTGCTGGCAAAGAGTCTCATTTAATGCGAGCATCAGGCTTTGGACCTCACGTTGCGTGCCGCCTTTCTCTTTGTGACCATCAGGAACTGTACAGTGTGACCAATGAATGACGACCTACCGATTCGCGGGGCAATACTTTCATCGGCAATCAGGCAGGTATGCGCAAGGAGAGTCCGGTTGCAACTTTGTGTCTGTCTGTGTTAGGGCCAACTGTTAGGGCCTCCAGAATTCTGCATATTCTGACCACCTTTCGGCTCTGAACCCGGCTATGTGCTAAATGTATGAGCGGCTCTCCCACTGCTTCGTTCCTGCCTTCACGAGCCGAGGGCCTAACGCCACCGGCACTGTCGTCTCAGGAACACTAACCTCAGCCGCCGCCACGTCGCCCACGGTACCGAGCTGGTACGGGGCCAGGCCGCCTTCTGTCATTCGCAGGGCCGGGGCCGTCACTGCCGTCACCACTGGAGCCCGTAGGAGGATGCCATGCTGCTGGGAATGCCACACTGTCTGGACCACTCAGCTGGTCGTTGAAGATGGCTGCAGCGAGCAGCCGCAGCGGCGTCATAGGCTGCGCCTGCAGAACCGACTTGGCCTCGTCCACACCCCCGCCCATTGCCAGCAGGTTAGCAACTGCCCAGTTCAGCCGCTGATCGCTTGGGCATCGCTTCAGTGCAAGTACCGACTTCTCTAGCAACGGGGCATGTGGAGCTCGTAGCCGTGCCTCTCTCAGGACGACAGATGCATTCAAGAGCATGGTGGCGGCAGCATCCCGTGCCTTGTCAAGGCTCTTCGGGACTTCCGAGACTTCCGAGACGGATACATCGGACCACAAGAGAGGCCAGACGGGTGCCTGCACCAGCTGTGCAACCACAGGAAGCAGTGCCTCCGCCAAGGACGTTTGGTGGAAACAGTTGGCCACGAGCTGCAGCGCTAGCATCAGGCAAGGCGGGCTCCGCGGGCTCCATGGGCTCCCAGAGACTGCGTCGACTTTGCAAAGGCTCGAGTCCAAAAGCAGCTCCAAAGCCTCCTGGGCCCCTGGCTCTGCACCCCCACAGAGCTTCAGCCCCGCCAAGCGCCGGGCCAAGTCCAGAAACGCCACGCTGGACTCCGACGTCGCTGCGCGGATGATCTTGGCCAGGCCGGCAATGAGGCGCGGCCGGGGCACGGAGCCTTGTTGGCAGCTCCGGCACAAGGACTCCACCATCTCGGCTTCCCCACTTTCGCTGCCGTAGATCTTTTGAACAATGTCCAATGCAATTTGCCGCATCTTCTCCGGACTGTCCCGGGGAAGGCAGATGTCAAGCTCAGAGTGCAGCGCTTTAGGGAAGCGCCCTGACAAGGAGTCGAGCTTCTGTTCGGCCAGCTTGGCCAAGCTCTTGGCCTTGTCAAGCGCAAGCTTGTGCAAAGCACCACCCTTCACCTCCTGCGGAGACAGTCGCGCAAGCGTGGAGCCATCCGGCTGAAGAAGCCGAACTTCGGGCTCACGCACACCTGCCCAGTCGGCAACAGCCGGGGAGGCGGCAAGGTCCACAGAAGCAAAGGCCATGCCAGCTGGTTGCGCCTCAGCCAGTCTTCGAAGGGCCTCCTGCTGCGCTTGCATGTGGGGGGCATACGCTCTCTGAAAGCTGCAGGCAATCACCATGTCTAGTGGACAGCCCGCCAACAGTGCCGCCGCATCCTCGGTGGTCTGCACGTCCCAGATCAGATTCGAGGCCGTATCCTCGCTGCCGTGGGGGATGGCTGTTGCGGCTTGCGCAGCGCCCGTGAGCAAGTCGCCTGGAGTGAGCCGGTACCGATGCAGAGATTTCGGCCTCCAACGTCAATAGCTTGAATGAAAACCGAGCAATTACATGAATATACACTATAAAACGTACTGTCGAACATGAATAATAACTAAAACATAAATACAACCAACAAACAACTAATGAGATAACGATATGTTCAGCAATCCAGCAGCCTTTGAAAGCTAAGCTAGTATGGCTGATCGAAGATATGGTCGAATGGTCGGTGTCTTCGGGCCGATTTAGCCAGGCAGCACTGGCCGGTCGCTCTGCGAAGTTGCAGTTTCCGTGGTTCCAGGCTCGCAAGCATAGCCGGCCTAACTCTGCAAGCAGAGGGTCCGATGGAGAAAAGAGTCTCAGCGTCTCCCTTTGGTCTCATGGTCTTTGGACGGTTATTTTTTTTTTTTGGGGGGGGGGGGGGGGGAGGGGTTCGACCACGAAGGTGCCCAAGCAGTCCTAGGAAAACCTTCAATGACCAGGTGTGCCTTGGACCTAAACTTTCTAAAGATGCACCCGCCCTCTCGCATCATCACAGCAACGATGCCTGCTGCTGCATTTCAGGCTTGGCCAGCAGTCGGCTCCGGCCCTCCTGTCCGCCGGTGCGAGACCTTTGTTGCACATTCGCTTCGGGCAAAGCGGAGTTAAGCTGCAAGGCCCTCGCTGGGACAGCTCAGGCTCCGGACTGTTTGGATGAGAGCACGAGCCTCCCTCCGAGAAAGAGCCTGGGGATGTGACCAGTTGTCGCGTTTAAACTCAGGATTTGCGGAATCGCGGGTCAGGCACAGGGACTCTAGCTTGCCACTTCCTCAGCGCTGAGTCGCAATGCTGCATTACGAAGCCTACTGAGCACCGCTCGCCCTTACTGCACAAGTGTGCCTGGCACTTGGCATTGTACTGACTGGCAAGCCACACAAGCTTGTGGATCAGGGCTTCGTGACAGTGCTGTAGGTCAGCCGAGCAACCCAAGAACCAGAACTGCAAGCGCAAGCAACGTGAAGGAGTCTGCGGCGTCGTCTTTCATGCGCAGGTTCGATGGCAACAAACACTTATGATGCTGATGGTAGGGTGGGGACGATGAAGGGGCGCCCAACAGAATTATCCAGAGGACCGCTTCATGTCTTGGCGTGGCCATGCCTTCTACAAGAAAGGCCTTGAGATTCCAGCAGGCGAGGAGCTGCGGAAAAAAGAGTGGAAGCCGACACGTCCTGGGGTGCCGGCTTCGGAACCTCGGAGCCGATGTCCACGTCCCACTCACGTCCCACTCACGTCCCACTCACGTCCCACTCACGTCCCATACGTCCACCAAGTTTCACGATGCCCTCAGATGCCCTCAGAGGCACTGTCGCTGGTGCTCTCCGCCCCGTGAGCCTCTCCAGAGGGCCTCTGCGTGTGTGTGACACAGACGCCATGTTCGAGGGCCAGCTGCTCCAAGTGGAGAATCAAGCGACCTCGGCATCTAGCACTCACGATCCCAACAGACGAAGCAGACAGCACCATCAAAACTCCATCAACGAATGCCTCCGCAGTCATCTGTAATCTGAGAAGCACACAGAGGCTTGCGCGATCCTCTCGCTTTCTCCTTTTCTTGGTGCTCTTGGTATTGCCCCTTCCATGCCCATGCCGCTCTAAATGGAATCGGTCATGGGATGCAGGAGCGTCTGGAACCGGAGGAATGTACACCTTAGACTTCTCCAGAGCTGTCCATAGGTTTTGCGCGTCTTGGCGTAGACTTCTGGGAGATTTCTTGCGAAGCTGCAGCTCATGCTTGTCCAGTGACTGCTGAGGTTCACTGTGTCTGACCGCGGTGGGAAGAGCTTCACTGGGCAGTCTGCTTTCCATCACAGGCAGAGTGGGGCGCTCTGCTCTGGGCAGAACATGCAAGACGCCGGTGGCTTGTGGTCTCAACCTGGCTTCTCGCAACGCATCATGAAAGAGCTCCTGCATCAGCGCGGCAACATGACCTTGATCAAAACCAGGCCCACCTGAATCATCAACCGCTGTAACCGCTCCGCAGCAGCAGCGCTCTCCAGCAGAAGGGAAGGGATGGCAGGACGGACGCGTCTGTGCTGTCCAGTCCCGCATTGAGCTCCTCGTAATGTCAACGACATCCTCCGACCGAAATCCCAACTTTGCACTGGCCTTCTGAAGCGTCTGAACTGCTACAGCTACCCCAACGACGTCGTCAACAGGAACAGCGAAAGCATGCGCCGACTCTGGATGTTGGCACGTGCTCAGCGTTACAACCAAACTCGTCTTGGCTGCTGGCACTGCATGGGCCATGGGTGACCATGGCCGGTAAGGCTCAGGCACTTGTTTTGAGCAGGGGTTGCACTGCACAGGCCCTCATCCCTCAGGAACTGGAAATGCAATCCTGTCAACCACGCAACGTACTTCCATAAAACTGCAGTTGACCGACAATTTGCGCCTAAGACTCTCATGTGTGTTTCCGGGTCGAGCATGGTGAGCTGCAAGCAGGGCTGAAGAACAACTGTGTGGTGTGTGGTGCTTCGTCCGGGTGTCAAGCTTCAGCTCACGTAGCTTTTTTGACAACGAGAGCATGCAAAAGGCCAGTTTCGCCGGCGTCAACTATCGAAGAAGGAGAGCCACAGCTGAAGTCCCACATCACAGCCGCACCAAGTCAGCGACACCTCTGAGTACCGGCGGTTGCCTATGGTTACCTGCTTTACACCGGCAGCTGCGCCACGACATCATTCCGAAACGAGTCCAGAAGAGCGCCTGAAAGCTTCAGCATGGATCCCGTGGTTTCGCCAACTACGCTCGGTGGTTCAATCCATTCTGTCGCAGAAATTCACTCCATATCACTCTGAAAGATTCAATACATGGATTGCGCAGTTGGCGAAAAGACTGCATTACCCTGGCAATCTCCAGGCTTTCAGGAATGGTCTCCCATCTCAAGGGTGCCCTGTCTATCATGGTACTGGTGGTATGAACCCAAATGCATCGCAGCAGTCTGGTCGCGGGGCGCGTAGGCGCCCAAAGGTGGCTAGTAGGAGGCTGCAGGAACAAACACTCCTTGATGTAGCCAGGGTTCTGATTACTGCACTTCTTCAAAAGCCCAGATTTTGCATGCCCATGGATGTCCGGGCGTGAGACAAGCCCCAGAAGCTCAGTGACAAGCGGGAGCGTAAGGGCTTAGGGGGAGGGTGTTCGGGATGCGGTGGGTGAGACAAATCCAAGATCCCGGCCCCCCGCAGCGCATTGTCGGCCCACAGTGTTGCGTCTAAGAGACTCCCGGAAACCTCGAGGCCCAAACCAAACTTCCACCCCGCAACCGTTTGCGCAGGGATTGGGGGGGGATTTGGGGGGGGATTTGGGGGGGGGGGGGGGGGGACTCACGAACTCGGGTCTTTTTCGGGTTGTTCTGCATCTTGTTCCACTCTTTCGTCCAGCGCAGTTGCAATCTCCAAGCCCATACACCGACAATCCTGCGTCATGGGGGACAGGGCATGCGGCAGCCAGAGCCGCGCTGCAAGTAGTCGAGTGAAGCAAAAGCTCAGGTGTGAGCGGACCTCACGCAGCAAAAAACGAAACCAGTGTCCTACTCTGCTGTGGACATGCGAGGGCGGAAGTAGCGAGCCAAAGCATGGCAGCATTAGATGTAGGCTTTATTTAGAGCTGCATTCACTTGCCTAGCAGGGCTTGGGGCCTTCAAGCTTTTTGGAAGATCAAGAGAACATGGATAAGACAAGGTGGCACAGATTACAATATTACAGATTCACGCACATGCTAAACTGCTAAACTCATCTTGGGACAAGATGCAGGAAGGGCCCAAGCTGAGGGCACAACGAACCAGGGCTATCCATCAGCCTGTCCTTGCCGAGTTCGGTGCTGGATGCGTTGCATGTCTTAAACTTTTTGTCTTGGGCGGGCAAGCATGGAAGTCCAAAGCATTTCTTGCTTGGAGAGCAGTCTGCAGGGAGGTCGACAGCAGCACCCTACAGGCCCTACAGCAGCTTGGGCTGCCCTGCAACAGAAAGTTACCTAGATGCCCGAGATTGAGGTGCTCCACGGCTGCACCCGTGCAATCGCTGGCAGGCCTTCGTCCATGTCTTCACCCTCCTCCATTGCGAGCCTGGCCACACCAGAGATTGCAACCGCTGGTGCTTTGATGTCTGGGTTTGAGCTGTGGTTTCTGCAAAACCTGGAAATTCAGAACTTGCAGTACAGAGTGAAGTGACACTTTGCTCAAGCCTTCGCACGCGCAATGATACTGCACCCTTGCACCCGCAGACTCAACCGCTGCATCTCATTGGCAATTCAGAGTTCGGATGCCTAAGGATGGGCCCCCTGAAGCCCCCCTTCACAGCATAGCTGCCGAGCCCGCAAGACTTGCCAACTCTGACCGGCACGCCGACTGCGTCAATGGCAATATTTTTCGGGGGGGGGAGGGGGGCGGGAGCTACTTTTGTGTTCGAAGTTCTTTTGTCCAAGCCCTATGGGCCTAAGGTACTGATCTGCACACCATCGGTGCCAGCTTGTGGAGTTCGGATTCTCCATCTGCTCCTGTCAGGTGGCAAGACATATTCTCCGTTCGTGGATTCATGGTGTCGCTTACCCTGCCTGCTTGGCTTGGAACGGATCCCTGTTCTCGAAGGCCATAAACTTGTTTAATGACCTCGGGCTTGGGGTTCCACTCGGAATGCTGGCTTGCAGGCGGTCAAATGCATCATGTCTCCTGCACTTCCTGCTGGCCGTGGGCAATGCATCTGTCCCGCTTAGGCGAACATTTTCCACATGCTTTCAAGGTCTTCTCAGACCGCGCTGACCTCGGCCCCTTGAGTGCTGTACATTCCACGTCGGAGCCGGGTCGTCTATGAGACCAGGCACTGCTGGTTTCCCTGGTCGCCCCCAGACGCTGTCGAGGCTGCAGCGGCCTTGGCCTTTGCAGCCGCCTTTCCCTTGGCCTGCGCCCGGGGTGGGGGCTTGAAGTGCTCTTTCAAGGCAACCCCCTGGCAGGCGAGCTCAGTGTCCTTTCCCACTCCACCACCTTCAGATGGGCGTGTCGAGACAACTTTGAAGCGGAGGTCCCTTACTTGTAGCACGTCCCCTGTGCGGACGTCTGCCGATCGCTGGGCGAAGTAAGGCCGCACATAGTCCCGAAGCAGGCCTGTCTCATCTAGGGACAGCTTGTTCGGCCGATACTTCTCTGGCAGGCCATCCTCATAGGGAAGCAACTGCAAGCGTTCGAGCACCTTTCTCTCTATCTCTGGCCCTTCGTAGAAGATCTCGGTGTTGTGACCCACGACTCCATAAGAATCCTCCGACGGCACAAGAGATGCACTACATGCACTGATCGGCACTGATGGGACTCACATGCAATCTCCTACGCATTCAGGCGGGTGTCCTCTGGCTGCACTCCTACGACCTGAAACCTCACAGAGTCATAGGAAAAGTCGAAGCCTTTGGTGAACTCTCCAACTTGCTGCGTCTGGAAGTAGGGCACGATGTGGTTGTGGTACATGTGGTCGAAGTTGTACTTGAAGGTGTCCTCTTCTCTCGGGCAAACGAACCTTTTCTGCCTACGCCGAACGGGGGTTTTCGGAGTTGAGGCAACGCCGAGCGGGTCGTCGTTCGAGCAACGAACGCACACCAAGGCACATTGCGAGTGCTATGGCTGCGATGGCCCAAAAGCGCATTTCACGAAAAGCATGTGCTCGGGACCGAGGCAGTCACGATTTGGACTCGCGGAATGCACACAGAGGACGAGGCGGGAAGACCTAACGCCCAAAAGCGGCGGAATGAGGCGAGAGCACGAATGCGCACAGGGCGTGAGCGGAAGCACGACTGCGAAGCCAAAGACTATATGCTTCGCGAAGGGTGTGGCAGAAGCACGATCCAAGGCCCGAAAGCGCAGCCCACACCACGACTGGCGAAACAGAATTCGCGCGGTGCGGCGAGAGACTGCCAGGGAGGGAGAACGCCTCAAGCACCAACTTACTCGCCACGTGCAATATCCCTCCCCGTAAGCCCAGGCACAAGAACGCCAACTCGAAGACTCACAACTCCCGAGGGACTCCGCAGAGGGCAATTCACTGAAGCAACAATGATGATCCGGTCCTTGTAGGGCAAAACGTGAATCTTCTGAAAGACGCTCAGCACCTGCCAGAATCGGCATGCAGAAGCTTGCATGCTTCATTGATGGCCTTTGTTTGACATCTTAAGCCCCTGCACATAAACACAGCCTGGTCTGCCAGGATGATCTCAGTCTTGGCCCCGAAACGACCACCTTTTGGGGGGTCACAAGCGCCAACGACCAGCTCGGCACCGGGGCTCTCGACACGCAGGCCTGCAGATGACTATCAGGCTGCTGAAGAGATTGAAGTTCAGACTTAACGTTCAAAATGACATAAGGAACTTCACTATCGAACTCGCATACTGGGTTTTGAGCGAGCCATGAGAAACTTCCAACAAAATGATTTCGAAGCTTGTTAGGTTCATCGCTGGAGTCGCTGAGCTGCTCATGTTTGCCCACATCAGCCAGCACGCCGCTACGCTTAGCTAGCGAATGAGAGCACGCAACTTGAACTTTCCACTAATTTATTGAAGCCGGAGGTGGGACCCTAAACTCCCCAAACCCTGGTCAGTCCCTGGGCCACTGGGGGCAAAGTGCCAGCTTCGGGATCCTCTACAAAACCTCGGCCTGTGTGGAGATCGTCCTCAAAGTCACGAAGCCTTGTTTGCGCATGAGCGGTGGGGCTGGGCGTCCACAAACCCTGCACGATAAGGTGGTATTTTGTCCGAGGGGCGCAGACCGAACAGCATCAGCACTGTTCCTCAGCTGCATCTCAGGTGGCGTCTTCGAGCTGCCATGTCCAAACACATCTGGCACAAGGGTCGGAATCAAGTCCATCAGTGCTAGGCCTGTCTCAAGATTCACTTGCTCCCAGACTCAACAGACAGGGAACGGCTGGCTTGAGAGGCCATGCACAGTCACGCAGCGCAGCATGCCACTTGTTGTTTAAAGCGCCGAAGGCCTCAAACTGTCAAAGCCAAACCTAGGCAGTGTGGGAAGAGGTGTGTTATTTTGGGCTGGTGGTGAGAATTGCTGTGCTATTCTTGGGCTGCTGCCTTCTTTGAGTTTTATGAGTTGAGTTCTATTTGAGTACAAGTCTGCCAGTTTATAAGGTGCTTCTTTACTGGAGATAACTCAGGAGACTCCATAGCAACTGGTCCCAGTCCGCGTTAAGCTGCTTGTCTGAAATTAGCTACCCTCTCAGGTTGCTCAGAGCCAAAATGTGAAAACTAAAAGATGCGAACAAGCACGTGTAGGACCAACAGCCAAGTGGACGCGGAACTCTGGGAACTCGACTTCGACACTGCTTGCCAGTACAACACAAAAGAAGCAATTCCGGGTGTTTCCGGGGTGCCGGCGTAAAAATCGAGAAGAAGGAGCCGGCGAATTTGCGTTTGCGCTTGAAGTCCGCGAGCCGGAACCTAGCAGCTCAAAGGGTTTTATAGGTTCTGCCACCTGCCCAGGTGCCTCACGGCACGCAGGGGATGCAAGATGATGCACGCATTCCCTGCTCATTCCATCGGACGACCTAGCAACCGTTTGCCTAATTCCATTGATTCCATTGTGAAGCTCCTGAAGTAGAAAGACCCCAACGCTGCCCAAAGTAAGACTGCCGATGCGTAACTGAAGGTCTCCACTGGGCCAGACAGCGAGTGTCCCCGACATTCACAGTCAGAGAGTAACATACCCTACGGTAGCCACCTGCCTAGCTGACCCTCAACAAAAAGGAAAGTGGAGGAAGGAAACTGGGCTCCTTGCTCCCCAGCCACTCTAGGAGAAATCATGTCATGCAGTTGGCACCTTGCTTGCGGCATACGTCTGGCAAATCGTTGGCTCGACGGTGGGTAGGTGATGTGCGGATCCCAAGCCCCACGCAGAACATCACAAAACGCGATGGTTTCGTAGTTCAGGCACCTTGAAGGCCACCCCATGCGCCCCCTCAATGTGCAAGTCTCAACACGGAACGGTCTTGGCTTCCGGCTCCATGCGCTGCACCTGCTCCTCGTAGAAGAACTTCCTCATGCTGCTCATCGCTTTCTGAGTACCACTTGAGTTAAAGATGTGTGCTGCTCAGAAGCATTTTCTCGAATGCTGTTTCAGTACAGAATTCAACAGGGCAAAGTCAAAGGTGAGCCCGCCGAGCATGCATGTTGCAAGCTAGCTGGCACGAATTTGCGAAACAGGCAGTGGTCAGAGCACTATGTCCGCTAAGTACTGGCAGGAACTTCATGGCGAAGCAATGCAGGATGAGTTGCAACCTTCGACCCAGATTTAAAACAAAAGGAACCCACCACCAGCGCACCACTACCTTTTATTCTGGCATCGTCTCAGTGCGTCTCTGCCTGCACGTCAGCATGTCTGAAGGGTTGGTCAACGCAGGAGAAAGCGCCCTTCTGCGCCTTAGCCGGACTTAAAGAGAAGTATAGCCACCTGACCTGAGCACAACGGGATCATGATGCGGCATCAGGACCCGGCTCATCCGACGCTGCTGCTAGATGCCGCTAGCTTGTGGAATCAGGATCTAAGCCCGCTGCCCAAGTAGAAGTAGATGAAATGCTTCGTCTCATGTGTGACCTCAGAGGCTGATCTGATCAGTCAGGATCTTTGCATGAAACTAACAGACTCTGCCAAACTTTTCAAGCATCAAACGGCGAAAGTTGCTCAACAGCAAGTTCGAGCTCTGCCACTCTTTATACATCGAACCTCAAGCCCCAGAAAGCTCATCCGCAGATAGTCTTCATTCCTTGCCATCACCCCACTTACCCTGGGAAGTCAGGATATCTAATGCTCGCAGGGAACGTACGAACCGAAGTTGCGCCCGACCACAGCGTGCCAGGTCGGATTGTACTTCTTGTCGAACTCCTGAAGCAACCGACTTCCAAACGAACAGCTCTTCAACTGAAGTGGCCGTCCTTCTTGATGAAAGCGGCGATGTCCTTCTCGATGTTGTACTTTTCAAGGGCCTTGCAAATAGCAGATGGCACAGGAAAACTGGGAACCACACGAAGGGTCTAGCTGCAAAGTCGGCTGTGTTGGCTCTATCAGCACAGTTTGGCGAGTAGCCGACAAACATGGCTAATGTTGCAGAAGTCTCCCCAAGGTCCTGTGTGGCACAGTCAATGGCGTCCTGTTGCATGTCCTCGGCCATGTCAGCGTTCTTGATGACTGCCTTGTCCGAATGCTCCATGCATCTTTGACGCAGATGCCGATCGGTGCTGGTTCATGGTACAGTAAGGCCTGCGTGTACTCTCTACGCCTGCGTGCATCCACCTTTTTCTACAGCATGCTTTCAGGATCCACTGCGGTCATCCACCTAAAACATCAATCACGGTCTAATGGGCTTGGCCTGCTGTACTACACTTGATTGGTTATTAGAGCCGACTCACCCAAAGCAGGCAGCAGGAGTTGAAGGAGGCCTAGGCGCCCTGATCCTGGCCCTGTTAGGCATTGTCTCATCAAGATGTTGGAAAGTATCCCTGGCCTTGCGGTCCGCCATAGCTTCCCCGCTACACGAGGGCAAAAGGCCAAAGGGTCGCTGAAGCTGCAAAGCCCAAAGATCACTGACGTCACAAGCTGGGGACGCGCAAGCCGTGCACGGAATGAGGAGCCGAAATCAAAAGTTGCCCTATGACATCATCAATCGAATTGGAGGTAAGCATGTGAACACTATGCCTGTGATATTTGCACCGTGCTCATCCTTGTTCAGTGATCCTTGTTTGGCCCGACAGCAAAGCATGCTGTGGACCCTGCAGCTCGTAGTCTCGAACCACACCATCTGCCTGGACATGTGTATCCTAAAAATCTCGGCCACTGATACTCGACAACAACTTTGACAACAAGCATTCATGGCCTAGCACGCTTCAAGGGCAAGTGAATTACTGCAAAGTCCGAGGCATACAGCATCATGCCGGTCTTGAGCCCGCGTTGGTGGGTTTTGCACTCACAACATCGGAGGCCCTCAGAGTCTCAGTGTCGAGCATCCAAGTCGAAGATGCTAAACCAGAATTCAATCGATCTGTCCTGAGTCTGTCGTCACACGAAAGGCACACGGACGTCAGCACAGCCAGCACGAACGTGGGCGATGTAGGATGGAGGCCCAAGAGCTAAACCCAATCGTATCAGAATCCCTCCATGGCCCCGGCAGTTATCTGATCTTGGTCATTCAAGAGGAAATGGATGAAATCCTGCAACATGCTCACGTCTGGCACGACTGATTGACGTTGCGGGCTTAGCAAAGTGGTTACCATCTTTTGTCTAGGCCTCATAGCCCATCTTGCCTGGAACGGCTGATGTGAACCTAAGTACTGCTTCCAGAGATGCAACCGACAGCTGCCACTTCCAATCATGCTGCTAGCAAGCCATTAGCAGGAAGGACCAGACCGCCACGTCACCTCGCTGAAGATTCGGTCGACTGTCCGTCTAGACAGCGCGTGCCTGGCGTGACCAAGTCGTCTGAAGCTCTTCGTTGTCTGAAAAACGCCATGAGGACCCACAAGCTACGGGCTTTCGTTGTGACGTGCTACTGATACGAAGGCGACGTGTCTTGGACAGGCCAGCGGGTCCCGTCATACTTCAGCAGGTCGTCCTTGTCTAGCAGGAAATCGTGGTCCGAGTCCAGCTCCCAGAACGTGCCTCTGGGGAAGGCATGCCGCAAATTTTCGAGGAAGTCAGCGAGCTGATTGATGCGAATCCTGCTAAGTTCCAAGCAATAGATCACATAGAAGTGCTCATAGCTGAAGTAGTCTCGTATCATCTTCATGTCATCATAGTCCTCGCCGTGGCACATCTCGAAGATGGCCAATGTGTCTAATGGCATTTGTCAAATTCCTCCCTACGGCAGCATACTAGTACGACAGACAAGGCTGAAAAAAAATAACAAGGCTGCTGCTTCGTGACTCTCCCACCTCAAGCTGCTTCCACGTTTCCACGATGGACGGCTGATATCGCCGCAGATCTGTAGCGCAGACAGCAGAGCCCACACATTCAGGACGTTCAACTAGACGGCAACGACGACTCCTGACTCTGCTACTTGTACTTGTCATTGTTCTACTTGCTACGAGCATGGTTCTGTACAGGCTCGTGCGGTGAAATACAACCACACTAGGATCCTAACCCTCCTAGTGGAGGATACCTTTTTTCACCATCATCTTGTGGTCTGTGGACTAAGTTTGGGTTGCGATGAAGGTGGAGGAGGTGTTGTGGTGGCCTCGGTAGATGGATTTCTTGCACAACTGTAAGATCCGAGCTCTGCAGGTAGATTCGGCCTGTCCCCTTCCTGTCCTCAGTGAGTAGAGCTGCGAGTATGGCTTCAGAGATGACAACAGCTTGCATTGCAGCCGAAAGATGCAAGAAGACTTCAAGAAATAAGTTGCTGCAGCAGTGGCGTAAATGTAGAAGATTCGGCTGGTGACCTAGATGATTCAGCTCTGAGTGATCCGACTTTGGTGACGAACCAGCGCCACATCTGAGATCCCGACCGTGTCAGCATATCTATCCTGGAACTCCTGCGGACCACGACATCTGCTGTTTTCCACCCCTCGCACTGGGATCGTGCATGCTGCGACCTAGCATCTTTTCAGGTTCGCTGAAAATATTTTTGCTTCCACAACGCTATGGCAATGACTCTTTATGGGGCATGGAGAAGAAGAACAGAGCACTTTAACAACCACTGTCGAACGGGATGAAGTCACGGCCTGCGTGTCCAGCAGGAAGTCCAACCCTGGATGGGTCATCAAGATAGCGTGCAAGAAGATGTCGAAATCCTGTCTATCAGTGTCACCCACTCGCAGTGGCCATTCCAGTTCAAGTTTCAAGCAGTTGGGCCGAGTTTTGGCCACACGGACTCGCCAAAGCACGCCGCCTCCTTCTCGATCCAGTCATTGTGGTCCTGCGCCGTGAGTTGGAGTGTTGGAGTGCTTTGGGGAATTCTCGGGGCATGGCCTTCTTGACCACTGAGAAGAAGCTCAGGGTCGGATCGTCAGGCTGGATCTTTCGGTTTGCCCAACCAACCACCCTGGCATCGTGGATCTTCTGCGAGTCAAGAGAAAAGGGGGGAAAGTTGCCGAGCTGAGCAAGTTAAATCCAATCTCTGGACCAAGAAGTCGAGTCAACTTGGCCACCGGACATCATCTCAGTGATTGGTACCGGCGTTGGCACCATCATGGCCTTGACGCAGCTCTGCTACTTTTGCTATGTTGGGGCAGGTTCTGCTAGGGGGTGGGGGGGGTGATGTGCACCGGCAAAATGGAATTCGTGGCACATGTCGGCGAGTGAAAGCGAATAAAGGCCCGAACATCGCGCTTGGAAATTGCGCTGCGGTCAACGATGTCATAGAAGGCCTGTGACAGATGCTTCCACCATCTGTTCCAGTAGCATAGAGCCAGCACTTGTGCACATTTAGGAACAAGACATCAGGAACAGCAGAAGTTTGGCAGCATGAAGCAAGGTGCCATCAACTACCTGCCTTCATCTTGTGGAAAATAGGGGCCTCATTGCGAAGTGTTACTTACCGTTCAGTGCATCACCACTGCAAGGAGTTATGCGGTGGCATGGGGTAGCGAAGTCCACAAGATGTTTTTTTTCAGTGACCGGCGGCGAAGTACTTGGACAGTTTGAAGACATCCGTCACAATCTGCTCGCATTGCTCCCAATTCCTGCGCGTTTGGACATGGTTGGCACTGGCAGCAAATGTGCAGTGCCGCGTTAGCACAACAGGAGCAAACGAGGTCAAGTGAAACCTTCCCAAAAGCCGGCAGACTGGCAAGAGCAGCGGTCTTTATCCCATCAGTGATACCCTGCTTCACGAAGATTTCGTGAATCTGGTCTTTGTACTCCTGGCCCTTGGAGTACAAAGCATGCCGTGTGGTAACCCCACTCCGCCAACGCAGTAGTCTCAACACAAGATGTGCAATGTCTACTCAGCCTACTCCACTCCACTTCTGGCCAGTATGGAAAATAACGCAAGCCTGGACACAGCTGTTGGACGATGGTGCACTGTCTGAGCGCCAGGCAAGCTCGGATATTTGATCGCGCTTTGGCCACCAGAAACGAGGGATGGTCTGAAGCAGATGCAGGAGATGAAGAAGCAGTTTTCAGAGCAGTTTTCTTTCGCTCTATGCTTCTATCACGCAAGATATCGGGATGTCAATTCGGATTTAGGCCACATGTAGGCTAACAGCCAGTGTTGAAGAGCTGTGTCTGCTGTCAAGCTGACCAAATCCAGCCTTGGCATTTGTTGCAATCATCGAATTCTTCACACCTGCCACAGCCATCGCAAACTCACTCGTCACTTGTGATGGAGACTGTTCATCGTACTTGGTTGTGTGATTCTCCGCACGTGAAAGGGCTGGACAGCATGCAGTCTCCGACTGTGCCATGTTGCAGGCATGTCTGGGTCACAAGATGCATGAACCCTTCCCGAGGAGTCATTCCATGGCCAGCAGAAAGGAGAGCAGTGAACTGGTAGGCGCACTGGAAGAGAAATACAACCCAGTGAACATCCGATACGGGCATTGATCTCATCCCTTCATCGCAAAAAGACCGTCTTTTCAAAACATCTCATTCGCGAAGCTTAGGCATACCCATGATATCTGGCGAGCATCAGCGTCCGCCGCCCTAGGCAGTTTGTTTGATCAGACTACACATTGTTTTGTGAGAGGGAAATTCGCACATTCACAGTTTATCGCCTCTTGAAATCTTGAAGGGCCCCTGCATAAGAAGAGGAACCCGTGCAGAGACCTGTCAAGCTCAGGACCCACCAACCACCAGCACATGCGCACATCATTATGGCCCTCATCTCATCATCTGACCAGTCCTGACCATCAGACGTACCACACAGCGGGAATGTTTCAAGATTTTCAAGCTCAAATGCAAACAGCTCTGGGTTACGTGAGCTACAACTTCGCCTTCTGAAAACTCAATTTTCTCGCGGGTCGCATCATTGCTCACATCCTTTCCAAAGCCTGACGTTGAAATGTCGTTCTACTCGAAAGGCCTTCGCATTCTCAAATGTTGCGAAGAACTTGTGCTGTTCATGACCCAGAAAAATGAGTTAACAAGACTAACAGTGACTAACAGTGACTGACTCAAGCACAAGGCCGAAGGCCTGTCGGCCCACTACCGGGGCTAATCGGATGCTCCGGCCTCGAGGCATTGAATATGGATAAACTGAGGTTCTGGAAAGAAGGAATGCCTGCTATATAAGGCAAGAACTGCTGGAAACTGCAAAAAAAGGACTCTGCCGTAGCATGTATCAGTGCCTGCGTGCCTGCGTGCCTGCGTGCCTGCGTGCCTGCATGCATGCCTGCCTGCCTGCCTGCCTGTGCGTGCGTGTCTGCCTCTGCAGTGCGCGTGCGTGTCAGTGTGAGCTGATGGCAGAGATGCGGAATTGCCACGTGCAGAAACAAAAAGTCCATGCGCATCCTGACTGAAATCCGGCAGCCATACAATCCAGAGCATGCTTCCGACCTCTTATGCTTCTTCCCACATGACAGCAAAACGATATTCAGGTGGCAGCGGAGGCGACAGCAACTCCGTCTCCTGCTGGATCAATGCGCGTGTTGGGCTTAGGGCAAGTAGGACGAAATCAAAGGAACAGCGAAGGAGCATGAAGGAGCAGTACAACAGGGACGTCCTTGTCCTTAGCGCATGTGACAGCAAGCTTGTTCTCTCAGCGTCCGTGGTCAAGGTATTGGTGTTGGTCAATGCCAGACAAGCTGACACAGGTTCAGAAGAACCATGTTAAAAGCCTGAAGGCTTGCTCGTGCTGTCAGAGATCTATCTGAAAGGCAAGGCCAGCAGGGCAACTAATTCTGGGCGGTGGTTTAGCTCGCTTACATGAACGTCATTTTGACCGCTGCAAGCTCCAAGCATACAACCCCAGTGCCGGCAGTGGCCAATGCCCTTGCTCCCGCATCAAGTTGGCTGTGATTTCAGCTCCGTGCATGTTGGAACTTGGTTTGTTTTGCCCTTCGCCTTGCAGCCTTGCACCTCTGTAGACTGGAAGCCATCCTCTGCCAGGGCAGACACAGCACCTGCAAGAGTTGGGTAGCCAACTGCCTGGCCAGCGCTGCGAAGCCAGAGCTTACGTTCAACAGCTGCACAATGTCAAGATGGTCTCGCTCGAGTGCCCGCTGCAAGGCTGTGCAGCCTAGCGCATCCAGCTTGTCCTTGTCAGCCAGGCTGTGCAGCAGCCAGCGAACGATGTCTGTGTGACCGCCTACACATGCAAGATGTAAAGGGGTTCTGCCGAAAGGATCGACCTTGTCCTTGTCGTCACCACTCTCCACTAAAGAAATCACAGCTTCCAGCCGGCCAGTCAGGCAGCAAAAGTGCAAAGGAGTCAAGCCATTTAGGTAGCTCGATTTGTTTTTGTCAGCACGTGCCCTGACCAGCCAAGTCACGATGCTGGGATGTTCTTGGGCGCATGCCACGGTCAAAGGTGTTGCACCATCGTTACCAGCCCAATTCATGTCCGCGGCGCCACCAACTAAAAGTTTCACCACGTTCAGGTGGCCAGCTAAGCACGCAAAGTGCAAAGGTGTGGAGCCCTGCTGATCCATCTTGTTGCTGTCGTCATCAGCCTGAACCAAGCAGCGAACCACATCCAAGTTGCCCGCAAAACAAGCCGCATGCAGTGGGGAGAGGCCCTGCAAGTTTGTTGCGTCCTTGTCAGCGCCAGCCGCAAGCAGAAACCGCACCACCTCCACGTGCCCAAAGGAGCTTGCCAGCAGTAAGGGAGTACCCTCCGAGTGGCTAATTTGGTCTATGTTCGCCCCAGCGCCGACCAACCAGTGCACGACTTCCAAGTGGCCTCTGCCGGAAGCCATATGCAAGGGTGCCAAGCCATTTGAGGAAAGGCGGTCCTTGACTGCCCCAGCTTCTAACAGTAACTTTGCAGACTTCAGGCTCCCGCATGAACAGGCGAAGCCTAGGGAGCTGCTCCCATGCAACTGATTCTCAGCGTCTACTGGTTTTTGTAAGAATGTCTCCACGGCTTCCGCATCATCTCTCTCAACTGCTGTGGCGAACTCCTCCAGCTCATGCTTTGTGGGAGATTGGAAGCTCAGGATCACGAGCTGCAAGCAATCAGGCCACTGCAAGACGACATCGTCGGATAACAAACAGTCGCCTCGCAGAAGTTGCTGTACGAATCTGCGGTGGCCGGTTAAGCTATACAAGTGCTGCTTCAGTGTCCGCACAGACCCGCCGACGGCAGACAGTTCTTCGAACGCAGCCGCGGACAAGTCAATCACATTGCCAGATGCCAAGCTGACATGCATTGCGCAGAGCTGCAGGTTGCTTTGCATCATAAATCCCGCAGACCTGCACAACTCCCGATGTGACCACCTTGAGCTATAACTTAGACTAGAACTACGACTATGAAGATCTTCATCGTAAGTCTTGCAGTCTTGCTAGGAACTTCTGTTCCCCAAGCCGAGCATTTGAGCCAGCTGGGAGGCGTGGGGTTTAGCATCTAGGAGGTACTAGCGCCCAAACCAGAGGTATGCCCAGAAATATTGCCAGGATCCAAGTGGGGGGGGAGAAAGCATTCAGGGGCCGGCACAGCCAGCGAGCGACTCGAATCTGTAACATCTGTGGCCAGCAAGGACACGCTGCATCCGTTCGGCAGGATAACTACAGCTGGAAACCTACAAGCACTGCATAGATAACAACCGCTAGATTCCACAGAGTTTTCGCGATTGCAGTCTTGCGCTTGTTTTGTGGTGGTTACAACATACCTTCACAGCCTCCAAGCCTCACAGAGACTGACCAGGAATGGTGCTGTCCCAGCCTTGGGCGGCGGAGGTGCTGGCACCTCAGCCATCTAGCATGCGCTTCTCCGAACACATTCCTTTGATTACTTGATACGCGCACTTCAAAAACCTTCCAAAGTGTAGGATGTCCTTTGACATGCCGCTGTGGCTGTCATGATGGTTTTGCATTCTGCACTTCATCCAACGCTGGATCTTTCCCAACACTCTGGCTGAGCTGGTGGCAGGACTAACCGGAGGACTGTGCCTTGGTTCTGCATACATCATCATACATCGGCAGATTCAGTCGATTGGCATCCAAGGGCACTGAAGGACTTGGTTGCACCTTCCGCGTCTACCCACAATCTCCAGAAATTCTTGCAATTACCAAGCCATGCCCTACACAAGCAATCGTCCAGCGGAGGCGAAACAAGCACTCGGTGGTAGCATGGAGAGTCCACGGGCGTCATGGCTACCAACAATTCAACCGATGGCATCCACTACAATGTTATACTTGTGGCGGACCTCGTTTTCATCGCTGTTCGTCTGCGTGCCCCAGATTGCTTCCCAAGACGTCGGCAAGACTTTTTCGACAAAAGGTATCAACCCAGAAGTCTCAGTGACTAGATGTACTGACCGAACAACACGCCACAAATGTGCAACAGCTCTCAGTGGGAGACCCTGGTGAGGACGGCTGGATGTTCGTCGGCTCTGCATCGCCTCAGGGACAGTGCTTTCAGTGCATGGTTGTTGGTCCCAATTTGTCTGGTCCTTGTTGCTCAATTATCTTCGTGTTCTTATCCAGTAAGCGTATTAATATTCTGATTTCAGGGTAACCACATGTCGAAAAAATACTAAAAGCGAGCACACGAAATGAATGTGATAAGAACACCCATAATTTCCAAGCTAGTCCAATGCTTTTATTCATGTACTTCTTGTCCTTGTTCTCCGCGGATCAAGTATGCACTTGCGAGAGACTTTAGTACAAGCGGGCGAAAGGAATGTGGGGCGAGCGCATTTAATCATTTTGCAAGTGAATTTTAGTAGGCAAAACTCCGGGAAGATCTCAGCTAAAAATTCCAGCCTTTATGTACCTTGGAAAGGAAGAGAGAAAGATATGTCAAAAGTGCCTTTATTCAGTTGCTTTATCAGATTTCGTAACTTCGTGTATTCCTTGCTGCTTTTTCCTGGAGGACACTCGAGCTCTCCCAACACAATATCGGAGCGTTGCGCTACATCTTCTGTAACCGAGCGCTTTATCAACGCATCTCAAGCCTGCCGACAGTCAACAGCAAACAATTCCCAACCACGAAGGGGGGGGGGGTGGGAAGGGCTCTCCAGATATAGTCTCTGCGCGGTTGTTCTTTTTTTGTTGTTGCTGTTTTCGGAGGGGGGGGGGGTGGGGGATAGCTGGGTGTGTGGAATGAAGGGATTGCTTGCATGTTCTGGACATGGGCTTTCCAGACAGTGATTTTCCAGAGGCTCTATGCGGAATTCTCGGCACACCAAGCCTCTTCTATGGAATTCCTGGCAGGGTTCCTGGTATTCGGATTCTTGGGAGATTCTCTGAGAGTCAGAAGTAGCCCGTCCAGGAGACCTGGGCGAGGAGACAAAGTTGAGTCGACATCGAACACACCCAGGGGGAGGCTGGCCACACAAAAGAAAGATAAGCAGAGATACCACCATAAACAGCAAACAACACAAGATGACCAGAACCAACAGAAAAAAACGTGCATAGAAACACAAAGATAAGAACGAACAAGTTCGGCCAACAGCAAAGACCAAATGTATTTGAATGATTAGCAACCGACAACAAAACAATGCAAGAATGATACCTTACACTCGGCTCATCTTTGTGAAGGGGGCTCTCATTCGCCCATACTTTGGGTATTGTTGCTTCCTGTCCTGTCGTCTTTTACGCAGCACACCATACCTTGACTGCATCCTCGTGCACAAGAACGAGGCATTCATTTCACAGCGATAAACACAACCCAAATGAACACGAGACCTGGGTGGCCGCAGGTTCCCCAGGATGCATCACGGCCCCCCCCCACAGTCAGGATGCGACACCGCATTTCGTCACATAGCTCCGCTAGCTCTCTCAGAGGCTTTCGTGACAAAGCAAACACGTCTTATATGGAGGTGGATGCATGCATGCGCATGTAACAGAAAACCCGCTCTGTCAACACCGAAACGGACAGACGACGCCCTCTGGCTCTGGCTTAAGCTAGCTCTTCACCTTGTTGCTTCTTCTCCTCCGGTATTCTCTGGCCATGCAACAACAACCCCACTTCTAATGAATGCCCTGTGCAACCCTTGTATCCCCAATGAATGCCCCGTGCAACCCTTGTATCCCCAGAGAACCAATGAACTTCCAAACATTCTGTCTCGAAATGGAAAGAAAGGGTTCCGATATGCTCCGAGCCTTCTCTGCTGAAGCCGACATTTGTTCGATGTGGGGATCCAGGAGGCGACGGCCTTCGGCAGTCGTAGAGGGATTTGGCTTCAGGGCTTCGCGTTCCGCGTGGGTGTTTAAGGTGCAAGCAGGAGTCAGGAGGGTTTTAAACGTAAGCTGCTTGCAGGGCTGGCGTCTTCTGGCCGACATGAGCAGTGGCTCACGACTCCTGCAACCGCTTACCTGCCGCACCTGACCCAAGAACACATACGAAACTCCAACGAGACCATCAGGCAACGCGTAACACAAGCACAAACACTACTCGTTCCTGTGAACTCTCTCCCGAACCCCGAATGTGCCTTCCTCCTGCAGGGGATCCGCGAAGGTGAAGCTGATGAGGACTGGAGCTCACCTGAGGCACCTGGAGAGACAGGTGAAGCTTGCACCCATGTCTCCTTTGTTCAGGGCTCGGGTGCTTTGGCTTGATTAGTCATGGGGCGGGTTTAAACTAGTTGAAGCTCATGGATCCCAGTGACTGCTGGGTATGCTCTTGACGCCATCCAAATGAGGAGTGGAACTTGTATTTTACATGCAGGTGAACAGCGTGCTATTTCAGCGCACAGACTCTTTTACATGCGAAGTTTCTCTTGGCACTTGTCGCCCTCGAGGGTTTTTTTTGCCGTGCCCTCAGCTGGGACACCTTTCGCAAGTTCAGCGGAGCCAGCTAGCCGCAATTCCAGTCGCATCGGCATAACTGCTCATCTTTGCACAATAATCATGATGAGTAGGCAAGTTGTCAACCTTGCCCTCGAGGCAAAAGGTATGCAGGTGCAGCCATCGGACGCTCACGCTTCGAGGTGAATGTATGCATTGCCACACCGGGCCCATGTGACCCGTGTACTGGTAGAATCGAAAGCCACTCTCAAGCATCTGCACAAGCGTCTGAAAGCTCCCCGGCATCTTCGATAGGACGGAGAGGTCGCGGACGTAGGATCTAGGTACCGTGAGGGCAGCACCTGCTGGACATCCATGGCCCCTGTTGCGATTCTCAAAGCTAGTCACGCCGCCAATTGCATACCCACCGCACCCAGGATTGCTTGCCCGGTGGCAAAATGCCATTTCTCCGCAATGGGTGCAGTACCCTTTTGGGTAAGAAACCATTGGGATCTCGGCTTGCCCCTGGGACCCAGACTCTACACTCGACGACATGCCATCAGCAGTTGAGACGTCCAGGCCGAGGTCAACCTCTGAGCTCTGAGAGTCGGAGGAATGCTCTTCCTGTGCCTCGTCTTTAACGGTTTTAACTCTGAGCTGCCGCAATGACAGCGCTGCATCATCTTCGACGCAGCTCCCGATCACGGCCTCTGCTGCACTGGGCCTGGGAGGAGAATTGCGATGGCAAGGCATGCTAGACTCGCTCTTAAAGCAAGCTAGTCTCCTAGGCTATGGATGACTGGCAACTGAGGCAGCAGCACGCAAGCAAAGGCCAATGCCCAATACAACAACTGGAGCGCTTTCTGCATGGAGCGACAGCTCAAAAGCTGAAGAACTGTCTAAGAGAACATAAAAACGTAGTGCTTGAGCCAACAGCTGCACGAACTGACTATCACAACCCATTCTCTCGCGAAATTTGACCACTGCCATGACGACAATGACGAAAGAGGCATCAAGTTGGTGAAAGAGGTGCCTCTGAATGCCTCTGAAGCATGGTGTGCCATGTGTGCATATGTGTGCCAACATGTGAAGCGCCTTCCTCGGCGGCCTGAGCCGTCCTAGTCACCTCGAAACCTAATGCAGTCGGCCTCGGCGGTGGGATCCTCGGCATTGTGGATGATCTGCCGTATGAGCTGCATAGACTCCGGCTGCATAAGCCTCCCGGGCCATTCCAGTCGCGGCATGCCATTTGCGAAAGTGCCCTAGCATTTGTGCTCCCAACATGCTCGTTCTTGTTTCTTGCGTTGTCTCTCTTCTTATTATGATTCTGCACGCCGTAGGGCCTTAGGGACCCAGGCACGCCAAAAGGGGTCAAGAGGGGGTGAGACCCCCCTCCGAGGACGATGTTGGAGAAGGGACGGCCTTGCTTATCGGGGATGTACTCCCGGTCCCACGTACCTTCCTATATCCTTAGCGAGTTCCCCCCTGAACTTTTGCCGTTTCCCCCTCCTGGGTCATTGCCCTTCTCGTCTTCCCTTCAAGTGCTGTTGGCGAGCTGTTCATTGGCTATCTTTCTCTTCTGCTTCTTCTTCTTCTTCTACGGGGCCTGAGTGGCCCTAGATCCCCTGCTGGCTGCGAAGTGTCACACAAACTGGAAGGACTCGGCGCGCCCGGACTTCTCTCTCTCTCTCTCTCGCTCTCTCCCTCTCCCTCCTCTACTCTCCTCTCTCCGTCCTGTCTGAGACACTCCGCTTACCTGGACGAAGCAATCGCATCATCCAAGGTCACGACTAAGATCCGCATGTGTGCTTAAAGTACTCAAGCTTCTGCCACCATGCGACCATTGTTTAAACAGGTGTGCTCAAGTCATTCTTTACACCAAAAACAACACTCATCGGCCACTGCCACATAACCCTGCAACCGATAATGTCCCAGTGCCGCGCGCACCATTCCCAGAAGAATTCGTCCAACTTCGCATTGACCAGACCACATCCCTGTTCAGGAGTCGGGGATGATGCATGCAGGGTGATGTGTGGTTGGCTTTGTAAGATACCGTCTTGTGTAGGACTGAGGGTGGGCTTGCTCTCACAGGCCAGATGTAGGGCGAAAGGTTTGCCTGAGTACATGCAACAAAACACATCAAGGCACATTGCCTCTAAGCGAATGTGCAAGGAGTTGTAAAGCTGAATTGACTGTGGCTTCATGAGTGGCTGCCTCTGCCCTCGGAGCAATCTTTTGAAGGATCTACTTGTGCCTGAATTTCCTGAAACTCACTGGCTACTGGCTGCACGCTGCAAGGCAGCTCAGTCTAGAAGCGAAGCTGTAGTATCCGCCTCTGGGGCCCTGAGATTAGTTTCAAAGGGCTGCTGAGCCTGCGCAGAAACCATGGCAGGCTAGGCAGCAGTGCTGAGTTTATGCTCAAGACTTCAGGGCTGGAAGAGTCTGAGTCACTGAGTCACTGAGTGTCTGCCTGACAATCCAGGCCGACTCTTTGCGTTGTGCTGAACTTGGCTGTGCGGACGTCTATAGATTTCTGTGCCTTGTTCGGCCATGCTACATCTCATGAATTAAAGTTAATGAAAGTGCTCGAGCCCGGGCAACACGCAAGGCACACGGCTTGCAGGTGTCAAAACTCTGCAGTCTGTCTACCGCGACCGTCAGTCAGCTCCCTCCTTGAGTGAAGTGATGTTAGGGAATCAGCCGAACTGGCTGCTCTCACACACACACACATATATATCTCTCTCTTCGATATGAACAAACGCCCACACAAAAACTGGCACTATGATGGCAGGCTCACCGCCCGAAACAAGCAACCGTCAACACCATGTCGAAAAAAGGCCACAGCTCCGCTTTGAAAGCGAAAACCTGGCTCCCGAATCCCAGCAAAGCTCTGAATCCATCGCCAAAACATGGAGGCTTCCAGAACCCTTGTTCTTCCACGTAGGGCCTCCTCAGAAGCAGCCGGTGATAAACAGTTTGCCCGGCCTACGGCAAACTCTGCCACGCTTCGAGCGCGGGAGATCTCCAGTGGCCTTCTCCCACTGGATCCGAAGCTCGCCCTTCGGTCGTAATTTTCACCAGCAAACCTCACCTGATGGCAGCAATCCGGCTTTGACCCTGTTTCAGACTGAGGTCGCACAATTACAGAACACGAGGCTCCTAGGTAGCTAGATTCATGGAGCTCTGAAGACCTGGAAGATATAGACGTCTTGCCATCTTTCCACAGCATGCCGGATTCCTGCCGCCGGATGTCTACACTGATGCGTTCAGGAAAGGCCAGGACCTCGCTACTCCCAAGGTTCGAAACACGGTCGGCAATGTTCGCAACGCGTGACGAAACTGAGGGCACGAAGCTATCAATGCCACAACCATGCGACTAACTAGCCAGAAGCTGCAGCGCCTCCTTTTAACCCTCTTGCCACAGCAGCTGCTCCAGACTGAGGGCAGCAGGGCTAACTTCCTTGTGTCGTCATAGTGGAAGCCACGAGCAAGCATCAAAGGGGAAACGCTGGCATAAGCGCATACGACTCCATTGCCAAAATGCCAGCGCGCAAGCTACTTACTTTGCTTCGGAGCTCACTCGCAGAATCCCTTGCCTCAGAGCAGGAGCTTTGAGGAGCTGCCCAGTCTAACGAATAGCGTCGACATTTCGCAGCAGCCCGTTGCGGCAAGGTGCTGGAGGTCGGCGCGCAAGTGCTCGAAGTCCTCAAGCCCGATGGAGACGCGGAGTAACCTGTGCTTGTGCAGCGCTTGGGACTGGAAGACTGGAATGAGGCCTCCACTCATTCAAGCAACAAGGCTCACCAAGAAAGATTTGCACATAAGCAACAGCAAGCCCTCTAATATTACTAGGCAATCGGACGATCGATAGCGATAGAGGTGAGATTGCTGCAGCTTCCTGCGCATTGACCCGAGTAGCCAAAAAGGTCAAAGCACTCAACATCCTGCAACGACGTTTCTACATGTTTACTAAGCTGCAGCGCGTGGCTAGCTCGTTGTTTCGGTTGGGAAGCTCGGAAAGCAACGTGCCAAGCTAACAGCAGAAGCCGCTACCCACCAAACACACTTCATTCCCAAAATACTCCCAGTAGACCAAGGAACAAAGGCGATATAGCCGGATCCCAGCGCCGTCTCCACTCAATGAGGCTCTCCTTGGTTTTGTCATGTGTCGTCAACAGCTGCCACATAAATGTTTGTGCACAGACAATTTCGTAGGTGTTTTGGATTTCTTGGCCGGGGCGTCGGCTTTCTGATGGCGCGACATTCTTGAATCAAGTTTTGCACGGTTGAAATCGTTTGCAAACACAAGTCTCGTGTGATGCTCAAATGAGCGGTAGGGAGGGGGGGTGGGGGGTGGGGGGTGGGGTTGGGGGTTGGGGTGGGGTGTCGTGGGGGGGTGGTAGGGGTGTGGTGGGGGGTTGGGTGGGGGGGGGAGTGGGCTCATGTCTGGAAACGATGACATGGGTTTTGCAGTGATGTTCTTTGACGGCTCATTCGTTGCAGCAAGCCCGGCTTAATTGCATGAGCAATTGGGTTCTGAAGGAATGCCGATTGATGGCAACACGTTCCTTGACGGCTTAAACGGAGTTGGGGCGAGGGGGGGGGGGTGGGGGGCACAGCTTTTTCAAAAACACACACACACACACACACACAATGATCGAATGATGGTTCTGGAAATGTGAACTGGGTTGTGAAGGGAATGTTCGTTGATTTCGCGACATTCTGTGCGGGGGAGGGAGGGGGCCGCCTCCTACAATGTTTGTTCAATAGATTCATGGAGGTGTTGAATGAGTGTTGCTGACGGCCCGACATTCTATGAAACAAGTTTTGAACAGGCTGGAAAAAGTCGGAGGCCTGGGGGTTGGGGATTCTCGCCCTATTTGGATGGGTTTGGAAATGACTGACTGATGGGTTTGGGGGGACTTCTCGCTGATGCCATGGAGCGAGTTTGCAGGGCTTAAATGCAGGGGGCTGGGGGATTTGCAAACATCATGCTCCTATGATGGACTTGAGCAGGGTCCATGTGGGTTTTGAAGGAATGTCCATTGGCGGCACGACATTTCTGAGGAGACGTGCTTCTCGACATTCTTTGGAGCAAGCCTTGCACGACTTACATGAGCATGTGGGTTTCGAGGGAACGCGCAGAAGTTCTGCCCGGCATAAATCAGCGGCCCGCCTATGATGCGCGAGGCCCCCTTTTTTTGGATATCACAATGCTCAAACGATGGGGCTGGATTTGTCGACATGAAAATATAGGAATGTTCTTTGATGGCACGACATTCTTAGCAAGTCTTGCCGGCTCGTGGGCGGCAGACACCCCCCCCCAATTGCAAACATAATGCTCGTACGATGGGTCTCTGGCTTCAAAATGATGGTTGATATGGGGGGGGTGGGCAAAGGAGCATCCCCTCCCCCACCTCCCCCCTTCTGCAAACACAATGCTGGCAGGATGGACCTGGAAATGATTGGCATGGGTTTTGAAGGCTGTTCTTTGATGGCACGACATTCTTTGCAAGCAAGCTTGCACGGCTGATATACACACAGTGTGTGTGTGTATATATCTCTATCTCTGAATTACATACCTGCATAACTCAAACCCGTTGCCCTACAAGTCCTTTCGCCTTCAAAGGTGCCTTTCCGGGTGCAGCCCAAAGGCAACGCCACCGAGGGATGTCGCACTCCCGAAGAGCTTCCTGGGCTGCACGGTTTTGGCTCCTTGTGCCCAAGGGCTTGTGTTATGCTGGAGGTGCATGGTCTGGGCTGTGGCTTGGTTGATCTGGCTTCTGTCCCGCCACCTGGATCTCATCCCAAGAGCCTTGTGCTTCTACAGTAGGACCAGGAAGCATCCAACACCTGCAAACCCTAGCCCTACATGAACCTGGAAGCTCAGCCTTGTGCCAGTGCTCGAAATCGATAACAATGAATTCATAGGCGCTGGGTGGAACCAGCTGCTAAACCAATCGGCGCCCAATTTTGACCAGGACTCTTTGCCTGAAGCCCACTTTCGTTGGTCCTAGCTCCTACGCTCCCTTGCACCCAGCTTGGGGAAAAGCTAGCAACTGCCAACTGACTGGCGCTCAAAAATGCACAAACAAAGCTGCCATCTAAACTGCAGTGCCCGAGGTGCAAGGCCCCGGGAAGAGCGCGGGCTGCTTTCTCTGATCTAAGTTCCTCGGAGCTTGTGCAAGGCTTCAAGATTTCAGGGTGCAGGTTTCCAAGCTTCGGTTTCCAGACTTCAGAGAATTCCACAGGCTACTGTGGGTTCTGGTTTCAAGTTCTGCCACTCCCTTGTCTCACAAGCCGCCACGATAGTCAATAGCCCTGAGCACTGCTTTGGGGCTTATACTACTGGGAGAAGGCAAAAACCATGGCCTGGCCCAATCTTCCTGTAAACCCCAACTGTTCGGAGGTCCAAGGCGAAGCAACCACCAAAGCCACCAGGCATCTGCTCCTCAGCGTGTCTTCACGTCTGCTGCTGACAGCGTTCAGCATGGGCAGAGCGCATCTGTATTTGTTTTTGCTGTTCCGTGCTGCAGTCTTCTTGTAAGGGACTCATGCTCGTACGCAAAAGGGCAGCACGTGGCACCCACGACACTCAAAGCGACCTTCACTTCATTAAGTATGGACCTGTTTCTGCTTCGACGCCTCTAAACACAGTTCACAATATCGGAAGCCGGCTGCCACTACCCAGCTGCTCAGCAACCAGGGTGGGTGGGCGGGAAAACGCAAGGCAAACTCTGCAGACAAGACTGCAGTGTGACCAAACCGACAGTGCACAGGCTCAGCTGTTCAACTCAACTCGAGCACGCACACATACAATGTACACTGTATGGAGGAGTAGGTGTGGAGAGAGGGCCGGTGTTCTGCCAAACCCAACCGAACCGGGAACACCAACACCTCTACACCAAACCTACTCTCCGGAACCCCGTATGCACAACACAAGGGAGGGGCGCGCCAACCTTTTGCAGGAAATGCCGGGCAACAGTCAAGAGCCAACTGGCCCATCTAAGCCCCAAAGAACTGCCGGTTGGCTCTGCCCAGGCGCGCCCTATACCCCCAACAATCTGCGCGACTGCACAGCGCTACGCAGTACACTCGAAACAACGTGCCGAATTGAAGCATTACAGCGAACTTGATCGCCCCAGAAACTTCGCCCAAGGCTCAAGAAGTTCACCCAAATCCAGACGCACTCGGTTCCAGACGCCAAATTTGGACTGCAACTCCGGGGATGGCGCCGGACTTTCTGGATCATTCAGCCGGCTCAGGCTGTCCGCCTCCACGTTCCTCTCGCCCGCCATGTGCGACATGTCCAACGTCACACCAAGATCCAAGCAAGCGCTTGCTAGTGTCATCAAAGCGAACGACAAAGTACCCGAAGTAGACAAGCCCTTGCTGCACGAGGCCACCACCGCCAAGTTGTCTCCAAACTGACGCAGGCGAACTGCGTGCGTGAACTTCCCACCAACTATCTTTGCACGCGCCAAGACGAGCGCCAGCTGCGCCAACAGCTCCAGCGCGCAAATCGCTTCCTGCAGCCTCTCTGGGCAGGCCCAGGCTGAAGGCAACTGACCACCTTTAATATCCAAGTGGAACCACCAAAGCTGACCACCAGAGCAGAACCAGCCTCCCAATCCGGCCACGGACGCCCCGGCCCAGGCATCTGCTGCTCCGTTGTTAAGGACAACCTCGCCAGCCCAAGAAGAAGAGTTGTCGCGGAAAGCCCTCTGCAACACTGACATCGCTGCCAAACAGACCTGGTCCAAGTCCACATTGGCCGTCCAGACAGAGAAGCGCACCCAGACTTTCCCGGTCAACACGCGAGGCTGCCTAAGCAGCCTCTTCGCCTCCACCACCGAGCCGACGGGCTGCTTGCCAATTTCGCAAAGCCTCCATCCCTTCTGGACATCGCTCGTCGACGCAGCACGTTGAACCACAAGCCCGTCCTCCAGCAAGAGAGACAGCTCTTCGAGCTGACCCCATCCCAGGCACTGCAAGCGCGCTCCAGGCCTGTTCAGTCGCTTGAACAGCGGAGCAAGGAAGGCCCTCAACGCAAGTCGGACCTGAGTGGCCCAAAGCAAGAAGCCTAGCAGCTGCGCCAGAACGCGGCGAGGGACGCGACGTGGATGTAGTCGCCACCAGGCCAACTCCCGCAACACTTTGCCCTGCTTGTTCTCCGGCAGCGCCGCCCAGAATTCCGAGATCAGAGTCAGGCGCCAGCCCAAATACGTGAGGTCGTTTCCGAGGGCAAGCTTCTTCCACGACAGCGGCACCTCCAAAATCTGCAGGATAGCTAGCACAACCAACATTGCGAACGCAGCCCGAGGCAGCAAAAGTAAGAAGTCGTCCACATACACCGCACCGAGGTGCTTGTGGCGAACGAGCATGTGGATGAGCCGCATCAAAAGCGAAGAGAGACGGCTCCACCAGTAAGCCGACCAAGCGGCGCCAAAGTGATTTACCACGTACGCGTAAAATTCGCCCTCCAAAGAGAAGACAGAGAAACCCACGTCCTCTGCAGCAGTTCTTATGGACTTGTGCGCTCCCTTAACATCCACGCAGAATAAAACCCAAGCGGAGCAGTCCACTTCCCCGCCGCACCAAGCTGCAAACCGGTTGAGCGCTGCCGTGAATAAGTACAGGGAGGGAACCTCCGCTCTCTCACAGAAACGAGCAGCAGGGCTGGCGCCACTGGCCTTGGAGTCGCCGATCAATCTGTCCTCCTTGCCCGGAGAGGTCACCACACCCAGCTTGCCGATCGCCAACTCGCCCGGCGGAAAACGCTGCTGCACTGCGGGCAGACCCCCTTCAATGTGAACCATGTAACCCTGATCCAGCTCCTTCTGAACCAACTCGCGCACTCTGGAACGTTCCCTCTCCGCTGAAGCGTGATTGGCGGTGCACAAGCACAAGTCGCAAACATCGCACACCTCCTTGCATTCTCGGAGGAGAGAAGCGGCCACACCCCCGATGGGGGGATCGGCCGACGCACACCAGTGGGCGCACCACGTCTCAGCACTTCGCACAAGGGCACATCCGGATCATCCATACGCTTGGCCAGCGACTCCAATAAGTTCAGCTTGTACGGCGTGAGCTCAAAACGCTGCGTTGCCCAATCCAAATCCACATGTAGCGCAGAGCAGACGGAAGCCCGCATGGTGTGCACCTCCTCATCTGAGAAAAACGGCCGCTCCAACACTCTGCCCGGTAGAGCTGCCGCCCTACGGCACGCATCTGCCGGCATTGAGCCCCAAATCGCACATCTAACACAGGCCAGAGGATCACATAGAGCGAAAGGAGGTGGAACCTGCCAGTCCAGTGTACTCAAGATGCCTCCCCCATCCTTGAAGAACACTCTATGATACGCAGCGCACGCCGCCGGGTCTGCAGGCTGGCAAGGTTCCTTGCCCACTAGCTCCAACACAGGCATGCTTCCCTCACTCCCCTCTACCAGGTCCATGCTAGGAGTGAGGAGCTGTCCCTAGTCGTCTTTGGCCAATTGCAACAACTTCTCGCACGCCGATCTCCCATGCTCACCGCTGCCGCAATACTCACACTGATGGAGGAATTTGCAATCTGGGAGTGTGCGCCTGAAAAGCAAAACACAAGCCTTTCTGGCGCGCTTTTCCATCACGACCCTTGCCCCCACGCCCCTTGCCGCCAGCGCCACGACCTTTCCCCTTTGACTCCGCACCGTAGGGGGAAAAGCGCTTCTTTTCCGACGGCAGCTTCGGGCGCGGCTGGAGCCACATGCGAAGGCTATCCCGCACCACCACCGCCTCGTGGATTGCCTTGTCCAAACTGTGACCCTGGCCCAGCAGATCATTAAGCTGGCGGCAAAGCTCCGCATCGGCACTCTCAGCTTCAGCCAGGGTCGGCGGCCGCAGACCCATCTCAGATAAGCCCACACGGTGATACAGCATCATGAACTTGTTCGCTAAAATTTTTCCGGAAGACAGGTGGCACCAATCAACAAGCGCCCAGGCAACGCTCCGAAGACACAACACCTTCTGGACCGCAAACGGCGAAGCTGAAATCTCCACCTCGGCCGGATCGACTTGTCCAGTTGCATCCGCCAGCAGGCCCAGCAAGGATTTTTCCTTGGAGCCAGCGCAAGAAAGACGAGCCCGATCATACTGCACCACCGACAAGATCTGCTTCCAAGGAATGAATTTCAGCTCGGCATTTGCACGAGTTGCTTGCACGGCTGGCCATCCGATTCCAGCGCCTCCGCAGGATAGCTGGATTCAAACGCCTTCCAGAGCTGCTTCAGCTTGGCCCCATCCAGTTGAGGCCCCAGGGGGACCCCCAGCAAGTTGGAGGCCTCCGAGTTTACTGCAACTGTCCCGATCTCAGCGTTCGGCTCCGCGCACAGGCTTTTGCAAACAGCGAGCAAGCGTCTCAGTCTGCCGGCTTCCAAACATTGAAGCACGGATGGAGCAGCCCCTATGTCCACTCCGGCAGACTCCAGAACGGCCCTGAAGGTTTCCTCTGCACCACCCTGTAGTGTCCAGTACAGCTCAGCCGCCGTAGTGAACCCACGGCTTTGGAGGCGTTGCTTCACCTGGTCGCACAAACCCACCTGCGCCACCAGTTCCCCGAACTTCTGCTTGCAATCCATCGCAGATCAAGGAAAGCAGAGCACAAGCAAACCAACAGAATCTCAAGACAGCAAGTAAGCTGGCTGGCCCCACTCGGGTTCAATCAAGCTGAACAGGCACGCGCACGCCCGAACTGCCGCAACGACTCACACAGAGTTACCAGACCAACGCAAGCACACTCTCGCACGCAGGAGACCAAGTCTCACACTCACAAAAACCTCTCTACGAGGTCCCTGCAAACACACGTTTGCCTCGATCTCCCCCTGAGATCAGATCTCACACGAGATCTCCCCGCTGCAGCTCTCTGAGCAGGCACGCGCACGCCCGAACTGACGCAACAACTCACACTACAGTAACTAGACAAATGCAAGCACGCGCTCGCAAGCAGGAGACCATGTCTCGCACGCACAGAAAACCTCTCCTGAGGTCCCTGGCAAACACACGTTTGCCCCGATCTCCCCCTGAGATCAGATCTCACACCAGATTTCCTCGCTGCAGCTTTTGACTGCACCGGGCGCACTACGCGCCGGACCCACCACACAAAACCTGGGCGCACGCCAAGTGATTGCATGGCTCAAAGGGGGTCGCTTTCAGGGAGGGGTCCTCCTTCCAAACCTGCCAGTGCAAATCATCGATATCCTTGGAAGGTGCGCAAGCCCTTCTCACAACCCCGCAGTCCAAAATCACAGCAGCGTGAAACCTAGCACTCAGGCAGTTCACCACGTACATATCTTGCAGGAGCTGACCCCTTGAAATTTGATCATCTTCTTCGTCGCAGCAGGCATCCTCGGCCTCCATCTCCTCGGACACGCTAGAGCTGCAAGAAGAGATGGTCGATCCATCCGACTCAGACTCGGCATCCGTGTCGTCCTCTGACCTTTCCGCTGCACTCAAACCCATAGGGATGGTTTCCAACTTCGCCGTCTTGAAGGCCAAACGACACTCTGGGACGGGTCTCCGCGCACCCCGCACTTGTGGCGTTAACGGCACCCAACCTCCCCGGATAGCCTGGACCACTGCCAGCTGGCCCCGCAGCGCCGGAAGCACATCTTCACGCCCATATTTCTGCGCCATAGCTTCCCCAGAATCGCGAGATCGGTGATGGCCCCACAGACGCTGCCACACACTGTCAATATCAACTTGAACACCCCAGGACAAGCCCGTCACCTTCAAGCTATGCAATGTGTACACACCCACAGCCTCCACTGGTAGCTTTCCAACGCTCACCAACAGACGCCTCAGCTGGGACAGCGCAAAGGTGAAGGAAGCTCTATCCCCACTTGGACCCGGGATCATGAAGTCTGCGTCTCCCAGTCGCTGTCGCAGCAGCGCCACTGCCGGCGTCCAGTCACCGCAGACCCCAACTGTCAAGCAACCCCAAGGCATAGGCGTGCGTGAAGACTTCGTACGCCAGCAACAGCATCTCAAAATTCCCTCTACAATGTCCATCTCATTCACGGAGACCCGCTGCGCATCACTAAACCTCAACGCTGCCCAAATCATGATCAGGAAGGCCACGGTCAGCAACCCATCTCCATCCAGGCCCTCTTCCTGGCCCATGCTCTCCAGCACCCTCCGCTCGAAGTTGGCGACGGCGCTTAGAGGTAGTGGCAGCGCTTCCTTGCGAGCTTCCTTTTGGCCATAAGAGCCAGTCCAGGCAGCGACCACAGGATTTGCCAGGCACGACAGCAGCTTATCCCAACCAAGAATTCCCGCCACGAATTTCAAGGATGTCACTGGTGCATTGCTCGCGCTCCGCCGCTGCTGAATACAAGCCAAGAAGCTGACCAACACGCTAACTGACGCATCTGCCGTAACAATCTCCCTGCCATAGATGAAATCCATCCAAAGCTTAAATCCTGACAAGTGCCGCCTCAAAGTTCCCGCAGCTTTCCCACGCAAGACTTTCCACAAACTATCCAGAGCAAGCTCGCCAAGGTCCTTGAAGAAAGGCGACGAAGCCAGAAAGGGCATTAGAAGCCCGACCCAAGAATCCGCCAACAAGCGCCACTGCTCATCCTCCCAGTCTTTTGCACGAGAACCTGGCTGCACTTGGAAAGCCAACCCAACACCAAGCCTCGCACACACAGACGGAGGCTCCAGCGGCAGTGTGAGCTCCAAACTCGGCTGACGCGAGGAGAAAGACGGACGCGCAAGACCTCCTCTGCGGCACGGTTTGTACCCAGGCACGCCAGCCTCGCTTAAGATATCTGGACGTGGACAACCAACTCCACAAGGCACACGTGGCGCTGCCACTACGTGGCTCGGCGCGGCTCGAGGCGTGCCCCCATGGTTTAGGCAGTAAGGGCCCACCGCCTCCAACCTTGGACGCGGCAGCCCAGGCCCTTTCTTCTGCAACATGAAGACAAAAGAAAAACGCAAGGCAAACTCTGCAGACAAGACTGCAGTGTGACCAAACCGACAGTGCACAGGCTCAGCTGTTCAACTCAACTCGAGCACGCACACATACAATGTACACTGTATGGAGGAGTAGGTGTGGAGAGAGGGCCGGTGTTCTGCCAAACCCAACCGAACCGGGAACACCAACACATCGTAGACACTACTCGAGCTTGCTGCTTAGGTTTCGGACGGTCAGAATACTTCTGAGCTGGATTCAAGAACATCTGGCCAAAGGCATGCCGAGGCACTATAGCAACAGCATGATTCGGGTGTGTCTTCAGCGATGGGTGGTGCACTGCGTGGATCAGTCCAGAGAGGGCCTTGTGGCCAGCGTGCGGTCCCCAATTCGCAACAACGATGCAGTCAGAAGATAGAAGCTGTTAACACCCGCAGTATGGGCCCCAGACCAAACGAAAAAGCTGGACCCTGGCTAGGCTAGGAACTTCATCCTCGGACCTTCCGATCTTGCAATGCCATCTGTCAACCGAGAGTCGTGGGAAGTATCCTTGGCACGAGAGGCACCATGCTTTGTACCATTGCGATCCATTGCGCCCGTTCTCTCAAAAGTCAGAGAGCAAAAAGACCACTACTACATAATATTAGCACAATATTACATACCTCTTGTGCAAATGATTCGACGGAAGTGAAGCAATGCGCGCGGCCCAAGGAGCGCCCGCGGTCGCGAGCTGGAGCCACTCGGCCAGGAGCGTGGCCGTGGCCGACTGCCGCTGCACCCGCAGGTGCAAGGTGCGCAGAGAACGGAGCAGCAGCCAGACCTCGACGCTTTCAAAGAAAAGGAGGCACACGGCACAAGGCCTTAACATCTCTGAGAGAAGCCGTCTTTATAAGGCTCGGATATAGCTCATGAAGCAAAAAACACAACAGTGCGACAGCTCCCACGGCATTTCTCATGCAACTCCAATGTGACGATGCCGAGAGGCCTCCAGGCTCCCGGGCGTTGAGCCAAGTGCCATCCGGTCCTTCCTCAGTTGATCCGCTACCTCGGCGCTGGCGACGCAAACGGCGCCCCCCAGCGCATCGGAGTGCCCTGCCAGGGACTTGGTGGTAGCGTGCATCACAGCATCTGCACCCAGCAGCAGGGGCCGCTGCAGCGGTGGCGGTGCGAACCTGGCGAGCTCCGAGGCGCGCGGCGCGGCAACTTCGGTTTGGGTGGCTAAAGCAACTTTTAAGTAGGTAAGCCTTTGGCGGGCTTCGCAAGATTATCGGTTCTGACCCAAAGTGCGGCCAAAGCTCGTGCCATCCACAGCCACATGGACGCCGGGACAGCCCCTTGCTGCCGCCACGTAGGCCTTGATTCGCGTAATGCGAGGAAGTATCACACAATATCCCCCACAAGCGAACAAGAGTCTCAAGAGACCTGGAGTCTCAAGAGGTCGAGCATTCAGATTTAGTTAAACTCCGCTGTCCTTAGTCGGGCGGAGGCCACAAGCCTTTTGCTACTGCTGTCATTCATGCTGTCATGCTGTTTTCGCACAGTTTTCACGGACTTTCATGCTGAGCCTTGCCTCATCATCCAATCAGCCCCATCAGAAAGCCGGCTGGTAGGAGAGTCCGGGGTACAGTATGAGCAGGCATCGACCACAACCATTCGGTACGCGTGAAACTAGGTGCTTCGGCCCACCGGTGCAGAGAAGGTGCTTTGATGTCAGCCACATCGCAGGAGGGATTCAGAGGCGTCTCCAACCAGATGAGATCACCGGACTTCAAAGATGATGCCAGCCTCACAGTCCAACAAGGCTCATGCACCAAGGTCACTCAAGGATCTGTGCTTCAACCTCGCGCCTCCTTGTTCCTACATGAGTTCCGCCATGAAAGCTCCGATTGTTTTCGTCCTGGCCAATCTTTGCAATCGCCTACAGTTCCCCTCAAGAACAAACACAACATGTTGCGCTTCACATACATCTCCCCAATCCCCTCAAGGATCCATGCGCCCATCTGGACATGTTTGCACATCTTGCTAAGTGGTCTTCGGATCTCCGGCTTGTCTGGCGCTCTTAGTTCACTGGGTCACGGGGGGGGTACAAGATGCAAGTGGATGGTCCATCCTCTACCTTTGCGACCAGATTCGTATTTCACCTGCCCAAAACAGAAATGCCGAGCAATTGAGGAATATCCAACTCTCCTGCATCAAGCGCACGAAAGACACTTAGAGGGCCAAGCGTCTCTCCAGGACTCGGCAAGGGCTCACACTTGCAGCGGCCTCCCACTGAGATCTTCTGAAGTTGGCCCAGAACCTGCAACAGTGCTCGTAAAGACATGAGGGGCTTGGCATTACACTTACTATGCAAGGTTTTGACAGGGTTGGTCAAGTTTCGGGGATGTGATACACGGGGAAGCTTTGAAGAGCTTCCGAAATGCCTGAATATGTTGCTCCGTCCAGCGTGGAATTGCCACCGCATCCATGGCCACGTCTGGTACTTAGAAAGAAATGCTGCTCAGAAGCTTCTCAGGAGTGCGGGACCATACAGACATCCTTCCCAAGGGTAGAGCAAATGGATGAGGGGGATAAGGCCGGGAAAGGGGCAGCAGCAGGGGTTTGGGCATGCACTGGAGCCCTTAAAGGATGAGGGGGTACGGGGAGCAGCGAGGTTTTTTCGCTCTTGTTCCCTTCATTTCAAGGTGGGCTTAAGGCAGCAGCGGGGGGTTTGGGCATGCATTGGAGGCCTTAGAACACTTCATTACAAGGGGTTGGCAAAAACCCAGCTGCTGCCCCACACTCCCCTCTACTATGCCTACCCCCTCATCCTTGATGAAGTGTGTTAAGGGTTCAGTGCATGCCCAGACCCCCCCCACCCACCCCCACTTGCCCTTCCCCACCTTGGTCTGAAGTGCTTTTAAGGGCTCCAGTGCCAAACCCCTGCTCCCCCCCACCCGCCCCGGCTTAACCCCCCATCTTTATGCGACAGCGCCACCCGCTACGTTGAACGAGTAGAAATAAAGCATTCAGAGATTTGCCAAGCAGCAAAAAGACTTGAAAGCACTGCATGTGCGCAGCCAAGAGCGCGGTTCGTTGCGAAAAAATCTCTCTGAGAGGCTATGAGCTTTGACCTACAGAATTGCAAACTCTTCTGACGTTTATGCTCTGACCTTGTGTTCTTTCTAAGGCGGCCTGATGTGTCCCGTGGTAGCCGCCAGAAATGAAGACCCGCGTGGGCAGGAAGTGTGCAAACCTCAGCTGCTAGGGCAAGATGGGAACGGCTCAGAGTTCACAACCAGTTACAAGCTCTCATCGCATTTTGGGTTAGAGGGGGTTGTTCTTTGTTGTTCTTTGCTTTGCGCGTCACACAAGCCACACGTTGCTAGCACCTCACGGCCTCACGGCGCCTTTAATTACAGCCGCAAACCCTTTCTCCAATCGCCTGGTAGCAGTGCAAAAGCAGCAGCCAGGCCCGAGCTGTACAGCACAGCATGGGCCGGCTGCTCCTATCCAGCGAGGCAAAGATAAATCGGGCAGCCGGACCCCCGGCAAGTTAAAAGCGACCCTATCGCCAGCATCCCTGCAACGCGCGTAGCATCCGAATTGTCTAGTCGGATTCTTGGGGTCACCCCAACACATCCTCCCAGTCCATGATGCTTCTACATGGTTGGAAACGCTTCTGTGATGTCACCGCATGGCAAAGTCCCGCAGAGTTCATCAACTGAGCCTGTGAAGCATCCCGAACTTGCTCGAGCTGCAGGGTCCTGCCTCGCTGCCCTCGATGCTCCCCAAGAGAGTTTCGCAGCGGCTCCGCGTGGGCGCAGAGATGCGGCTGTAGATCTTGGCAACCGAGATTGTTAGTTGGTGGTTGTCAGTCTCTTGTTGAATGTTGCACAGGGCACCGCAGGAGGGCCTCAATGCCAAACAAAGCAGGGCCAGTTCTTTCTTGGGTCGGCTGCGATCAAATTACGAGCCGGGTGCTTCTCACTTTCTGACGCCCGGCTGCTCCTTGCATACCCGTTTGCATACCCTATTACAAGCTCCCTTCAAATCACTGTTTAGCAGTAAGAAGGCAAGACAAACTATTGTCGACAGCCCCTTCTGAAAAAAGAGAAAATTGGCCCTCTCAGCATGCGGCGTGTCCCTGGCCGCTGTCTGGGACTGTGAAGGTTGTGCTGAGGCTGAGTGGGGGCGCCACATCCTGATGTAGACTCAAGGGTCTGATCGCATCTGGGTCCATGCAGGGGTCCAGGGCAAGCTTCTTAGAGGACTTACACATGGCGCCATGGCGCACGATCATTGTGACAAGGAGGCATGCCCTGCTGGGAGAAGTTGAATGAAACTATCGTCATTTGAATCATTTCCCTACAGTATTCTAGAGGCCGGACGGGCAGGCCTCAGCTGTAGAGAATGCCCATGCTGGCATAGCCTCCTCTTCCACCGCCAAGGTGTCTGCATGGACAGCTGCAGTTGCGGTGCCACGAAGAGAAGACAAACTGCAGGCTGCTGTGCAAGCCCGCTTCGTCGGCGGTTCCATGGTCGTCTCACGCGGTAGCTTTACTGGTGGTGTTCACTGTGCTCGACGCAAGCGAAGCTGCAGAAAGCTGCGAACTCACTTCAAAGATTTCAAAGGCCAGCAACATGAACAGATCTGATGCTGCTAGCTTTGCAAGCTACGATGTGGTGTGGCATTTTCCGGCATGGGTCGTGGTGTGTCTTTGGACAGCAGCACGCGCAGTGCTGCGGAACTCGGGCGTCTGTCCACGCCTTTTCCGTCAGCTCAGCCCGTCATTGGGGCCGAGAACCTACAACCCTACAGCCACAAGCATCGAATACCCTAAACCCAGCACCATGTCGAGGAGCACCCCCATCAACCAGGACGCCAAAGACCTGAATCAATGCATCTCTGGAAATGCGTCTCGAACTCCTGCAGCACAGCAGTGAATCCGACAGAATCGGCTGAAATCATACCTTGGTCAGAAGCTCACGCCTGCAGGCTGCTGCTGCTAACGGGGTATGCCATCTGATCCGGACTCGCTACGAACGCGGCGAATGTGGACTGCAACCATTCCACTCATGACTCTAAAGGCCCACGTCCTCCTCCGGCATCTCTTGCGCCACTTGCTTTAGCAGCTCCACGTCGCCTGCGTAGACAAGGTCGTCATGCATCCACCTCCCTGTTTCTGCAGGGGGTGCCGTCCCATTGAGTGCATGACAATGAGTTGCAATGCTTTGAGCCGAGCTTGTGGTTGTCTTTGAAACAGCCAGTGTCGGGATGAAGCTGCTCTCTAGCAGCGGCTGTATATCCAGACGGCGCCCAGACAAGTTGACTCTTGGGTTTGGATGCACCCACCCTGGAGCAAGTCGTGTCGTGAGGCTCATCTATGGTTGGCGGGCTCTCGACTTCGAAACCTGCTTGATCCCAAACTGAAGCCTGCAACCGACACAAACCTCCTCCGGCTATTTAGAAAAGAAAAGCTCAAGATTCTCAAAGTAAAATCGAGCCTTCTTTGAAGCAGCGCTGCAGCACCTCGGGGAGGGAGGCGAACACCTCCACAGGATCCAGGCCGCCCGGGCCCATGCGATCCTCCTTCCGCTGGCTCAGAAGGGCCGAGAAGGCTTCTACATTCAAAGGGGTGGCCCCGGGCTTGCAGGTAAGGCAGTCACGTCCGACGTCCTCAACCGATCAACCATATTACAACTATTGGGGCTTGTGGAGGTTATCTTGCTGCTCCGGTCTTGCGATACTGGCTTGGGGCCTTGTTGTGCCCCCTGCATTGATGAGAAGAGCATTGAATCAAAGTGCGCGGTCCGATCTGGCTTGGGCGATATAGACATTTATATATATATATATATACGTACAAAATGTATGTGGCTGGTAGTGGTTGAATCAAAGCAATATTGCCAGCAGGCGCTTTGGCGATACCATGCTCTTGGTGAGGCATTTCTCCTCAAGCAACTAGTACTCGGCGCCTCCGCTAGAACTCGAACCACCCAAAGCGGTTCAAACCTCCAACGGGCAATTGCCTTCGGCATGTCGTGCATAGCTTCCACCAGCGGCTTCGCCTCGAACTTCTGCTACAACTCTGGATTCTGCGTCGCTGATTTCAAGCTACATGCAGATGTTAACATCTGGGCCGTGTTTGGCTCTTTCAGGTCATCTGATCGGGCGGGGGATGCTAAGAGCCAGCTGAAGAATCACCAGACATACCCAGTGCTTCTGCCTGCTTCCCCGAAAACGTTCATGGTTCTGCACACTCGCCGCGGTCCAGACAATGCTTTTCAGGGACGGAATTGTTCTGCCTAGAGGGTAGGCAATGAGCGTGCAGGTGCCCGACGTTACGACACTGGGTTGATTTGTCTACTTTCTCCCTGGGATCCCGAGATAGACGAAAAGCACCGAAAGCCACTGAAACGCACGGAAAGGCACTGAACTTCCCTGAACTTCCCTGAACTTCCCTGAGCCCTGTGAGTCCCCAAGAACACGATGGCACCTCGAGGCCTTCGGTCTCAGCCTCGGCCTTCTTCTTGGCAGCGGCCTCCTCCTGTCGCAAAGAGTCTCTTTGCGGTGTGCGGGCTGCTGATGCGGGCTGGCTGTTTGGTCTGTGCCAACAGCCTTGCTGACCACGTTGTGCTGCAGAGCGTTCACATCTGTCTCTCGGAGATTTGACAGCCGAGGGTTCATCAGCATCCGGAAAGTCGCTGCAACGAATCTGGGGCATCTCATCACAGCACCACGTGCAAAACAGGTTTAAGGCGGGCGCTGCCCGAGTCTGGCAACTTTTACATCTTTAACCATAGCTAGGGAGGACTATCGATATCCACTTGGAGTAACACCTCCTCGCTAGATCCTGTCTTGCCCTACTCAGGCTACACCACCTTGGCCGCAAACCGTCTAGGGGTACTGCAGGTGGAATGAGGTAGCACAGAGAATAGGGCTGAGGCAGGGATTGAAGGAATTGCTCGTCCCTTTTCGCACACACACACACATTGTTGACACCACGGCATCTGGTTCATGATTCCGCCTAGATGTGTCACACTGCACGAGACCCTCTCTACAGCTTAACCTGTTCCTGTTTTGCCTTGGTTACTTAAGATGGAGATTCGCATTTTCCAAGTCCCCATAACGTATTACAAGCTTCTTGGCTAAGGTTTCCCTTTTTAAAGCACGTCGGGAGCAAACTTTTCGAGCTTGGACGCTGTAGTCTGTAGTTGACGGCTGGCTGCGAAGCTGGTTGATGCTAGGCTATGGCTTCGAAACCCTGTAAGCAAGTGCAATTCTTGATGGAAGACGGTCGCCTCTTTCTTGACCACCGCCCGTTGGATGATGTTCGTGGTGAAGTGGTTCACCTTCAGGATTGGGCACGGCCGTCTTCCCGCTCACAGCTGCAAATGGCAAAATACCTAGCGCTTCATGAAGCAAATCCTGAACTTATGGGCTACTGTCAGGCCACTGTGTAATTACCCGATGATTAAATTAAGCGGTTGTAACACAGCAGCCAAGAGGTGTTGGTCACGCTGGGGCTGGAGCCCCTTCTTCGAAAGCTGCTCGCGAGGTCTCGTGCTCCTGAGTCTGTCAGAGCGGAGCGGAGGGCTCGTGAGGACACAAGAGCAGGGCTTTGAACCGAGAACCACAGTCCTCTGACCCCACTGCTAACACACCAGCAGACTTGCGTTTCATGTGAGATTGCCGCTGGTTTGAGCCATTCCTGTACCTACACCGATTAATCTGCCGCTACTGCCGCTGCGGTGCGAAGCGCTCGAAGAACCGCGGCACCAAGTCCCGCGGAGGCCTCTTCATCGGCTCGGCCAGCTGATGGATCTGCGACAAGATCCTGACATTCGCATGCGACTGGCAGGCATGGCAACTGTCCAACGGCTTTGCTACTCGGGCCAAACTTAGTCTCCACATCTAAGGCCACAGATATATGTAAACATATATCTGTGATGTGTCAATTAGTGTTTTTCTAATGGGGTTTTTCTAATGGGTTTACTGGTATATGTGTATATAAATATATACTATTTACATTTAGATTTCAATGTATAACCAGCGCGCGGTTTCTGCGCAGCACTTTGGACTGTGTGGGAACGCCTGCCACGCGCAAAGCTGCGACTTATCCTGACTCCTACGCATAATATTGTCCACCTCCGCTGCTCTGTTTACAAGATCGTCATCAATACTAGAAACTCTGCGTTCTGATTAGTTCTTCTGCTGTTGTTAGTCTTGATAATCATCCACGATTCGGTGGGCCGCAAGGGCGCACGCTTTGCTCCCAAAGCTCTCAAATCTAGTAGGGCCGCAAGGGGTAGTGCTCTAAGTGCTCGGGACCGCTGAAGGCGTGGAGAGGCTAAACATTCGACTACGACGTCGAGGGAGGAGGGCGCAAGGTAATCCAACCCTCCACTACATGCACCATTCCACATTGCAGCTGAGCTTCTGCCCCTGGCGCCCCAACCTCATCATGAGGGACCTGCCGAAAGAGGGACTTGGATCTTCTGCGTTGGAGAGTTTGAGCGGCCCTAGCACCCCCAGCACCCCCAGCAGCCCTAGCCTTTCCCCTCGCATTTCGGCATCCAAGGCTTCCAGCATGAAGTAGCTGTTCGCCTGCAGGCAAGGTCGTAGGTCGCAACCGCAGGACTTGCAGAGCAAGGTCCCGGTGTTGACGCATATCGTTTATGGTTGATGTTGATGGCATGTTCCTTTCCGAATTCGCAAGAACATGTTAAAGAGGCTCGTCTCAATCTCAAGACCGGACACACACCCCCAAATCAACACTCTCATGCCCTCCTAGCCAGTTGCAGAGGGGTGTCATAGCCATCCATGAGGATGTGGCCGTACTCTTTCAGAAGGCCCTTGCAGACAAGCGGCTTTTGTGACATGAGATTGCGCCACATTATACATTGAGAACCCCACTCCTGGCCTCGGAGGTCTCCCAGTCAGCCTCCGCAAACTTGTCCAGGATTCCTCAATTCCATGGCGCTGCACATGAAACCTGGCCTTGGTCCCTGATGGCGGCAAGCTTGGACTGAGTGGCTCTGGTTGTCTTGCTTGAACATCGTATACCTGAGCTGGGCTTGCTGTGCATGCTCCATAGGTGGCACGGGAGGAAAGCACGGGATGAAGCAGGAAAAAGGCGAGGCTGCTCTCTCGCGCTGTTGCTCTCCCTCCCTCTCCCTCTCCCCTCTCCCCCTCACCCTCCGCCTCCCTCTCCTGTCTCTCTCTCTCTCTCTCAGACCGGGCCGCTCATCCACACTGAACTCCTCTCCCTTCTTCAGTCGATCTTTTCTGGAGCCATCGCCAGATTGGATGATGGTACGCTCCTGGTTGCAATCAACTCATTCGCAAGACCTTCAATGGGGGTTCACAAGCTCTGGGGAATGGGAGTTGAATGGGTCATCGGCAAGGCTTATGGTTGATGGTTTAAGTCTGAGCCTACTTCAGGTGATATGTGACGGATTGCTTTGCCTCTGGGTTTCGGCTCTCAGGGAACCTCCGGGAGTCCTCGGCGATGTGGCACACGTTGTCGACATGCAGTGGCCGGCGGCCATCCAACTTGGCAGCCTTCCTTTGTAGGGAGCAACGATAGGCCCGTGCAAAATAGTGCAATTGACATACCCCTACATTTTGCCCTAGCCTAAACCTCATCAGCAAGGGCGAACCTCCTAGTAGCCACTTTGGTCACCATGTACAACGTACATTAAGCACATGGTTTGGGGAGCCCATGCTGTCCTATGCGGGTAGCGCAGTAGCTAAGCATTCGGACCTCTGCAGGTCTGCGCAGGCAACCCTGGAAGCCATTACAACTGCGACTTCGTCAAGGTCAGCTTCTCAAGGTCACCCTTCTCCGTGAGCTTCTTGATTTCCTGACTCGCTGTACGTTCTTACGAGAACCATCAAGGTTGCAGGAGCAAAGACGTCAACTGTCAGTGCCTCGGGGGCCAGCAGAGAATATTGGAAAGGAGTTGATGAGGTAAAGGGCCGAGGAAGGAAACCTGCAGCCTCCAACTGTGGTTCTTTCTTTATTTGCACGGGTGCAAAGAGAGCTCCTGCTGTCTGTCCTTCGGAAAGCTGGCTTGTCGTCATGCCGTGGGGCAGAGTAAGGAGCGACTGTCCGTGTATCTACTCTGAGACTCTCGGGGTACCTTAGTCAAACGCCCCTGGCGCTAAGCATCCCGCAAAGTTGGGGATCTTAATCTTTATGGTGCTGGGCCCTTGCGCTTAGGGGGGGTCCTCATCGATCTCATCCTCCTTCCTCTCGCGTGTAATGCGGTTCACACGGATATTCAGGCCCTTGTCCAGGTTCGGGTGGAAAGTCGTCTGAGCACCAGCACAAAGGTCAGGCAAAAGTCCATAAGCATCGAGACCAAGGTTCAAAAACAAAAACCAGGCGAGGTCCTATACCCTGCTGGCTTGGGGGTGGGCTTGGGGAATCTCTGAACACTCTGGAAGCCAGCTTGCAACGCTGCAAGAAGAGATCCTCAGGAAGACAACCTCCAGCCACGCTCACCCCAAGATTGGCCTCGTCATCACTTATTTCGAGGCGGTCCCATTTCGCATAATCAAATCCGGACCTCGCTGAGCCGCTGCTTTGTAATTCAAAAAGCTGCAAATGATGTGCTCAGTCACATGATGTGCTCACTGCGCCAAGGAATCCAAGGCAGACAAGTCGCATCTGAAACGCTGACCCCTGCGCATTGAGCCTACAACCAGCTGCGGGAACGCAGGATGCGTTCTGCCACCCACCATCATCCAAGAGATCGTGGTGTAAGGGCTTAATTTGCCTGTCAGCTCTGGGCTGCATCACAGCACTCTGTGCCACAAAGGCCCAAAGCCCTAAAGCACTCAAGATGAAGAGCCGTTTCAAGCCATTTGGATGCCAAGCCCCTTGCCTCATCGACGGCGACTCCTACAGCACCCACATCTTCCCGGGTCCCCAATCATCACAATGTCTACATTGTCTACATTACGGTTACTATCTGCTGCTTAGGAAATACTTGGAGATGCAGAACGAAATGTGATGAATTGCTGCCTGCTGCGGCTGTCCCTTCGCCGAGAGGGCGACCTGCAGGACAGGAGCTTGGTGGGGCCACCACTATGCTACACGATCAGGCCATCGCGGCATATGCACTATATAAGACATTGTTACCCCATCGCTGCTTGTGGCCAGGAACTGAGCGCACAAGAACTCAGTTGCTTCTTTTCGAGAACGGTTGGCTGCCGCAGAACAGCAAGCAAGCCTGCTTCGAGCTCAAGGCTTCTTTGGCCCTTCTGTGAATCTGCAACAGTGAAACAGTTAACGCCAGCAGATGCCGGCAGCTTTGCTTCTTTGCATTGCCACATACTGCCACGCTACTTACAAAGTTTCACGAACTTCGCAGCGGCCCGGCTCCACGGCCTGAAGGACAAGCTGTTGCACGTCCTCCGCCTCACTTGCCAAGGCTGCCCAGGACACCCACTCAGACTCTGGGACCATGGATTTGAAGTCTCTGACAAAGTTCTGGCAGGTGTGAAGCAAGCTTTCCTGCCGGAAGTCCAACGCAAACTTGCCTTAGCTGTCTCTCAGGGGCCTCGCAACTCGCCAGAACCCCACCACTCAACCACAACTACGAACCCATCTCCAGCCTAACAACCTGCACATGCCCGGCAAGTTGCAGATGTAGTAGAATGTATACTGAGAGAGAGCGCAGCACATGTATTGCACCATGGCCGGCAGGACGAACCAGGTCTGCGACTCGGCGGCCAACCGGGCAACTGCCACCAGCTCCGGAATCTCTGGCCAAACCGATTCTCGAAAGGTGCCTATAGGGGGGTCTCTCTCACATGATAGCATACTACCGGTCCTCCGCGTAGGACACTAGAGTTCTGAAAAGCCTGGAGCATGGGAGCCTGTGTAGACCAAGTGCAGGAAAGCCCTCACCGTAGCGGCCGTAGCGTGCACTTCAAGTTGCTTTGGGCTCGGCTGCTGCAGCTGCCTTCTCAGCTTTTGAGCAAAGACGGGCGAAGCTTTGCTCAGCACAAACGCATGGGCATGTGCCAGCACCTGCGGTCTCGCAAGATCCACATTGTGTGCGGCAACGACTTGAACATCGGCTGAGGACTCATCATCCAAGATTTCACTCCAGAGCTTGCTGAAATATGCCATTTGGCCATGCGAACTCACAGGCAACAGCGGCGTCTTCCTCCTCGGAGACGGAACAACGAAGAGCTGATCGAAGGCTCTCAGGCGGTCACCTGTGGCTGTCATCTCTTGGATGAGGAGCTGGGCATCCTCCTCTGTCTCTGCCCCATAGAGGATGTGGGGAACCATGCTCCTCGACTGCTTGTGGAAGCTGCTCTGTCCTCAACTAACCTTTTCTCTTCGGGCTTCGGAGAACCAGAACAAATGACGGAATGAGTCGAATCAAAGGATGCGAATTTCAACAAGGCTCTGCCAGAGGGCCTGCAAATTGCTGACAAGTGAGCGAGCAGAATTGCAGGCGAAGGGAACGCTCCGCTCCCCAAATTGGACCATGTAGGGGCAATTCGCAGGCACGTGTTGAAGGGGGTCCTGTCAAGCTGCCATGGGGGATACGCTGCTCTGAAAGCCCATCTTGTGTGCTGTTCAGTCATGTGCTACTGGCTACTGAACTTAAAGTTTTGCCGGAGCCACTGCTCCCCGTGCCAGGCAGAACTCGGCTGCCTGGACCCGCAGCTGGAAGCCCACCTGAGGTTGTTTTTGAAGCTGCTTTGGGGAGTTTGGGAGGCTCGAGAATCGACGGGCGCAAGCCAGCTACTTAGCTACTCAGTGGCTTCTCGGTTGAACGAAGACCTTGCTGGCTCGGTGCAGAAGCTCTGAACCGCAACGATAATAAGCTGCTATGCTTGCAGCCCCACCCACCGTGGCACCCACCTCGTCCATCTCATCGGGCAGCCATATGTCTATTGCTAGGATGGCCATGAGGGGAGTGCCATAGTCCCCGACCTCGAGCACTTCAGATGTGCTGTGATGGTGTTGGGGGGCTCCACTTCCAGATTCGCCAGGGCTGACTACATCAAAGCAAACAAAACATTGAAACCACGCATCTCACATCAATCGCCAGCTTCGAATGACCGAACAGGTCGTGTTCTGTGTTTTCTTCAGACTCCTCGAGCTCATGTGACGTTCCTTTTGTCATCTTTCGCCCGCCTCGCGGAAGTTGAAGCCGGGTGCAGCTCTTCGGGTGGCCTCGAAATCCCCGTTCTTCCTGGGCGTTGTTTTTTTTTCATTTTTGGGAGCTGGCATGTTTGGTGCGTGGGTAAGAACCCCTACACACGCTTGGATAAGGCTGTCACAAACTTTCCTCGGATCAGTATTGAGCCTTTGCTGGTGCCATTTGGGCTTGCGTCCATTGATGTCAGCAGCCTCCAACTTAGTTTGGAGTTCGGATCTGAGGTGTAGGATTGGTGGGCTTAACACCGTAGATAAAGTGCCGGCATGTGAATGCATGCCTGTGCCCAGACCACCTAAACACTACCGACAGCAAAGTCAGAGCCAGCCCAACCCCGGAGGCATGGTGACCTGCCTGAACAACTGGCGAATGCCAGTGCAACCCGCAACGAGTGACAGGGTCAGCAGCAGTCAAATCACAAGTCATGACATATTGTGATGCTTCTTCTGCGGCCAGGAGACAAACTTTCGAACATTTGCCGGGAGCGCTCGGCGGCCATGGTTGAGATGAGCGAACAAAGGCGAAACTGGACAGATTGCAGCTACCATACTACGCCTGGGTCTGAAGCTCATCTGCACTAAGTTCAAGAAAATCGGCATGGAAAGGGCCACTGGACTCTGCACGGGCCGCGACGGGGAAGTGCAAGAATTGACGCAATTCAAGACTGCCATGCTTGCCTTTGTGTGGCCGTCTAGGAGTCTAGCTTCTCTACTTCATCAAGCTTTCAGCTCCCTCAACTCCATCATAACTCCATGCACACTCCATGCACCCAGCAGCCTGCGCCGAGAGGACCTGTGGTCAGATTTAGGGTGCACGTGGGTCGTTCGCACCACTCTCACAAAACACAAGTTGCTACCCACCGCACACAGCCTTCACCCAGTCTCAGCAAACAGATGTTGCTTGCCCAGTTCGCCTGCGGCTGCGGCTGCGGCTATCTCGCCCGCCACGACCTGCAAGAACACGCAATCTCGAGCAGGGAGGATCCTAAGCCCCATGCGGCATTGCTTCCATGAATCTTCAGCTCCCCCTATCTGGGGTGAAAAAAGGGAGCTCTATCTACCCTGCTCCCATAAGCGAGTTTCAGGTTGAGCCCCGAAGCTTTTTGCACTACCCTTTGTTGATTCCGGAACAGGGGTTCCAACCTCTAAACTCAACCCCTTGCTCAATCGGGTTCGCATCCTGCTCCGGAATGTGAAACTGTCGCCTTGGTGGAGCAACTGTCTGTAGCCAAGCCACGCTCATCATTGCGAAGCTTCTCCTCGCAGCTCCGTTCAGCTTCAGGCCAGCTAGGGGCACATCGCCACAAAGCGTCTTCCAGACGGAAGGAAGATGTTGAGCTACGGCAACGTAAACCCAACCGTCAACCCTTATTAGCCGCGTAAGCACACGTCGTGCAAAAAACTCAGACTTTGGCAGCACTCCTGCACCAGATCATTGACCAAACGTTCCGCATGCATCCGGCCGCCATTCTCCACTTTGCTCCCTTTCAGGATCAATGTCTAAGTTGGGTTGAACTGAACCAACAAAAGCAAATACCACCAGTTGTGATACGATGCGACAGCCCAGGACACAATATTATGTCAGCTCACCTGCCTCAACATCAAAAGCTCAAAGCAGCAGTGGCGGGGGGAGGGGGAAGCCGCACCTGCGTTCGCACCAAAAATCAGAAGGCGTTCCTGTGAGCGCTGGCGAATGGTGCTTTCTCAGAGGGCTTCTTCTGTGGTCAAGTAGGCCAGGGTCTTAGCTTAGAGGTTCCGCTGACAGCAAGCATGGCCGGACCTCACCACACACCTACCTGCCCATCGCGATCTACGAGCTCAAGTCGGGCGTAGCAACCAGGCGCGCAACGGAATCAACAACAACTGGACAACTCAAATCCAGAACGATCCAATGGCTGCACTATTTCGTTTCTATATTTGGTGTCTGGATGATGCATGTTAACTACATTCACATCGCCCCATGCCTTAGTGGCAGATCGCAGGTCAGCTGTCAGGTCAAGGAAGAGACGTCATCACAGCAACAGAAGGCATTCCCACCTCGCCCCTGGCATCGAGGGCCATGAACATAAACCTGAGATGGCAGCTGACATTCCAGGAAGAGGAACGGGAGCAACACGTGAGCGCGCAGCATGCCCATAAAGAATTTGCGATTGAGCATGGACGGTTTGCAGCGGTGGTGCGTTCCCGTCTCTTGCTCCACACGGCGCAGCTCGCTTCCGCGATTCCTCATCATACAGGGGACTCTCATCTACCAGAGCATGCCACTGTGCTGCAAGTGCTTGCCATGACGGGTGGCGCCGGCATTCATGCAGATCTTTGCCTTTTTTCTGTCTGCGCCCTCCGCCGCTCAGTCCAACGTCGAGTGAGAATTTCTACAAAGGAAGATGTGCAGCTTCCTAGACCGGCTCCATTGAATATCTTATCAGAGGAAAGGCTCGAAGAAGCCTGGGCGCAAGAGCGCGTTTCCTGAGCCGTCATCCAGCTTCACTTTCCACTTGCCGTCGCCATACTGCTGGACCAATGTCCCACAAACACCATTCTTTGCACGGAGGCCTGTGAGGCGAACCCGAGTGCCCTTCTGCAGAGGCACGGAGCAGCCACTAGATGGCTGGCTGGACACCAGGCTGGGCCATCCGCCCAGGGGAGCGTTTGCCACAGCCGGTGCGTTCGTCAAGGCAAAGTTGTTCGGGACAGGGCGCCGGTCCACACTGGGAATGTCCTGCAGAGCCTTGCGGTCATCTTCAAGATGCTTTTCCCAGTGGGCCTGGGCGGCTACTTCGGTGGTCTGCGTTTCGAGCTTAATCTGGCCTGCAGTGGGTGACAAGTACATCTCTCGGCTGAACTTGTCGAAGTGCGATGCAGAGAACCACTCGGGTGGAAAGAGCGAGCAGCATGCCGAAAACAGCACCTTGCAGGAGTCATCAATGGTGAGCAACAGCTCCGGAGTCGCATTCAGCATATCTGCCGAGGCAAAAGCCTTGAAGCGCATCCCGATTCCTCCGACTGCACCCCACATCAGGCCAACTGCATCAATCTCCGGTCTTTGGAACCCGGGGATCCTGTCTAGGTAGGCGTTGGCGGCGATGTAATTGGACTGTCCCATGTTTGCTGTCATGGTACTCATGGCCGTAAACTGCACTGTTTTTTGAAGCTTCATGCAGGTGTATGTCGGCCGGGCTGGCAGAGCCTGCATCGGCACCTGTCGAGGACCAGCCGTTGTGGCAAGCGTCAAAGTCGATGCTGCTTCCTCCTGTGCAGCTTTCTTTTGGCTTTCCAGCTCCGCTTGCAGCTGCACTTCTCCGTGCATGCTGTCCTGTATCATGCCCAATTCTGACCGTCTCGAGGCGTGAGCATATTGCGCCGCCTGCGGATCCCTGCTGATGGCGGCCCGAACCACATCCGGATCAGCTCGGAAAGCAGGAATCATGAACTTCAGCGCCTTCCCATTGCGCTTGGCCACGGCAACCGCAAAGTCCTTGTCGTTGAGCAAGTCTTCCGATGCATGCTTGTAAGCCTCGGCATCGTGGACGACCATCTCCAAGATCAAGCTGCGGTCGTCTCGCAAAGCCATGGTCGCCCCCTGTAGAGCGGCACCTTTGCCAGCCTTTGCTGCATTCAGCATAAAGGACTTGTCATTCCGAACGGCATCTGGTGCTCCTGTCATGGCACCACCATGCATACCCACAGCCTTCAAAAGGAAATCTTTGTTGTTTCGGAGCTCCGGGGCAGCATCCGCAAAGGCAGTGCCGAAGTACTTGGTGGCTTCAAGCACTAATGCCTCGTCTGCTCGCATCTCTGGTGAGGCCAGCTTCAATGCTGCACCCTGGCTGGTCAAGATCGCACTCTTCACCAGGTCACGGTCACTCTTAACGGGCTCTGGCGCATTTTGCAAGAGCTTCCAGTCATCCAATACTGCGGCTCTCCACATGGCATGACGCCAACTGGACAAGCTGGAAATTGCAGAAGATGGTGGCTCCAATCCATCCTCCAATTGCTTGATGCCAGCCTTGTACTCCGCGGCCTTAACTCCGCTGCGGATCACCGAGGAGGCAGCCAGCTGCGACAGGTCCACATCACCCTCCAGCCGCAAAGATGCTGCATAGTCACGTCTAAGTTCAGCCTCTTCGGCGGCCGGAAGGTCATTCGCCATGCTGAATTCCTTGCGGAGCTTGTCTGCGCTCTTGTTGTTGGTAATAACAGCTGCCTTTGCACTGAGGAGGAACCAAAGGCCAGGGATATCGAGGTAGCTGGCCGCAACCGTCATATCAAAGAGCATTTCCTTGTCCATGTTCACAAAGCTTGCGTCCCAACGTGTGGCACCACATTCAGCCAAGTTGTCACTGACGAGAGGAGTCCGAATCTCGCTGCACGCATGCTCCCTGTGGTGCTTGAGGTACTCAACCAGCTTAACCATCACAGCTTTCTTTATCCTTGGCTGAACACGCTACTACATGAACAAAGTCAATTTAAGAAAGTGAGGCCCTGCATCGTTGCCACAACTCAACACAGGCATCTTGTTTGCGTGAAAGGCACGGGTACTGAAGCTCTCCTTCGCACCCTTTGTCAAGGAGATCATTCCTCGCCCTGTAGGCCAAAGCAACTGCTTCTGCCGGCAGTTCGAAAACGTCGCCTTCGGTGCACTTGAGCTTTGCTTTCTTGCCCATCAGCTCCACCGGGCACGAGGTGCCCGGACCCATCTTCATCTGCCCAAAGATTTCATAAGTTTCCTTGGGACGTCAATGGTCATGTGCACATGCAAGCGCTGCAAAACAGACAGCCCCGTGCACACAAAACTTCCTCCAGTCAGTGCCAAGCTTCGGCCATGGCTGCCTTTTGGGAATCCTGATCCTAGTCCTGACTGAGACAAAGCACCTGGCCCTGGATCATGGGCCAAAGCCAAGAAGGCTGAGGCGCGCGGAAGAACTGTCATGCTTTGCGCTGCGTTTGTGAGTGTGCTTCAGAATGCCAAAGCTCAAGATGCAGATCAAAAAGAAGTCATTTTTTTTGCGGCAGCTGCACTTCAGAGATACAGTTCCTAGGTGGAAGAAGCTAAGCGACTAAGCTTGACAGCTGGAATCCTGGAAGGAGCCTCTCAGGCCTAAGTCCTAAGATGCTGCCCGGCTGCTCAGATGCAAAGAGGTCCTTTACGCCGCCGCGGCCGATGCAAGTATTGCCTGGCGCTTCGCTGCAATCTTCTCCTTCAGCTTCGACCGCTTCTCCTCGATCTTACACTGCCGCTCAGCCACTGCTGCAGCATTGTAGGCCTGCACTGCCTGCGTCTCTGGGAAATGCATTTGGAACTGTGACTTCTGTGCAGCCTCTACCTTGGCCGCTTCGATGACTTCGAAGTTGCCTGGTCTCAGCAATGCATTGTTCGAACCATCGTCCAGCTGCACCTTCCAGGCACCATTCTCGCAGCGCTGGAGCAGTGTGCCAGTCATGCCATTCTTTGCACGAAGCCCTGTGAGTCTGATTTTGGCGCCTTCGTGCGCCGACACAAGGCTAGGCCAGCCGCCAAGAGGAGCTGAGCTTGGCAATGGCCGCCGGTCTACATCACTCATGTCCTGAAGGGCTTTTCTGTCTGCATCCACATCTTGGACCTGGGCTGCCGCAAAGTCCGTGGAGACTTCTAAGGGGATGGTACCCGCAGTTTTTGTCATGAAGTACTGTCTGCCCACTTGGTCCATGTGGGATGCAGTCCACCACTCGGGAGGAAACAGCGAGCAGGCTGCAACCCACAGCACTTTGCATGAGTCCTCAATCGTGAGCAAGAGCTCAGGTGTGGCATTGAGAAAGTCTGCAGAGGCAAAGGCCTTGAAACGCATCCCGATTCCACCCACAGCTCCCCACATGAGGGCAACAGCATCGATTTCGGGACGTCGAAAAGCTGGGATCTTGTCCAGGTATGAGTTTGCAGCAATATAGTTGGACTGTCCCATATTTGCAGTCATCACACTCATAGCAGTGAACTCAACGGTCTTCTGAAGTTTCATACACGTGTACTTGGACTTTTCCGGAAGAGCTTGCATAGGCACCTGCCGGGGAGGAGTCGTTGTGGCAAGCGTCAGGGTCTGTGCTGCCTCTTCCTGTGCCGCCTTCAACTGGTTCTCAAGCTCCGCCTGCATCTGGACTTCTCCGTGAATGCCCTCTTGGATCATGCCCAATTCTGACCGTCTCGAGGCGTGGGCATACTGCGCCGCCTGCGGATCCCTGGCAATGGCGGCCCGCACCACGTCTGGATCAGCTCGGAAAGCGGGAATCATGAACTTCAGCGCCTTCCCATTGCGCTTGGCCACCGCAACCGCCAAGTCCTTGTCGTTGAGCAAGTCTTCCGATGCATGCTTGTAGGCCTCGGCATCGTGCACGACCATCTCCAGGATCAAATTGCGGTCGTCCCGCAGATCCATGGCCGCCCCCTGGAGGGCGGCACCTTTGCCAGCCTTGGCAGCCTCTAGCATGAAGGATTTGTCCTTCCGCAAGGCATCTGCGGCCCCTTTCATGGCACCGCCATGCACGCCCAAAGCCTTCAAAAGGAAATCTTTGTTGTTTCGGAGCTCCGGGGCAGCATCCGCAAAGGCAGTGCCGAAGTACCTGGTGGCCTCAAGCACTAATGCCTCGTCTGCTCGCATCTCTGATGATGCCAGCTTCAAAGCTGCACCCTGGCTGGTCAAGATCGCACTCTTCACTAGGCCACGGTCATTCTTAACGGGCTCTGGGGCATGTTCCAAGAGCTTCCAGTCATCCAGCACTGCGGCTCTCCACATGGCTTGCTTCCAGCTGGACGTGTCCACCACAGCCGACGGTGTTGAAGAACCATCCTCCAGCTGCTTGATGCCTGCCTTGTACTCTGCTGCCTTCACCCCGTTCCGGATGACCGAAGAGGCAGCCAACTGAGACATGTCTGCCCCATACTTGCGTCTCAGGTCATTCTCCTCCGTGGCCGAGAAATCATTTGTCAACATGAACTCCTTGCGGAGCTTGTCTGCGCTCTTGTTGGTGGTCATGAGGGCTGCCTTTGCACTCAGGAGAAACCAAAGTCCTGGGATGTCAAGGTAGCTGGCCGCAACCGTCAGATCAAAGAGCATCTCCTTGTCCACATTAACAAAGCTGGCATCCCAGCGTGAGGCACCACAGTCTACCAAGTGGTCGCTGGCAAGAGGTGTCCGGATTTCACTGTATGCATTGCCCGTGTGATGTTTCAAGTACTCCATGAGCTTGAGCACTACACTCTTCTTCAACCTTAGGCCACGCAGGCTGAACGCAGGCTGAACAAAATGATACCACGCAAACCGTCGTGCAGAGACTTCATGACCCTAGAGGATCTTTGCAATACCATGCCGCCACGGCACGGGACCGCGAACTCTTCCTCACACCCCTTCTCTAGAAGGTCCTTTCGTGCTCTGAAAGACAAGGCAAGTGCCTCTGCTGGCACTTCCAAGACATCTCCATCGGCGCACTTGACCCTGGCAGTCTTGTCCACCAAATCCTCTGGGCAGGCCTGCCCTGGGCCCATCTTCATCTGTCCGAAGACTTCATACGTCTCCTGAGGCCAGCTGAAGGTGAAATTCAAGCGCACTTCAAGCGCAAGGACAACTTAGACCTCGGAGCCGATTATTTCAGCCAAGCGGCAGCCATGACTCACGTCAGGAGCCAATCCCTATCCTCGAAACACCCTGTTTATCCCGACCATGGGCCGAAGCCGAGATGGCTGAGTGGGGGAGCATCAGAAGCAGCCTGTACTTCACCTACGCAGTGTATGCATCGAGAAAGAGTGATTGAAAGAACATCTGGCTCGCATTGCCAGTGGGAACGCCATGGTCCATAGCAGAGGTGCATGAACAAACTTAGGGCTCCGAGCCCAGTGACCCAGCCCTTGCAGTTCTCCGGGATGTGCATCTCTGTGCAATCCTGAGCCACGCACCACGCCAGCGTGACATGGCAGAACTTCACACACCAAGCAAACCTGTGCACGCCATCTTCCGGGGGTATACGAGGCCCCGGGCATCACGGTCGGACACGTCCTTGACCGTGACACTTCCACGACCTCAAAGTTGCCCTTGCCCTTGTTCATCGTTACAAGAGAAGGGATGCCTGAACCTTGCAGCGCATCGGCTGTGACCATTGTCGCCTACGCTCCAAAGCCGCGTAGCCGTCAGGTTGCCCGGAAGCTGGAGACTCAGCCCACTTAGTTGTGCCAGATAGCTTCTCCCCTGTGATTCGCCAATCAATCATCCATTCCCTTGAAATATACACGCTTCATGTAAGAAAATCTCCTTTAGGTCGACGTCGCCCCTTCTAAATCCACGTGGCCGCCCCTCCCACCAATGAAAAAATCGAGGAAACAGCCTCCATCGATTCAATCGGCCACTAAGGAACCAGCCTAAAAGCAATACCCTGACGAAAGCAGCGCAATGCGACCGCTCGACCTTCCGAGTCATCATAGCACTCACTGAGACCGCCGCGCTGGGCCAGCAGCCAGTCAATGAACTGCTTCACGCGCCTGCGCTCCTGCGAGGGCTGAGTCTTGGATGCGATGCTGCTGCTTTGAGACCGCTTCATCCTTCACAGACGCAGCGCATCCAAGGTGTAGTATGGCAGAGCAAATATCAGCGTCGCATGACAACAGTCCTTCAGCGTCCCAGCCATGAAGCACACGTGCCCGACATACTCCAGGATCACCTCTCTGAAAGCGCGGTTCAGTTCCTCTACGGACTACTACAAGTCTTCGAACATTGGCAGGGGCTCTGGCATTTCTGAACATTTTGACCAATGTCGACCATATGCACCAAAGGCAAAATCGCTGCTCCCCATCCCCAACTTGCTCTTGACAGGAAGCCCTCAAAACTTCAAAACAATTGCAAGCACGGAAGACAATTGTAGGTTTGTCTGACCACATGTTGTGCAGGGGCCCCTGGCATTGGCTGCGAAGGCCAACTTCTTCCTGGTGGAACCTTGGGTTTGCCGGACTGCGGAGCAAAGCACATAGAGTCACAGAAGGTGCTGCGGCACTTGGTCTAGCCTCTGGTATCTGCTCGACTGCACTGCGCAGAGTGCGCAGAGCTCGCAATGTGTGTAAATCGATTTGGCGTGGCGAAAGGTTGTTGGCAAAACGCTGGACATTCGGCAGCAGATCACAATACAAATCTGGCGCAGATGCGGCATCTTCCACTGACCCTGCTATTCTTGAGCGTTCGTCGCCTGGGGTCCGGACCCTCCTTGCCTTGCCAGGGCAGCCAGTCTGTAACATATGAATACGCTACAAGCCCGAGCTCCCGGGGACTTTCCAAGATGCCCCTGCTTCTTGAAATGGAAATCCTGCCTAGCGCATAGCTCAGCTCATCGTCCCTGAAGATCATGCGGTCTGTGGCGAAGCCCTGCACCAACGAGATATCGACAAGAAGCATTCCATAGCACCGTAGTACCTATCTACAGCCAGATTGTCGCTTGCTTGCTCATTCTCAAGTCGCTGGAGTGAAACGACATGCGGCCAACCTTCTCGTCACTGAACTTCTCCCGAATGCCCCGGGTAAAGGTGCCAGGAGCTTTCGTCTCCACTGCGCTCATGACCTGCGGCAATGGAAGTAAAACTTCCGCACAAGGTTCTCACCGTCCCGGCTGGCTTTGACAAACTGGGGGGTGAGGGAATGCGCCGTCAACCCCATTCCATCAACCGCATCCTGTCAGCAACTGCACTATCCAGTCCTTACATACAGTAACGTAGTAACTTACTGACTCTACCATACCCGTGGCAGCCTTGAGCTCTGCGCCACGCCGCGAGCGTTCGCTGCCGAAGATCGCCAGCTGCTCTGAGCCACCGCGGCCTGGTGATGAGCTTCTTTGTGTCCGAGGGACAAGTGTCCAAGTGTCCAGGGCAGTCCCCTCTACCGATCTCTGCCGGCTGGACAATGCCGAAGGGGGCCCGCTTGGAGTTCGTTTAGGCGGTCAGGCACCCGGCAGGCAATATTTCTGGTCAGTTTTTGTTTTTGTCCGGGGCGCGTCGGGTTGCACAGTTGGTTGGCGGAGTTGCTGGTGACCTGCGTGGTGTGTCCCTGTAGCAGCAAAGGAAATTTGCAATTGCAGAAATCCGACATAGTTAGCTGTCTGTGTCAACATCGATTTGGCGGTATTCGTGGTGGTAGCGCCATGCGTGCCCCTTTCGTTCGCAGGTTTCATGTCCACATACAAGCATCACCGTAGAGCTAGCCAGTAGCAGCTGATGGTCCCGGTAGCTGCAGCGGCATGCAGAAGGAGCACAGCCGAAGCAGCCAGACCCAGCCAGCAAGCTGCATGCGATGGGGAGTTTGACACGGCAAGATGCAAACATAATTTTCGGTAGCAGTCACTGCATTGCCACAGCCATTTGCAGCGTCATATGCCGCTCAGAGACATCGCAAAAGCTACAAAAAAAAACAAAAGGGCAAAGCAAAAGCAACAAAACTGCCACATTTACAAACTTCAATTGGCAAGTTGATCGTCCTGGTATAAAAGAAAGTAGTGTGAGTAAAGGAAAGTAGTGTGAGCAAAGGATTCTCCGGTTATTTTGCCACCCGCCTAGCTGACCGTTATCCATGTGTACGAAACGTTACCCGTGTCCTGCAGCACCCCCCCATCCTTGCTGTCAGCAGCTTCCATGACGATCCTATGGTCCTACCAGCTTCTGGTTGGTCAAAAGGGAATACTGGATAAAATTGAGGTAGCACATATCAGCACGGAGATCGAATGTCTTGCCTCGCCCTTTGGTGCTGCCGCCATCCTTCCATTCTTTCAAAGGCTACCGCGACGCAGCTCCAGCTTATGGCTTCAAGACAGTTATACGGCTTCGATGGCGAAATCCCAATCCTTGTTCATGAAGAACATCAGGGTGCCCCACTCCTGGCGACCACACGGACGTGGTCTTCGGGCCCTTTGACTGCTGCAGGCAAAGCGATTCTTAGTTCTGCACCAGGATTATGGCTGTTTCAGGCCCTCCGGGTTCACACTTTTGCATGCCAGCACTCCTCCTCGATGCCGCCCAACGCAGCTCTTCGGTTACCGGTGACGTATCCGATGCAATCCTGCGGTACGTCCTGAAGATGGGCACAAGAAAGTCGACTTGCAACTTGCGCCCTGCAAGTTGTGAAAATGTGCAGAGATGAGGGTGCCGCCACAACGGTAATGTCGTCGCGATCTTCCCATCCATGGACCTAAGATGTTATGGGCAGCTGCCCATGCGGAGCGATGTGTTATTTTCACTTCTTCAGGGCGATGCGTAGACCGGACCTTCCAACTGGTCAAAGAGCCACTTCATGTACTCCTTTCCGGGCAGCCAGAATCTCAACATCTACGGTTGCAGTTTCAGCTCCCGTCCTTGGCCCGCTTGCGCTCTGCTTTGCAGCCGGAGAATAGCGCATTCTGCATCCAGGCAAGGCTAGACGTGTTGACACGGTCTGACACGGAGGCATGGAAAAACATTCGCCATTTAAGCACACCGGGTTCTTTCTCCGCGCTCCCCACAACTCAAATCCTGCCTACCGAGACAGTGGTTGGTGCTTCTGCTCACTCCACCGAACTTCAAGCCCGTGTCAGCTTCTCCACGGCGACGACTTGAGGATGGGCGCTCGCCAGTCTTGACATGTTTCTGTTCCTTTCAAGCCGAGCATCAGATGTCGCCTCCAGTGGCAAGATGAAGCAAGCCGATCTTCTCCATTTGCGGTCGTCCCTCTTGCGGCGGCATCAAGAACTACCGCCAATGAGCTGCTAGATGTTGGTGAAAATTCGCTCCTGCAGATCAACTCACTGAAGGTAGCCCCCTCATGCCATGGATGCTGCGTCTGCAAACTTTAGTGGAGGTGATCATGGGCTCCTTGGCAAGGACCGCACACGAGGCCTCGTCATAAGTTTGCCACGTGAACAAGCGACAAAGCGATGTTGCCAAGAAGACTCTCTTGCAGACGAGTATCCTCATCTGACCCACACACCGCCTGTCATCCCATCAGTGATGATTGCACTCAATTTGAATTGCACGCTCTGGAAGTATCGTTCAAGCTCGCAGTTGTGGACTTTGCATGGAAGTTGATGCCTGCAGCGCTGCCGGCGTATCACGCAGCATTTCGTACCGCCCGCAGACCACCACGGCAGTATCAAGGAGCCTTGGGTCCCAGCTAATCACTCGTAACAGAAAGGGCACCAAGCGCAGAAGGAGACACGCACGGAAAAAGCTCCTGCCAAATCCAAAGGAAGTGCGACGCCCCCACCATGCTGAGAGAACCTGGCGTTGTCGTTCTCTATCTTGGGAGCACTGGGATCTTTACTGCTTTGCAACAAGTGCACTTTGGATGATGTTTTTGCCGCATGGAGTCGCAGCATGTGACATGGTTATATTCACTGGGGCAGCAGTCGAAGCAGTGATGGAGCATTGTTGCATCTGTCTAGGTATTCGACTCGGAGCTGTTACCTGTGCAGCATATGATATGCATCAACAGAAGGCTCGCTGCTTGTACAGCATGTGCAGCATGTGGCGCTTCTCAGAGCATATGATGTGTGTCAGTCCACACTCTTTACGAGTACTGTTTAAAGGTCGCTCCGGCAGGTCGTGCCTGAGTTAAGGCGGGCTGCGACGACTCCCACTCTGTTGTTCCAGTCTCCCTCTCCATCCCCCTCTCCCTCCCTCTTTCTTTCTGTTTTTCCTGGGGCTTGGGGGTGACCCCCGCGCGCTGGGCGCACCCCCACACTGTTGTGGAGCAAAACCGTTCACACTCTCACTCTCTCTCTCTCTCTCTCTCTGCACGCGCGTGCCTGCCGCAAGCTCTAGAGCCAGAGCTTCTTGGGGATACAGCTTGCCGGACCTGAAGGCCGTTGGGTCCATGCCATTGATTGCCATTGTGCACCGATCCAAGAAGGGACGACAGTGCCCGCCTGAGAAACGCAGGAAGCGCTTCACGGGCAGCCTCAGCTCGAAGTTGTTGAGCTTTTCTCGGCTGAAAATTTAACTTATCCAATTCGGAGAAGCTGCCATCTGTTCCAATGCCACACCCCTCTCAACCTGAGCCAGCCAGTTTCACGCAGTGTGTGTGAAAGGTTCCGCAGTGTGAGCTGGGACGCCGCATCTTGGAGGATGCTTCCCACACCCTGGCGCTGGCCTAACAGGGCGTTAAGAAGGTGGCGACATACCTCAAGCAAGCTCAGGGCTGCAGGGCCTGAGACGAGAAGAGTGAGCCTGAGCTTGCCAGCCACGACCCAGTCTTCCAGTTGGTCCTGAAGAACTGGAGAAATTGAGCACGTGTCTCGTTGAAGCTGAACATGCTTGTCAAGGGGAGCGCCTTGTAAGCTAGATCTTTCACGTCTCGGATCCCATAGAAGAGGTGGATCTCCAGAGTTTTGCCTAGCTCTTGCAGTCGCAGAAGTGCTGCCAGTGCTGCCTTCGCCCCCGAGAGGCCAACACCGGAGGACACCAGCGCTACGCGCCGCACGGGCGAGTCGGGCGAAGCCAAAGAGTCGCAGAGAAAACGGTAGTAGCCATTGAAGAAACCCGAGATGGCAGGGTTTACGAAGAGTCCCACTACTGGTCCTGGCACTAGTTGCCGCACTGCGTGTGCTACCTCCACCACCACGCTGTTCAGGCCCTCAGGTGGAGGCCCAGTCAGGATTTCCAGGACACCTTCTGCACCCTCATCACCAAACCCAAGCGCATAGGGCTGCTCGCGGGCCACACCATTGGCATCCAGCTGCTGCAGCCGGATTAGGCTGCCAGGCCGATAGTCCTTCAATGGCTGGATAACTCGACAAGCATTCTAGGGGAGCTCATGCAGCGATGTTTTGGTGAACAGGCTTTGGTTGCAGCTGCTGTCGCGCAGCAAGTGCTACCTGCTACTCGTACTGCACAAGTTAGCGTCCTTCAAAAGAATCTTCCAGTGATGAGGCTCCACATGCAATTGCAGAAGTTGAAACGATCCAAGGACCTGCTTGTCGACCCGAAGCACCGGAACCCAGTCGTCTTGGCAGTCGGACCCAAACCAGTTGCAGGGGCATTGCAACTGCGCAGCTCCGGGGACCTTGGCCCAGGCTTCACTTCCGTACCGCTGTTGCACAGCTGGATCGCAGGAGTCCGGTCTGCAAAGCAAACCCACCCCAGTGGGAAGTGAATACCGCTCAGGCCGAATCTCAGGAAGAAGGCACTCCTCCTGGCAGATCGACGCCCCTTGTGGATACGCCGCGAAATCCGTAAACTCTTGGCACGTGACTTTCAACGTGCGACGATCGGCCAAGACTGATCGAGACCACTGCAAACAAGTGGTTTCGCAAAGAGAACCGTGACAGGGCACGACACTCCGGTTAATCAAGCATGCCTCCCCCTCAGCTTGTTGGCACCAATTGCCGCAAGCGCGAATCTGTTGGAGTGCCTTTTCTGCCGCGCATTCGTCCAACCCCTCCAACCTGCAATCCTCACCGCCGGCGTCAACGGCGCCAGTGGCACCCCAGATCGGCCAGAGCCATAGCGTAGCAAGCAAAGCGAAAGGCTGCACCATCGTTGAGCTGAGGTTTGAGTCGTTTTGTGGAAAGGAAGCGCGACATATAGCGGCAACGAACACTCGGACCCCAAGGCTAAGCCCAAGTCAAGTCCACCAGATCCTGTCCTAGACAAGAAGACCTGCCCCCACTGGAGTCATCTGGGCCAAGGCCAAACGCTCTATTTTCCTTCCAGGCTCAGATGAACGATCGAAGAGATGCGATCCACGTCATCTTAGTCTGCAAAGGCCCTGAGGCGGCTCCAAAGCCTTGGTGTTGATGTGAGCGCAATGATACAACTATACAACCACAGTGTTTTCTCGCTGCGCCTTAGCTACCTTAACAAGCCTTAAACTGCTCATCTCCTGGGTTTAGGGCTTAAGGCCTGGAGGGGTGGAGGGGTGGTTCTGCGGCGGAGCACTGCACCAGAATCCAGGCATCAACCGCTGCATACTGCTGCTGCGATGGGAGCAAGGGCCTTCTGGACCAGTCGCTCGCACGCATCTCCTGCAGTTGAGACAAACAAGAGTAATTTCAAGCGCCTCGGCCTCGGAGGCTTTCCTACAGGGATGCAAAAGGGTCTGAAGTCTGTGTATCAACGGTGAATCACCCACCTCACCCTACGAGCCTTGTTCAGCGGCTTCCCCAAGACTTCTTCGGCCAACGCAGAGAGCCCCAAGCCGTTGAGAGCCTGTCCCGGCCACATTTTTAGAATTCGGGCGGGAAACTCGCTTTGGGCATTGGGTATATCTGGATATCTGTCCCAGCAAAAGAAACAACTGTGGCAGGAATAAGGTGTGCCCTTTTGGGGGACGTCTTTTCGAGCTCCCCTTATAGTGCCCCCAAAGCAGGTACTTACATGTGCTATGTACACTACCGTAAGCTGTTTAAGTTGCCCCCTGGAATCCTTGTAAAGCGCATGTGGCAGGTTGCAACCCTTTCCAAAAGCGGCGCCTCGTTGAAGTCGACAGCGGATTGGTTCATGCGGCGCCTTACCAAAAAGCTACAGAGGCTGGAAGCTATGGCGCACGACCAAATGTGACACAGCACATCTAGATTGATACCATTGATTGAGGAGGGAGGGGGTGCAACCAGGAAAGCTTAATTTCCTCCAGCATCCAGCCAGGACCATCTGGGGAATCTAGGCGTGGGTGCTCATCTTCCGATGGGGGCTCCAGAGATCAAGAAGATCAAGAAGAGGGTGAGCAAGACATGATGTGAGATGGAAGTGGGGCACCATCTGAGGACGGGAGGGCTCTGAGCAATCCATGGCGAGACTGATAATCTCTCAAGCGATTTGTGTACCAGTTATGTGTCGAGCACTGTGTAGCTGGGCTGCAATGCACCCAAGTGCTTCAAGTCGAGGAAAGGTTTGACAGAGTTGGCATCCACCCCCAGTAGACGGGAGAGCTGCTTCAGGTCCTGACGACCTTATCTTGGCATTCCCCCTATGCTCTTCAAAGGGGGGGGATCATGCCCCAGCCAAGTCGCCACCAAAGCTGACCTTCGTGACATCTGGACTCGTGAAGATGCGGGCCTGAGCTGTTCAAGCTGTTTCAAAAAAGAAGGCCTTGGCGAGACAACCTAACGACTATCGGATCAAGGAGCCACCGATGCAGAGATGTTGGGTTGCAGGGTCAGCAGATCGATCAGGAGTACCCTTCGCTTTGTGGCCACTTGGAGTAGACAGGGCTTTCCTCCCCTGAGGGACTCCGTGTCAAAGCCAATACACGTTGTCACCGAGCGCCGCAACTCGGACACACCCTCTTCCAGCTCCTCTGAGCTCACCATGCGGACCTTCACGCGGGCTGGCAGGCGAAGGAACTTCCGAGCGCGGCGGGCGCCCTGCTTCGTCTGGTTCAAGCCTATGCCTTGCAGCCTCCAGTATGTGATCCGCTCTGCGGCGAGCTCCAACTTACCAGCCCTGACAAGCTTCTGTACAAAGAGCCTCTGAAGTTTCCGGTCTTTGCCACAAGCAGCGATCGACTCAAGCTCCTTGCCTTCAGTCCTTGCACCAGTCTCAATCTGGTGAAACTGCAACTTCCGATACAAAGTGCCAATCCGGCGCTTTGTCAAGTTGGCACACTTCGCAACTTGGATTGCTACCTTGAAGAGTCCGTCGTCGCAGATCTCATCAATGAGCTTGTTAATCTTCTTCCTGTCAGTCTGAGCAAACTGCGGGAAGGCCTGCAAAAATGCTAAAAGTATGTGCCAGTTGCTATGGGCCAGCACATCTTGGACCATCCTCCGAAAATCGTCCAGTTGCTGCCCCACAGCATCAGTCTCCGCAACGCGCCACTTCTGCAACACCCGAAGCGCTGTGAATTGACTGTTGTTGTGCCTCCACAAACACAGAGACACTGAAAGCGCCCGTTGACGCAGAGCCGGATCCTCTGCAGCAGCTTGGCTGGCATCGTCTTTCACCAAGCCACACAACATTCCGGCTAGCTTCGCCTCGCACGTAGGCTCTCTGCAAAGCTCCTCCAAGCAGCTGAGAAGGAAAATCGAATTCCCACGCGCATCGAGGCTCGAGTGCTCCAGAATCAGCTCCACCTCTGATCTCCAGCTCTCCAGGGGCATCTCGCGGACCTGTGTGAGGAACTGTCGTGGCTCGAAGCCCTTGAGCTTGCTCCGTTCCGTGCTTGCCGGGGTGGCAAATGTCCAGCTTTGTTTAATAAGTTTAATACAGTCCAGAAGCCACATGCATGTCCAGAGCAGAAGCCAGCAAGTCGTGGCATGAAGCCCACGACGGCGCGACGGGCGCTGAGCCATCGCAAGGACTGGTTACCATCTTTCCCAACAAGCAAAGCTGCACTGCACCCGGGAACGCAACCATGCTCTGCTAACTGACTCTGTTCGACTGTACAACTTCCATAAGTTGCTTGTCAAATCAGGCATGAAGAGTCGGTTCGCACTGTTGCACGGCATACAACATGTCTCCCTACGCCGGTCTTCAACAATGAACCTACCCCCCTTTTGAGCGTGCGCGAGAAAAGCTGGGCCTGTTGCAAGAAAACAACGGCAGCAAGATGCAGCAAGGGCCTGCCCCACATACTGCACGATGGCACCCGACGATCGCTCGATCTTCTTGCGGGTGCCACCCTGGCAACCAAGGACCATAACTCAAGGGATTATCTGACAATTCCAAGAGTCACAAGACAAGAACTTCAGGTCATGAATGAGCCTGCTTTCCTAGAGCATAAGATAGCTCGTCATCTTGAAACGTCATGGTGTCCTGAGCTAGCGGGCAACACCCAAAGCTGGAAGTCGAGTCCCCAACAGCCAAGGTATGCGGCGCATCCGACTGCATGCAAGGAACAGTGCCCCATGTGCCGTCTTCATAGTCAGCACCACGGTCTCGAGGCACCACCTTGCGACGGACAAACAATGCTTGGCTGCAGAATCGGCTTGGAAATTTTAGGCCGAACGCGGTCACAGCACAATCAATGCGAGCCACGTCATCACGGATCTTGTCGAAGTAGCCGGGGACTTTCGTCTCCACGGCGCTGAGCACCTGGCAAAGGGCACACCAGGTTTGTCACCCTACCTTGAGGCAGCAGGCAGGGCATACCTTCATCGTGCTTTCCCTAACACAGACTTTTCCCCAACACTTCCCAGCACCACAAGAGTTCCAGCCTTCAGTTCGGCGCCCCGTCGTGCTTTCACATTCCCGAAGATTGCTAGCTTTTCGTACTCCTGCAAAGGCGAAGGGCCGGATCTGCACTGCGGGTGGAGGGTGGAGGCAGGCATCCTTGCTGCGCGATCGGGAGCTTTCCACTTCCACGAAGAACCTGGTGCAACATTGGCGGGCGGCTTGCTGAGGCACCACGCCGATGCAAGCCGAGCACATACTGAGCTCAACACATCAAGGTTCCCCATTCTTCTTCAATGGTGCGCAGGAAATTTCCAGCCTGACCGAAGCAAAACACCAAAATCCGTTCAGGTGTGCATTGCTCCGCAGCCGAGCACTGGCTTTGCTGCAACATGTTGCAGCTTCGTGACTCGCCCCGTAACGAAGCCCACTGCTTCTTGTGGAACCTGGCACTCTGGCGCTCTGTGAACTTGTGCCGTGCCCCATTGCGGAGCCTTCGTTTGACAGGCTGAATCAGGCCGAGAATGCCCGCAGCATTGTCAAGTCACCGTCATCGTACTCCTCGTTAACGGTCACAGGCCTAAGAACACAATCACGCGGCAACTTTTGTTTCCACGATGCCCGGCTGCAAAAGGTAAGGAGTGGGCCCAGTTCTTTGCGCCATGACACCTCTCAAAAAAGACGGATGAAACCGGTCGACACCACACGACTTGACTAGCGGCAACCAATGTCAGCCAATCTCAGCCGCCAGGATGAGCTTTGGGCCTTCGGCATATTTTTTAGCCCGACGACGCTCTTTCTTGGAGCCGCGGATCTCCAACACCAAATCTCGTTCAAAGAGCTCCTAAGTGAAGCTTCGGGGCTCATATCCGAGTGCCGAGAAAAACAACACACCTTCCTGCGGCATGGATTTGGGACAATCCCCCCTCTGTGGTGTGGTTGGGGTTAGGGTTTAGGGCTCAAGTTTTTGCTGAGATTCAGGTTGAGGTTTCGGGTTTGAGGTCCACATGGGTCCACCGTTTAGGGTTTAGGGTTTAAGGTTTGAGGGTTTAATACACCATAAGGGTGGGACACCAGAGGGGGGAATACGTCGGAGCGGAGTAGGCCGAGTCAAGTTGCAGGATCGTGTCAGAAGTTTTGGGGTGTAGGGTTTATGGTGCGTACAAGGCTTCGAGGTTTCTAGGTTGCATCGTCGCTAGACCAAACACATCAGCAAGCAACTCAGCCCCGCGACTATTTCTGCGCCAGAAACTCTGGCAATCTTCTCCTGGACAGACAACGATGATTGCCATGCGTGTGCTGCATATTTCTTGACATCGAGCGCGCCTTTGTTTTGCCACCTTTGCCCAGGATAAAGGCGGCATCATCATCAGTAATTTTCATTGTGTCGACCTGACGCATTTCCCTACATCGTTTTCCAAACGATTACTAAGGTGAACCAAATGTTGTGTCGAGCACAATTGAGGCTCACACGCCATAGTCATCAGGTCTTTTCGGTCTAGCCTATGCCGCAATAAAGATTCAGGTAGCACGCAGCTCAATGGCTTGAAGAAATCTTGCCGTTTACGGCATCGCAACACCCCATGCCTGCTCGGATCTGCTCCGACTTCTGCTGTCCTTCTTGCGTGAACGGCTCCGACTGTCCTGGAAAAAATGTCCCGTGACACATCACGCGGCTGGCCACACAAAAGCCGACCTTGCGCTTGTTGTCGCCGCGGTCACGACTGCGACTTCCTGAGCATGCGGCATATGCAGTGAACCGGATTGTAAACTGTGCCGCGCAAATGTTGGTGAGGCCGCGGCGGTCCCCCATTTCGGGAGCTCTTGAGCGACACGGGCTGTTTAGGGCGTTTGACACGCAATTGGGGACATGCTTTGAGCTAACGCCTGCGGCGAAACCAATTTGAATCATCATAATCCGCATGTAGATGGCACAATGTCCATAAGATGCTGTTTGCCCCAGCCTGACTACAGTACCGTACCTACCGGGCCTCCGCATGACCAGCAATTTTTGTTCTTTTTCGAAAAGGCCGCAAGTCTGCGCACTTGCCTTGACGGCCCCCGCCATGGACAAGTTGGTCGATTGCATTTCGCACCACTGGCGGAAGCCCGCAGCATTGCATGGGCGTAACGAGGCGCATGCATCCGCCAGCCGTGTTGGCCAGTCCCGCACGGCGCGGACGCGCCCTTTGCAGCAGGGCAAGGCACGCTCGCCAGATCGCGTCGCCCATCGCTCAGCCCACCTTCGCCGCACATACGCGCGTTTTGCCATTTTGGACGCGATCCCGCAGTGGGTCGCGATTGCCCAGGTCGTGCTACTAGACACAGAAAGTCAAGTCAAGCTGACTGGCCAAACGCTGCACAGCTGTTTTTTTTTTTTAAACTCCTTTGTTTTATTTTTCTTCCCTCGGACTTTTCCGCCTGTATGATGGAGGTCCTGCAAAGTCGAGTTACCCTACTCTAGTCACCCTTACCGCCCCACTACGGCTTGCGGGCTAGCGCAGCGGCAATCGGCTCGGCCCTGCAGTGTCGGCGAGGTCGAGCACCTGGTCAAGCGCAGGGCCCTGTCGCTGGCTCGCGTGTGGCGGCGCGGGCCATGGGCTTCCTAGGGCCGTGCTGGTCACTGCCTGCTGTACCGCTATAGCCAGGGCCGCCCACCACCGTCTTGTCCAGGCGGATGTGGCCGCAGCTCGCAGTGCTGGCGGGGCGAACGCGCGCCAAGTCTCTGACGAGCCCCTGTGCTGACTCATTCCAGCGCCCACCTACTTCGGAGCCGAGGACGAGGAGCCGCTGCGGACCGCCCGCGCTGAGCTCCGGGTAGGCGGTTCGCTTCACCCGCAGCATGGCGCCGTCGTGCGCGGCAGCGCAGGGTTGGGGCTGACCCGTGCGCGTGCGCGGCGACACCATGCAGGGTCGCATCACAGCGCAACGCCTGGCCGTCTGCTCCAACAGCTTCGCGTGCGACCCTCACCCATGCCCGTTCAACGATCTTTGCTCGCCGAGCCAACAGCCCTGTGCGAGGGCAGGCCAAGGCATGATCGACGAGCTCGCCGCAACCGGGAGATGGGCCGCACCGACTTAATCGTCGGGGGAGCGGGAGGCGCAGTCGGCGGCGCAAGGCGAGCTGCATTGCTTGCGGGGGCAGTGTGGTGGCGGGCTCCGCTGGAATGGCTGTTAACCAGGCGCCCGCGTGTGGCCCAGCTTGAGAACGCAAGCGCCGGCGCTTGGTGGCAGGGCTGGCAGCAACGTGCGTCTCTTTCTGCCGCGCCATCCCCAAGGGTCTTGCTTCGCAAGGGCACGAAAAGTAGGCTAGGATCTCAGGAGGCGCAGTGAGATCTCAATGTAGGTTGTTATTCCCGTTAATTTTCTGGTAGGCACACCGCCGCCTGCATACGGAGTTTTTTTTTTTCCGCGCCTTTTTGCGTCCGCAGAAAACGTCCCGAGTCCCAACGACGTGCTACCTAGATTCCTACGGAGCGCTAGCGAAGCGGCAGCCGACTGGGGGCGCTCGCATTCGCCAGGTCGAGCACGTCACTCAACGGGAGCGTGTCTGGCGCTCCAGGCAGCGGCGGCATGGTCCACACGCCAAGCGCGGAACTGGCTACTGCTCGCTGCAGGGCAACCGACAACACACTCCACCAGCGGCGCGCCCAGCCCTGGGCGGCTGAGGTCCGCAAGGGTGGCGGGGCGCGCTGGCGCCGAGCCGGAGCAGGGTGCGGAGGAACTGTTGGCACTCGTCGCTCCAGCGGCCCCCTAAAACCAGCCGCTGAGGCCTCCCTCGCGTCAGCTCCGGGGAGCGTGCGACCTTGCGCCTGCGCGCCGTAACCAGCGCGACCCCCGCCCGGGCGTCGGGCCCGGTCACGGGCCGACCAGTCCGAGTGAGGGGGGAGACGAGCGTTGCGTCGCAGCACAAGGCCTCGCCATTGGTCGTTGCCCCGTACACAACGAAGTCGAGGCGGCGACGGTCGTCGGCACGGACCTGCGCCGCTGTAGTGCACGACAGCCACTGCTGCGGCACGACCCGAAGAAGACTCGGACCTCAAACAACCGCGTTCGGTCAGTAGCGAAAAGCAACGAACAGACGTATCGCACTTATGGCGACAAGTGTCAGAGAAGCCTTAGGCTTCGCAACCTTGAAGCAGCCAGCGCTGCATATGACACACAAAAACTACGAAATGTACATGAGCTGCAATCAAGGACGGAGTATTCAATGGATACAGTGGCATAAATATCAGACGTAGGAAATCCTCGTCTGACAGCTGCGCAGCGCAATATCGACAGCACACCTGCGCATATGAAGCCTCCAGGTCTGGCGTTGCATGTCAAAAAGGGAGCAATGTCGCAGCCCATGTAAGAGACTCCAGCTTGGATTGCCACACAGACACGATTGCTGCGCGCCATGAGGATCAGCAGAAGCACGGTGTCGTGCATTTCGCCCATCTGGAAATGGATGGTGGCCGCACCGAGCCAATGTCCACTCACGGACAACATGTGGCGCAAGCCTCCCACCATGTACTTGCGACGCGCATACAAGATGGGGCTGATACTCAAGGAAGGGCCTTAAGGAAGGTACAGCCGTGAGCTCTGCACGGTACAGCGTCAAAGCATCGCGCTGCAGAAAAGGCCGCACTACTGACCGTCTCCACTGCAGTTGCGCCGCCTGCGCCCTTGGCAACACCCCACAGGCATCCGGCAATAAACCACCACAAGACTGCAACTGCAGCTTGACATTGTGAGCCCATGAGCCGGGCGAGCGCACAGCATAGTTGAACACCCTACTTGCCGAAGTGCGACAACTGACAGAGGGCGCCATCCCAACTCACCCAGGACAGCGGCTCCAGGAGCACCCTGAGGCCACATAAGTAGACGGCCGCCATTTTTTATCCAGCGTGTGGAGGGAAGCTTCATCCAAAAACTCAGAGCCGTACAAATGAGCGAAAGAGGCTAGTGCGAAAACCAGTGCACAAACCTTGGTTCTTTTTTTTTTTTTGTCCACGCACCTTTTTGCGACAGTTACCGCGGTCCCAGTGCATGAAAGCGGCATCCTACGCGGGCTAGGTTGCCGGCAGCCGGCTGGCGGACGGCGAGGAGCTGTCCCGGACCTCAGCGAGGATCTCGTGTAAGTCGGGCGCAGCTCCCTCATCGCAGATGTCGCCTCCCGGCGGTAGCTCAAGGAGGGACGCCGCGTATGCGCGCATGGCCGCGACGGCGAGGAGGCCGGACCAGCGCTGCACCCACCCTGCGCTTGCGGCGGCCCGGAGTGGGGGTGGGAGACTCGCCGCGCGGTGACGCGCAAGGTGGCGGAGGAAGGCGGCGGCTTCAGCACCAAAGCGCCCTCCTACCTCGACCCCGACGACGACGAGCCGCGCACGCCGCGCGCTCGCGAGCTCGGGGTACGTTTGGCGCCGCTTTCGGCGAGCGGCGGCCTGTACTGCTGCGCCTGGGCGGGTGTCGGCGCCCGGCTGCGGCATGCCAGCCCGTGTGACCGGACTGACGATAGTGGCATCAATAGCGAGCTGCGCTCCGTGCCAGAGGGGTAAGCCGTTCGCGACGACTTCGATGCAACGTGCGTCGCTGACAGGAACATCGATGCTTACCAGTGCTCTTGGTAATACGGTGCGCAGCATGCTTTTGCCACTTCCGGGAGGCTTGAAACACCACCCCCAAATAACAGTACTGACTGACGCACGGCACAGGGGCACCCTGAAGGTGGAACCTGAAGCTAGAGGAGCGCGAACCCACAACAAGAACTGCAGTCTTGCCTCAGGACCGACTGCCTCGCGAGCGACCTGGATCCACGCCCTCTCCACGACGAATCCGCGTCGAGGCAGCAGGCCCGTGCGGGGGCAGGCGAGGTGGTGGTCTCCATACGCATCGACCTCGCCCCCACAACCATATCGGCCTTCTGCTCCACAGCGCAGGTCCGTGAGGGGCAGGGGCAAGCGAAGGCGGCGCCGCATTGCGACGTGCATGGGGTGGACACCGCATCCGAAGGTATCGCGGCCAGCCACATACCGGCATGCGGACCGGATTGAGAGTGGAGGAGGGTTCGAGCGGCAGGAGCCAAGGCCGGAAGCAACGTGGGTTCTCGAAAGGAAGTGTGAAGTGCGAGAACGGCATGTCGCTGCCAACCAGGGCTTCCGAGGCCGAGTTCATTTCACCCTCAGCCGCTGGGACGTCAGCGCCTCGGGCGCAAGATTTTTTTTTTAAGATTCCCCGTCAGGTCTGTCCGCAGTAAGCTGGCGCGCCGCCTCCACAGCTGCGTGCAGGCTTGCGGCGCCCTTGACCCTTTGCAACTTTGGCTTGTGTGGCCATCGCAGGCTAAGGCACAAAAGGAGAACCTTCAGGTACTTCACGCAGCTGAAGTTCGGAGGGGCGTGTTGCGAGCACGCCATGACACGGACTCCTAAGGACCGGTGCCAGCAGTGCGGCAAGAGCGCCTCGTCGGGGCGAACCTCTACCGCACCAGCAACTACTACTACTGGTGCCGACGATGTGCCCTCGAGCTCGCGCACGAGCCTGTCCGCCGCGTCGGGGTAACATTGGCGCAACACCGAGGGCGCCGCCGCCCAGTATGCTGCCGGCGCTACCCGCTCAGCTGCCAAGAGGCCAAGAATGGCCAAGACTTCCCAGGCTCGGCAGCCAAAAGGCAACGCTGCGAGCAACCGCCTAGGTCTGCAGGGGGGAGAAATCTGACCCATATGGAAAGTTGACTCCCAAACCATAGGGCATCCAAATGAGTAATGAAAAAAAATATGCAAACTCATTTATAATAATATGGTTTTTACAAGTGACCGAGGAAAGGGAATATGAGTGCACACCTGTCCAAAAAGCCGGATATTGTGTTCACTTCGCGCATTCACTCATTCACTTCGTTCATTTTCCCCATTCCTTTCATATTATATTAGCGCACACGCGAAACAAGTAAGCGAAACGAGAGAAGAGAATATGAATTAGTTTATATTAGTTTATTAAACGCGTGAGCGCATCTATTTCACTTACAATCATATTATTCTCTCGCGCCTTTCTTGCCTTTTAAGTAAATTCGCTCTCTCATTCACCGGGGCAGCAACCTTCGTCTCTAGGAAATAATACTATGACATTAAGGTATCACGAGTGAGCGGTTCATTCACGTAATCCTTTATATTTTAATGCGTTCACACGCTTATAATATGATTACGTGAAGCGGACGGCGAAGGTGCCTGGCGTGCTGTGGGGCGGTGGTGGGCGCGGCGGCGACGACGGCGGGTGGTTGGTGGGGCGGGCGGCGGTCGGTGCTCGTGCTGGGCATCATCCGCTAGGCTCCGTGCGGCCGCAGCTGCCGTCGCACCCGCGGAGGACTCTAAAAGTGCTGCTTGCGCTGCCACTGTAAGATATCCGTCTGGGGCCATGCAAAGCAGTAGCGCGGCCGATAAGAGCAGCGGAGCATCGGGCATGGCGGATAGGGTTGCCGCCGATGCGCGATCTTCCGTTGAGGTGCCCCAGCGAGCGTCATGAGCCTCACACTCGGCGACCGCAAGCAAGGTTCCGTGATCGCCGACGCGGTCCACCTGCCCGCCGCAGCCTGGCGATGGGCCGCAACGTCCCTGCGCACGCGCCGGCGAAAGGCCAACTGCATGGCATCCGACGACAGCGTCGCGGCAGCCACGCTAGGGATGGCGGTCAGCCATGCTCCTGCGTGTGTTTGGTTAGGGGGCGCCGGAAGAAAATGCATTAGACCAGCTAGCGCGACAACGTCCTGCCAACTGCCTTAAACAAATTTGACGCCGCGGTGGCAGCTTGGATCAATGCCAGGTCTTGTTCCCAAATGCAAAACCCCAATCTGCAGACTTGACGCAGGTGCTTCCTCCGACCCCCCAGTGTGGACGCTGCATGGCTGAAAAGTGGAAAAAAATAGACGGCTAGGATCCGTGCCTGCGTGCACTCGCAAAAATTGCGTGTGGACACCGATCACACAAACGATGTTTTTTTCCGCGCACCTTTTTGAAACTGCAAGTCACATCGCGGTGCCAGTGCAAGCGTCCAACCAAGGCCTCGGCAACAAAGCCAGTTTACGGCATGCGGGGGGCTGCTCAGCAAGAACGTGACTGAGCAGCGGTGAGTCGCCATCCACGTTGGCAGTGCCGGACAGAGGACGGGAAAGAAGGCTGGCTGCAAAAGACCGCGCGGCTGCGATGGCCAGCAGCTCAGACCAGCGCGACGCGAACGCGACAGTGCATGCAGCCCGCTGTGCAGGGGGAGCGGCACGGGCCCGGCTGCGAGCAAGGTTCTTCGTTTTCGCCCGTTCGGGTCCACGTGAAACATTACAAGCGTCAGACTGTTCCTACTGCTAGTGGACCACGGTCCTATACGGACATTGGGAATGGGGGCGTGCTTGATTGTTGGCACGATTCGGTCTATACATTCGCAAAGCTTTGTAACTTTGTACGTACTGGCTTGCAGCGGGCGGCGAGTTTGCTGTTTCAGCAATATCAGTCCACGTACTCACCGCTGGAAAACCACAGGCTGCAAAACTGCGGAGTCGATCATCCCCACTTCGTTAGCGGGCGACGTGGTCGACGATGTAGTTGTAAAGCAAAATTTGCTTGCCAGTTGATTACAGGCTGCGAGCAAGGAGTCGGACAAATTCAGCGGCCTGAGGGCTCCAGCGCCCACCAACCTCAATGCCCAGCACGACCAGCCAGCAGCGGCGACCGGAAGTAAGTTCCAGGTATGTCCGGGCCTTGGCGACACGCAGGGCTGTCCCTGCCGTGTGGCCTCCGTCTCGTCGTGGGAGGCCGGCTGTCGTGAGGGGCGACACCAGCGTGGTGTCTACGGCAAAGGGACCATCTCGCTGCATGCACCCGCTCCGGCGTCTTGCGAGCCAGAGGTTCCCCGCTGGAGCGTGTTGCAGCTCGCGTTTGGCGTGAGGCTGGGGCGAGCGGCGTTTTGGTGCGGGACCTCAATGTCGTTTCCTTGACGGCAAGACGACCGCCGTGTGGAGGTCATAGCGAACTCGCCATCGCCTGCGAACTGCGAGCCCCGCCGTGAGGGAAGGCGGACTGCCGGAGCTGCACGGTGGCATGAGCGCATTTACTGGGGGTGCTTATTTAACTCGAGCCATTTTGGCTCCAGGCCACTTCCCTTGCTGCCTGTGTTGAGTTGCGGTCGTCCTTGGGCACCAGTTGCTGCAACTAGGAGACCGCTGGCTGCCCCTGGGCGCTTCGTGCGCAGCTGGGGGACCTAAAACGCGTAGCATAATCACCGATGCAGGTTGTCCCTGGGCACTGGCGCGCGCAACTGGGTAATCTGCGGGGCTGCCCTTGGGCGCTGAGCGCAGCTGGGGGCCTCACAGTCGCAGCCTGGGCCGAGCCATTGTGCACGCATCCGGTTTTTTTTTCTCCTTGGGACTGTCTGGCTGGCATCCATCCCCCTCGGTGCAGACAGTCCGGCTCTGCTTCCGGCCTGCCTTCCTTTGGGGCCTGTGCCCGTGACACGCCGGCGCCATCGGGCGCGTTAAGATTTGTTTTTTTGCGTTGGAAGGCGTCCCGAGTCCCAACGACGTCTACGGAGTGCTAGCGAAGCGACAGCCGACTGGGGGCGCTCGCAGGTCGAGCACGTCACTCAGCGGGAGCGTGTCTGGCACTCCAAGCAGCAGGCAACCAACAACACACTCCACCAGCGGCGCCCAGCCTGGGCGGCAGAGGCGCGCAAGGGTGGTGGGGCGCACTGGGCGCGGAGCCGGAGCAGGGTGCGGAGGAACTGCTGGCACTCGTCGCTCCATCGGCCCCCTACTTCAGCAGCGAAAACAACCGGCCGCTGAGGCCCTCCTCGCGTCAGCTCTGGGTAGCGTGCGGCTTTGCGCCTGCGCGCCGCAACGCGCAGGCGCAACAAGCGCGACTCCCGCCCGGGCGTCGTTTGGCGCCGAAGGCTGCGTGGTCTCAGCAGTGGCTGTTGCACACCACCGCGCCTGGGATCCCAGCCGCGGATGTCACGCTCGTATCACCCTTGCGCGCTGGGCTGCCGCAGCCAGGAAGTTGCGATCGCGACAGCTGGAAGCGCGGCTATCGAAGTCGCACGGTGCCGCAAACTCGCGCGGTACCACGAGCTTGCTCGGCACGGAACGCAGCGGCTCGTGACCCCCGGGCGAAATTCAGAGAATACTGTTTGCCCGCGGAAATAATATAATAATGGTACTAACGGGCCCCGTAAACGAAGTACATTTTATATAGGGGCTCATAAGAATACTAAAAGACCCTGTTAACTTTGTGATCGAAACCCGGGCCTGAATGGTACGCCCTAAAGGTGGGGTCTTTTGGTAGTACTATATTTGGTAAAACGGCTGATCCAAACATCCCGTTGTCAAACTTCCCGTTTTGGCCGCATTCCGACGTAACCCGATTTTGCACAACTCTTCGTTCAGCATGCGAATCATGCATACAACTTCGTCCCATGACCGTGCACAATCGTATGTCGGAAAGGCTTTCAGGCCTGACTCTGACTGCGTCGACTTCGCGGCAAGAGTCTGACAAAACATCGCGCTTGTAGGCAAGGTCCGGATGCGCAGCACGTGCGATTCATGCGAGACCTCCTATCACTGAACGCAATGCCGATCGCTGGCTTGGTGCGACAGGGTCGGTGCCCTTCTTCCCTTTTAGGCCGTCCGCCGGCTTGATAGCTGTGTTGTCACATGCGACAAGAACGAATGGGGTTGCTCTACTTGACCTTTGCCGTTGTGTTTGGGGGGGGGGGGGACCTCGGGCCTGCGCAGTGCGACTCCGAAGCTCCCAACTGTCTGGTTGCGAGTCCCTACTGGTCATTGCCAACCTTTGTGAAAGACAAGGCCATTGGATTAATTTGCACAATGGCTCCACAGAGGAAGTGCCGAAGCCTCGCTGGCCACAGCACAATGTGGACAGCTCGTCTGTACTGCGCGCAGTCCAAGCTTCGGCTGATTTCGAGGGGTTGAAGGTGAAGGAGGTTACGTGTACGTCCGGTGGGACGAAGCTGCCGCGGCACCAGTTGCTGCAGCTGCCGTAGACAGGAACGGAAATCGAACAGTTTCTGCAGCAACGGAAACCGAACAAAGCTCCAAAGCGTACAGTGATGAAACTGCACGGCGTGCCAATGCGTGCCAGCAAGCCCGCGCGCGGGCATGCCACTGCATCCGCGCGTGCCCGCGCAGCTGCACCGGTTTGGCAAAAGAGGCATTCTATTCGTCTTCTCTCTTTATTATCTTTACTAGATCGCAGATTCAAGAATTTCGTATCTCGCATACTCAATAAATGAATATATGTCTTTCATCTAATAATTCTCGGCATTTGTTTTTCTTATATTCTTTTCTTGTGCTCGTTTCACGCATAAACGCCGCAATTCATGCGCACAATACGCTTATTTTATCTTATTTTATCGGAGTCTTTGTACCCTCACATAACATGGGGCACGCCCGTACAAAAGACTGCATTGTTTGGGCGTGTTATTCCGTTCTAAGAGTTCAGAGGCAAGCAGGGGCGTCGTCGCGAGGCAATTTGCACGTCCTGACACGCAAACCGGAGTGCGCTAATTGCGGCATTGCATTGAGTGAGAGCGAAAACGCGCGTTGTACATTTGCCGCCACGACCCAGGGAGAAGGTCTCTGGCAAGGGGCCAAGCCGCCGAATGCGGCGCTGTCGTCCGGACAAACTTCACGCTCATGCGTTGCTTGGGGGGCGCGCCCGGGCGAAGGAACAATGGATGCTCGTGCGCGGCCTCGGCCTTCAAAGTGCGCAGGACGCCTTGCCCGTCATCCAAGCCCACTGCCCCGAGGCCGTGCGGGTTTGCAGTGCGGCTTTGGAGCGACCACGGGCGGCTCCTGCGCCTTGCTTGCACCACGCTGAGAAGGCAGTGCGACTCTTTGGGCGGAAGGCTGGGTTGACTGCCCTCTTTGGTCGGCATTGCTGCTGCCCAACCGATTACCCTGTTGCCCGGAACGTTACTGTTATGCAGCCTGAACGACGAGGTCCAGGTGCCGGCAGTCGTCGGACGGCGTGGTGCGGCCGCACTAGCAGTCCCGCTCTGGCAAGGCATGGTCATTTCGCAAACCACACCCAGACTGTCCATGACAGTTTCGTCACTTCCCTGTGAGGCGAGCGATCACTTGCATTGGATAGTATTAATGTCAATAGACCATATGCTTCATCCGCCGTGTCCTTAGGGCCGCAAACCGCGGGAAGTAGATGGCTGCAAAAAGAAAGGCGCGGCCATGTTGTTTCGCACGTAGAGCACAAACCCGTAAAGAATATGCGTAGAATGGAGCATCCGTGGCATTTTGCCTTCACCATCTCCTGAAACAAATCCCAAAACCGTGCTGCACGTGGTATGGAAGCATGGAGACATGCGAAAAGCACGTGCCGATGTCCTGTCCACGTTGCGCGTCATTCGTGGAAGGCGAATCCAACTTTGCAAACCCCCTTATTCGATCATTCGCAAACCCAATCGCAAGCTGTTATTGGGAACGGAGGCATCACAAGATTGGGGCCTATCGGGTGTCCGCACATCAGCTACTCTCTCGCTTCACTGTTCATCTTGAGGCATCACTTTCCCCCCCCCCCCATCCCGACAGCAAAGCAAACGCCACTTTTGAAGTGCATGGTCAGGTAACTGCTGGAAGTGTACGGCGCTACTGCGCTGCCGCTCTGCCGTGTCTCCGTTTGTCTGCTTGAAAAGTATGAAAAGGAATCGAAGCAAAAATGCGTCCAGCAGCCAGTGAGCCATCCTGGCTGAAACCTTTCGACTCATTGGACTCAGACAGGATGCCACACATGATGCGAGCACGATGCCGCATGATCCTGTAGTTGGTCGTAGCTGTAGAATTCCTTTTGTAGAATCACCCGTAGCGCCCCGGAGCTGCTCCCACAGGCCCACCTCGTGACCTAATCTTGGACCCTTCTCTGGTCACATACGGGGCAGGTAAGGCGCTTTCCAAAGAAGACACACTCTCTGCCAGACCTTCCAATCGCTGTCCGAGACTGGCAGTTTGGGATTTCATGTTGATGGAGAGGTTCTGCATGCGGTCTCCCAGGGAAAGGGTGAAGTCACGCATCTTGGATGACAAGTTGTCCTGCGACCGCAGCACAGCTACATGAAAGTCGTGGGAGGCGACGATGCTCCGGCACAATTGCTGAAGCTGTTCAATCACCTCCATCCACATCCTGCCCTCTGCTTTGTCGATCAGGTCCGGCGACTTCATTGCAAACTCGGGCTTCTTCAATGTCTGCATGTCCGTGCCTGCGTCCCGCAGCGTGGACCTTGGGAGCGGCCTGAGATGTAACCAGGAGCTCTCCCCGAAACTGTGGAATTGAAGGCTTTAGGGGGCCTTAGGCACAAGGTAAAGCACAAGCTTGTTTCCAAGACCTTGAGCTGTCAAATCTGCAATGCAAAACCTGGGTACTGCCAACGAGTCATTTCTGTTTGTGGCTGCGCCCAAATCGCCCCGAACTCCTGGCCGCCGTCATCAGCCCAGAGCTCGTTTGCTGGTACTTCGGCGGCCTCCATGAACTCGGTCACCGAGTCTGCGTCGTCTGCGTCGTCTGCGTCGTCTGCATCGTCTGCATCGTCTGCATCTGGCTCGGAGCTTTGAGGCTGGCTGGCATTTCCCGCTGGCGTCTGTTCCTTCTGGGAGTTCATCGACACTTGAAACATCATGGCAAGCAAGGAGCAAGGTCTACCCTTAGCTTCTAAGCCTCTAAGCCCCTAAGCCCCTAAGACAGCAAACCAACACTCCCCCCAGCCATGTCCTTTGCCCCATCGCTCTCACTCGTCGGGTCAGGCAAACCAGACATGACAGCCTTGTTGAAAACCTCAGGGATCGCGATTGAGGCAGCGATGGGGGATTCCCAAAGTGCAATCTCCGGCTGGCATGTTTTGCCCTAAGTCAGTTGGACGAAAGACTATCGACGGTTCAAAGCCCCTCGCCTCTAAAAGGTTCAATATCGGAAGCTGAAGCTTCAGGTCCACATTGAGAACCGGCACCTTGTGGCCATCGACCTGTCTGGGTTGGTGGGCAATTTGGTCTCGAGGAGCCCCATTAGCTTGCATTCAGAAATCCTTAAACATGACAACTCAACAAGTGCCCGCACACAGTGACAGAGTGCTGCATTAGAACTGACCCCATGGATGTGCGTCTGGTATGAACCGTTGACCTTCTGCTGCACATACGCAAACATCACGAATGTCTCGAAAATGCCATGAATTTTCTTCACAGAACCCCAAGGCCCCAAGACGCCAAGGCGCCTCGTCCATCGCAAGCTGTGATTTCCCATTGCAGGTGAGACGCATGCCGAGCATGATTGAACGCAGCTGTTAGGAAAACCATGGAAAACCCAAGTGACGTGGATGTGGTGGATGTTGCGGGGGCGCTCTGCCCTTTTCAGGCGTGCTCAGAGAAGACTCTGGAGTCAACGGAGCCCTTGAGCCGGGAGTCAAATCCCGCAGATCGCATCTTCTCAACTCCAGGGCCTCAGAACTCGGTGCTCGGTGGAGCTCGGTCACATGATTGTCGCAATTTAGCAGCGTTGCAGTTCAAAGCAGAGGGGCGAGGTCCTAAGTTCGGGGCTGAGCTTGATTTGGTATCTCGATGTTTTTGCACCTCGTTAACGTCGCACCGACAGGGCTTAGGCCGCCGATGGTAGGTGAGACATCGCTGATCCGAATTCCGAACCCTTCAGCAGATCCTGCAACTTGGTTCTTGCTTAAAGGCCGAAAGTGACTGTGACTGCCATGGATGTCTTTGAGGCTTCGCGCCTTCAGGCTGTTTGCGCATCTGTAGAGTTCCCAACGAGCTACAAGGTGAAACCAAATCTGCACCGAAGGCGCACAACCTTGGTCCAATCATTGGTTCTGGGCAACTGCACGAACCCTCATGAAGCCTTCAGAAAACGAAAGGGAAAACGAGGCGCGCACTTAGCTGTGCGGATTCAGCGCTCGCTCACGGCCCAGCTGCTGCAAGACCTCGGCAGCTATTTGCCGTCAAAGAGTGCTGCATCGAGGTGTTGAAGTTTGGGGTTTAGGTTTGAGGCCTTGGGAATTGAAGAGCAGGAGGGGGTTGTGGCCGCAGATCTCACATCAAAAGACCTACATCCTGCACCCATAAGCCCTGTCTCAGCGGCAAACATACCTGCTGAGAGCTCCACTTTGGATTCACCGGGTACGACTCATTCTGAATGGGTGGAGACCACCTTCGCAAAGGTCTGAATTCGAGGCCACACAGAGCTGTTTGCTGGCGGCATTAGCAGACAACGCTGTCACCAGTAGCTGATGTTGAATACGAACGCCTCAGAATACTCTCGAATAAACCGCAATCAGCCACATCACGAAGACCCAGTGCAACTCGCAGACTTTGATCCCATAGGGCCAAGCCCCCGGCCGTGCAATACAGGCGGGGCCATCACATCGGACCTGAGAGGAGAACTTTGGGAGTCTCTCGCAGTACAGTACTCTTCGCGGTTCGCAGCAAAGATTGACAGTGAGTGCTGGGGCGTGGAGGTGGTTCTTGAGCCCAAGAATGACACCGAAACAAGCTGAGCCAAAATGTTCGTGAACCTGTCCGAAACCCCCTTGGTGCCCGACACAGTGGAACTCCCCATCCCCAAAGAGCATCTCGTTGCTGACCTCCCGGGCCCAGCACCAGGGCACCTGGGAAGTTCAACATGGGTCGGACGGCCCAGACCCAACAGAATCTCAAGCACGCGACCCACCATAGGTCACCCTTAAAAAAGGCCCCTACGCCTTAACACGTAGAAAACAAGAAAACAATACGTGTTCAACCCGAAACCCCTATCCCCTTAAATCGTTTATCTATCTAGAATAGGCGTAAGGTTTAGGAATAAGGTAGTCGCGAAGCACGCGGGGGTTCTGACGGCGCGCAACCATAGTGTAGCTATAAACTATAAGAAATTAATAATTAACCCTACATTATACTCAACAGGAATTTCATTAACTATTCTGTCCTTGTGCCTACACGAAAGCAGCATGAAGTAATCTTCTACAAAATCATTCGTCCACCGAACCATCCCCACACATCTTCAACGCAGCCCTGCCTGGTCTAACAGGCTCATTGGTGGCCAGTGGATCAGAGACCAGCAGATACAGAAGGCGGCCAGACCTGACGAGCTTCACTGGCCCCTTTGATGGAGATTTCCGGCCTCAGGTCCCCAACGTGCTCCCACTTACGAAATTGGGATCCGACCGAACAGCAGGACTTTCGCGAGTCGAATCACCTGCGCTGTTTCTGTTCCTTGTAGAAGACTGGACCCAGAAATGCAGCTAGGGAATGATCAATGCAGTCTCGTGGGTCTTCAGTTCGTGGGGTCACAAGGAGTACAAAACAACACCACCTGTCGGAGGAGTTGGAGGGTGCGCTGGGTTTTGGTCTCAGCGCTTCCTGACACTCTTTTCGGAGTCGCTATGGGTCGCTTGTCTAGGTACAGAGCTGCCTCAGGAGGCTGTCGGAAGTGCAGCAGGATTGCATGAAGAAACATCACGCATCCTCCCTGCATCTCCAGACCAAAGCGCCAGTCTGTCAGGAAAAGGACCCGTCTCAGGCTTGCGACATGTCCGGCGTCCGCATGTGTGTCCCAAACCCCTTACATCGAGCAATGTTCTCATCCCAGCGTGAAGTGGGTGCGGCATAGCCGTCACCTGATTCACTGTTGCCGATGGGCTTTGGCAACAGCACAGCCTTCAATATCACTCGGTGGCCAAACTTCAGCTCGCGCACCATGTGGACAGCCCCACCCGCCTGACGGGCAATCGAGAAGCACGACTATGAAACACAGCGAACGCGAGCCTCCCAACCGATTGAGCACATCGCAGTTTGTTATTCTCCCGGGTTGCTTTTGGGTCCCCCCCCCTTCTGGTACCGTATTCTTTTTTGATCCTTACACCATTAAGCTTGAGCCCCTTCTCGGCGGCACTTGACGTGGGAGCGTGAGGTCCCCACATCCCAGTAAGGGAGAATAAGACTCAGAACCGTCAGAGTAAACATTACTACCCAGCCCAACCGAGCTGCGCCTAGTTTACCTTACACGCCTGAAGCCCGACCTGCAGCAGCAAAGCAGAGTTGGGGGCCGTCCATACTTCCTGGGCATTTTGATGCAACACATCCAGATGAGTTGCGGCCCAACGTGTCACTGAATCAGAGGTGTTCTCCAGAGTGTAGACCAGCTCCAGCTGGGGAGGCTCAGTAAGGACCGTGTCCTTGTGCCAAAGCATAGATGAGCCTTGTCGATACTCTCGGTACTCCATCGGGCAGGTCGAGGCAAAGGGATAGAACGGCAGCATGGCTCGCGTTTGAAGTCGGAGCCGGAGCCAGTGAGCCTGAAACAAGCGCCAGGCAGTGCCTTCCGAGCAAGCTATGGCCCTGCGCCCCTTGGCGACACCAGGCCCCTCATCAGCAAGACGATCGCGGAGGCTGTGATACTCCTGGACCACCTCCTGGAAACAAGCTTCCGGCAGAAGGTCCGGAATGTAGGCGAAGCCACACCGGTTCCAAGGCACGGAGGGCCCGGAGGACGTGCAACTCGCCGAGCCCTGGGCCTGGCGTTGCAGCACCTTCCTGCGGTGCCTGCGCTTTGTCGCCACTCCCGCGGCTGCCAGGCTCCAGAGGCTCCAGGGGCTCCAGGGGCTCCAGGGGCTCCCATGCAAAGTGCCGGTGACGTTGGGACTGTTGGGACCGTTGGGACCATTGGGAAGGTGCGGAATGCTAAGGGATGTGTCTCCAGCATTTCTGATCCAGGCAGTCGAATCCGTCGAACACCGACCAGCCAAGGATGAGGAGCTCCGTGCCAGGGCTGAGGGGCAAGAGCCTGGCGAGGCCGCAAGGCTCACCTCCATGTTGGGTGACAACGCATTGAGGCACGAGCTCCTGAATATTTTGTACTTCCGTACATGTGTGCATCAGCAACCGGCGATGTTGCCCTACTGTACGATGGAAGCTGCTGAGATCGGGCAACATGTCACTTGAGGAATCCTTGTCTTCTGCATGCTTCGGGTGACACACACGCCACAGCATTCCAAGTGCCGAAAACGCTTGCAGTCCCTTGATGTTCTTGCGGAAAAAAACATGTTGTGCACCACACAAGCTCCCACGTGCCATCTCCGTGCCTGCACCTCAAGATCGTAAGTCTTTACGGTCAAGTTCCGGCCGAAGACGATGACCAACAGAAGACCAGCCACGCCACCTGCCAAAGGGCTTCTCACCGGAGTCTTTGAAATTGGGGGGTCAGGTCTAAGTGTTGGGGATTCCGTATCTGCGTTACGCATTTGCTTTCGAAAGGGTTTGTACGTCGGGTACCAGGTGCGGGTACGGATCAGGAGAGCTTTCGAGCTCCTCGGTGAGAAGGCCAAAGTCCAGCTGTGCGGCGCAAAGGGAACACTTCGTGTTAGACGAGGTCCACGCGTTCACGTGCCCTAAAGAATATCGAGAGCCCACATTTGAAGCATACAGGAATCCAGCGGGGCACCTCCCAAGTGCGCAGAATAGCTGATCTCATCTTGAGTGTTGAAAAGGAAGAGCATAACCTTCCCGGCGTCTGGAAGTCCCGATACAACAGGCGCAGGGGGGGAAGGGGGCACTGAGGGTGGGGCAGGCACACAACAGCAGGTCGCGCCCCTCTGCACAGTAGCTTCCCAACCCCAAGCCTCGACCAGGACGAGCAAGAAGATGAACGCCAGCCTGGCTTCGGGCAAGAAATAAAGAACAGAGACCCCTTCCCCCAAATCGACTACCACAAGGCCCTAAACCCTTAACCCTGAACCTCCCAAACCCTCCTATAACCCTCTTGACTTAAGCCCGGCCCTAAACAGACCTAAGCCGGACTTACATGTCCCGAAACCTGGAGAAACCACAATCCGTTGCGTCGGGGCAGCCGGTACGGGGCCGACTTCCGCTCCCAGTTCAGCAGGACGTCCCCGAGCTGCATCCCTAGCAGCGCATAGGCGCCCCCACTCATCCCCACCACCTCAGAGTCAAAGGCACTGTAGCATGAGTGTGGGCTTTACCATGGGGTTTACCATGATCGTTTCCCATCAGTTTTGGGGTTGGGTGTTTTTGGGGTGAGGGGCGATTTTGGTGCCAGCTCTCAGCGCGCCGCCCTTGTGTGGCTGTCGAAGACACAGACGGCGCCAGCGCCGCCTGGGTGCGATGTTGCACGCTTTGCTGCTATTATTGCGGTCTCTCACTGCCACCACCACATCCTGACCGCCCGCGCCTAGCACTCCGACCTCGAACATCCACATCATCCTGAGGCTGCCGTGAAAGCCCTGACCAAGACAGAGCTTCGGGGGGACGAGGAGACTCGTTTGCCGGCCAAATAAAGCATGGTGTGGCGTCGTCGTGGCTTCAGGGCTCAGGGTCTTTTAGGGCCCTTTGGGCCCCTTAGGGCCTTGGAAAGGCCTATAGGGTCCTGGTTTTCGGACTGCTGGCTTCGAATTTGCAGCTTTGCTCTCGGAAGCGCTGAGACCTCCAGGTTGATCCCACACAGGACCAGCAAGAGGACCTCGGGCCCCGGCGTGCTACGTCTGCGAGAGAGAAAAAAAGCATGGTTTTTGGAGAATTCTCTGAGGGCACTTTGCAGGCTAAACAATTGGCTCATAACTTCGACCGACTGTGTTGTTGAGGGAGAGACGGACTTGCTAGAAGTCTTTGTAGCTGGCGAGTTAGCTAACCGAAAGGGTTTCTTGCAAGCACCGCGCGAATGAATCACTTACAAAATTCGACCGTCACACCATGCCATACCCACACAGCCTTTTTCGATTGGGCGGCAGGCTCGACGCCTGCCTCTTAGATTCGTGAAACCTCGAGTGGGGCCTTCAAAGCCGGATGGAAAAGCTCGGCAAGCAAAGACTCCTGCAAGTGCGCTGTTGGGTCCTTCGCAGAACCCTGTCGCCGATCAAACCGCTGTGACACGCGCAGGGCATAGGCAAAGAAGTCGCCATCAGCGACATCATCCCCTTCTGCAACATCGTCACTTGCCGCCTGGCTCTTGGCCACCTCCAGCACATCTTGCGCATGAGCAGGAATGGCAGGGAGGCCAGCAGAAGATTTCATGGAGTGAAAGAGGCTTCTGGTCATGCCCTCCGCGCTGCCGCAGGAAGCCAGCGATGGGTCCGTGGTCGGAGGGATGGAATTAGAGGAGGACCATGACTGCAGCGCAGCTGGAGCAGTGTCCCAGAGCTCCCTCGCACGGCCGATGCGCCGGGGGCTGGCAGTCTCCCGGGCCTCCCGCCGAGGGCTGCGTGAGCTCCGCGAGTTCCGTGGACTGCGGTGATTTTTGACGGTCGCAAAGAGCTGGCTCAGCTCAAGATCTTCAGAATCCACCTCGCCTTCCTCCAGCACCCTCTCTGCCTTCTCAGTCTTCTTCTGCTTCCGATGTCGGCGCCGACCGTCGCTGGACCGCGCGGAGAGGCCCTGAACCTCTCGAAGGGCATCCTCCGCACCGGAGCCTTTGCAGTCGTGATACTCACGGTATGCCCGGTATGCTCGTGCCTGAGACCGTCCCGACCACAGAGACAGGCCAAGGCCTAAGTCGTCGGGAGCGAGCGGGCGCAGGCTTTCGATGTCCTGGTCCGGGCTTTCCGGACGGCCACCCCGGCTGTCGAAGGCCGCAATGGGCCCACCGAGGGCGGACAGCCTGGACGAGACGTTCTTCGTCCCATCCTTCCACGACTCGGCTACGAGCTTCCGTGGCAAATGGAGTGTCTGTGCGAGAGCCAGCACAGTCAGCAGTTCCAACACAAACAGCATCCATCCCGCTGCCAGCGCTTGCTGCTCAAGTGTGCCGTAGGTGCAGAAGGCCTGACGCAGCTTATCTGGAGTGTCGATCTCCACACCGTACTTCTCATCAAATGTGTGGCCAATAAAGCACAAGGACTTGAACACGTCCCAGTTGGCCGGAAGAAGGACGATCACGCAGACAACAATATTCAGGATTCCAGCAGGCATTGCGGCCCAGAGCAGCAGCTGAAATACGCGAAGCGGACAGTCTCTCCTGCGAACCACCCGCAGCGCCATCCCGGGCAGAGACAGCGGCATGGCGATCCAGGGAAGGAGCCCTGTAGCACCTGCCAATGAATCAAGAGTGCTCTGGCATGCCGTACATCATACGCTGCAGTGCCCTGTCATTTGAGGCCAGACAACGCCTCACTTGCTAGTTATTCGGAAACTCGTAGGTTTGCTCATGTTCTTAAGCTCTTCAGGGAGTTTGTGCGACGGCGAGGCACGACTGAGGCTGTGCCGGGACTCAACGAGGTCTGGTGGCCCATGGCAAGCTGAACAAAGTGCATCGGACGTCAGCACACCTCTCTTCTTTCCATTCCGCCCCAGCGGATCCGTTCTCACATCACAGGCGCAAAAGCGCAGCAGGCCAGATGCCCCTTCTTCCAGCGTCACATTGGGCAGCACGCCATTGGCAAAGGCCGGCACCTCCGAGACCACCCTGGAGATGACCAACATCCAGATCCCACAGGCCAGCTTTCCCCAGCCTGCAGTGCAGGTAAAGAGCAGCGTGCGGCTGCCGGCAGTACGGTTCGCGCCCGTGCCGGAAAGCCAGGGCTCTGGGCGGGGCGACGTGGCCGCCGGTTCATCCATAGCTCCCAACAGTGCATGTTTGCGGATGCCCGGATGCGTTTAGACTGAAGATGGGTCAGGGGTGCTCCGTGGGCTACATGACAGCTTAGCTAGAAAAATTTTCCACAAAGCCGAGACATGTACCAACATAAGGTCAGTGCTATCTTCGTCCTTTCTTTGGACATCTTGGGACCAAGATTTGGCTGAAGATACCTGAAACATTCTGACCTCCCACGTAGGCTAAGAGCAAGATCTGAGGCGAGGGCATTGCCGATCATGTGGGAGAAGGAGGCGTGCGAGTACTGGTACGTTATCCTAGGTAGCTTCACGATGGCCAAAAGACTCAACATGCGGTACGCAGAAGCATGACGCCTATGCTGCTGCCTAGATGCGGGCGCCACAACTGCCAGCGGTAATCCTTCTTGCAGACAGGGAACCAGATTAACAAGGCCATGCAACTAGGTTGTCGCGTCCGTGCGGCAATAATGGGTGTTCAGACCGACGATGACATTGGGGGTGGGAGCGCTACAAGCACCTGTCACACCACCACCCACCCACCCGCCCTACCCACCCTACCCAGCCACCCACCCACCCCCTCTCTTCTTGAAAGTGCTACTCACTGCTATCACTTGTTGTCCGCGGCGTTGCTCCTCCAGTTCCGCAGCTCCACTTCTTTTTGCGGTTTTCTGCAGTTGTGGTGCTCCGGTTCTCCCCCGCTCTGCCTACCCAGAGACCAGAAAGCCGCAACAACAACCAGCCCATCTGATTCTGCGTCTCCATCCCACCTCGGCTGACGTGGACCGGCTATGCAAGCCCGATGTCCCCCCGACATTATCCGAAGTTTCTACCTCGGGAAGGACTCGCCCGCACGTGACATGACACCCTGCCAAGGTCTGCGAAAATGGACTGAAGCGCCTGCACCACTTTTTGCTTGGACCGGAGTTTTCGATGTGTGGCTCGGCACAAGGGCAAATTTGCGCTTTCATTTTCGGGCCCGGAAACTTTTACATCAAGTTAAGAGCGAAGGATGCAACCACCGGGCAGCGCTGCTCGCCTTCCCTCTCCCCGGGCTGGCTGCGTGACACGGATAGATCTGCATATGCATCATGCGCGTCTTACCAAGCCCCCTGAATCCCCCAACCAAGTTCTTTGCTGCCACAGAAAATGCCGCAAGCACGCTCCTGAACTCCGAAACTCTCCCGGTAGGTGATCTGCTTAGCGCAAGGGACCCCCAGTGTCGGTCCTGACAGGGGGCCTCGGTCTGCAGCGTGAGAGCTGCATTGGTCAAAGCCAAGTCGGTCCGCCCGGGGAAGAAAGTCTCCAAGCCTGCAAGGCCTTTCCCGGAAGTGGATGAAAGCCTTAGGGTCTGCAGATCTGCAGATCTCTTTTCCAATCAACTTCAAAGGAGAAGTTAGAGGTCGGGTCTGCTTGCAGCTGCGCCACACCACATAGCTGAGAAAGATCACCAGGGACCTTGCAGAATACTCATGGTTCATGAAGCCCCAGATACCTTCACCGTCCTCACCCAAGTTCCAGGGACGAAAAGGCACTTTTTCTTTCCAGAGCGGCTGGATCAAAGTGAAGATCGGGAAGCTTTGCATCACGAAGAACTCCGTGTCCTGGCATCTTCTCTCTCAAGCTGGGTCGTTGAAGCTGGGTCATCGCGGCACCTCTTCACGCACGTGTGCTTCGATCATCTCGGCCAGGCCCTCGTGATCCTGTGCGCTTGCAGTGCCTAGGGCCCAGAGGGTTTAGGGATTCTTTTGAGGTTCCGGGTTCAGCATTTGAGGGTTTCCGTGAGTCTCTAAACTCTAGGAACTCCAGGGATTCTTGAAATTCTAGGGTCCCTCTGCCGCTACTTTGACAATATGCGTACTGGAGCGTTTGCACTTCAAAGCCCATGTCCTCCTCCTCATGAGCCTGGGCACAACAGGACTGAAAGGTGGTCTAGACGCTTGGCTCGAAAGGGTAGGAGAGAAGCGCGACCAACAATTCCGAAATTAGATACGCAGAGGTTCGGGCTCGGGATTGCAGTCCGATTGCGGTCCGAAACGGGGCCCAAGTGGGCTGGGGGTGTAATTCCGTGTGGTTTGCAAGAGGTTGCTACGGGCTGATCGGGTTGCACACCTACTGTTTTGCAGCAGTGGCACCGTTTGGCTTTCCAGGTACAGCTGCCTCAGCCAGCATGGAGTTTGAAACATCCTAAACCATTTCGCATCGCCCACAACCTCACACGCCCCAAGCTACTGAAATGTTCGGCCAGCATGCATCTGCTGGGCAGGCGTAAGGTCCCTGTTGTCCTTCCCAGGCAGTTCCAGCATGCAAGCATCCGGGATGTCTATCGACACTTCTTGCCCTACACCTCAAAGCCTGATCCTAAAACCTGTCCTTGCGCTTGGGTCGCTTGATAGGAGGACCCCCCCATCCAGTGCCTTTCAGCCTGATGCGGGGCACGAAGACTTGCCAGAATCTGTGGGCCACATGAGGCTTTGGGCGTTAACTACAGGTTCGTCAAGGTTTCGGGTTTTGGGGTTCAGGGTTCGGGTTCGGGCAATTCCGCTGAGGAATCTTAGCCTCTGCAACCGTCAGCGCTTAAGGCATAGGGCTTGAAACCACACAACAGGATCCCTGGCCCTCCACCGCAACACTACAACACAGGCCAGCATGACTCTCGTTCAGTGTAGTTTCGATAGTCCGCCACCCTGAGTTCAGTGCTCCAAGAGCAGAAACATGTTGGGACATGGGCCACAGCATCAGCAGCCGAGAGCCCGGGCTTTGTGGAGCTGACCTTTGGCTCCTTGGCTCAGGACTCTTTGCACTTGCCTCTTTGGCCTCTCTTTGGCCTCTTTTGAGAGCACAAGCTGCAGGCTTTCCTTGGGGCCTGGCGCGGATACTCTTCCGGCCTGTTCTGGGATCCTTGACCTCGGGAACAGGGACTTGCTCAGAGTGAGTATCTAGGCAGCTACTACTGGACACTTCCCATTCCCAGAACAACTGCCATCGCAAGCCCCAAGCAACCTAAAAATGTGAAAAGTTTTCTGTCATCCAGGGCTGTGCAGCTCAGCAACAACTTGAAACTTGGCTTTTCGAACCTCCGACTTTGGGAGCTGCGTGGCCTCGCTGCGTCACTGAGGGTCAAGTCGGATAAAGAGGATAAGAAGACTCAACCAAGGAACAACTTGACCATGAGCTGTATTTGCCAAAGCCCTGCCGGTACCCTGAACCTGTTACATCCTTCCAAAACATCTCTGCGAACAGCAAATCTCTCATGCGAAGCTTTGCAAGCCTTGCCAAGCACCGAAGCTTGCTCGGCCTGCACAAGGCATGAGTGCCTTTGAAGGGTTGGCATTGAGGGTAAGCAGCAGGCGACTCAAATTCTAAACGTGCTCCGATGTCTCGCAAGGCGGAGGGCCAACCCGGTGCCCTTTTGCTTTTTTGTGTACATACATATTATGCCAGCGAAGACCCCAAACAGTCAGATTGCAGAGAAAGGGAAAACGCGTGAAACAACAACGCGACATAAAAGTTGACAGGCTTTCCGGGTCACCCTAAACTTCATTGCCGGCACCTGAATAGGTGAGTCTTGCAGCACCATAAGCCAGAACCCATAGGCATAGACATGATTCATGCCTTTCTTGGCCCGAATAAAAAAGAACAAATGCAAAAACAGACTATGTTTTTCCTAACGTTTGCACTTTCAGAACACTGCAGAAGTAAAAACATCTCCCTTAGAGGTTTGTCGTATGTCCCCTCCCTCCGTAGAAGTTTGCCTCAAGTCTCCTCCCTTCGTGCTCGTAGGGTGAGGGCCCCTCGAGGTTCGGCCTGAAAGCTCTAGAACCATAACTCGCTTGAAGGGTGCAGTGTGCAAGGTTTGAAGGTTTCAGAGAGGCGTCTGGGTTGGTCCTTGTGTGCGCGAAAAGACTGAGCGTGTTCAACTAGCATCCTGCTTTTTGGGAACCGAACGTACTCACATAGCACCCAAGTTTTGGGGACCGAGCGCGTTCAACTAGCATCCTGCTTTTTCGGGACCGAAAAGTTTTGGGGACCGCACTTTCCAGAACACTGTAGAAGTAAAACATATCCCTTCGACGTTTGTCGTATGTCCCCTCCCTTTGTGCTCGTAGGGTTTGGTGAGGGCCCTCGAAGTTTGTCGCGCGTCCCCTCCATTCGCGTTCGTAGGGTGACATCGTAAGCAGCTAGCAGCCCATTTGCGCCCTGATGACCAAATAGCTCGCGCCAGAGCTCCCCCCTCTCCCCCATACAATGGCCAACTTGGGAGAAGCAGTTCGCAACGCGAGGCTCCGAGGCATGACGGATTTTGCTTCTTTGTAAACCTTTGTATTTCCCAAATGCCCGGCAACCAATCCACGCACGCTTTCTCGATGGTTTTCCATGGTCGGCACTTGTGTCTTTGGGTGCCAAAAGCAAAAAAAAAACGGGCGTAAAGACACCCCAGGCGCGAGCTATTTGGGCGCTGGCCCGGGCTATTTGAGTGTACTCAAACAGCACCCAAATCTTGGGGACCGAGCGTGTTCAACTAGCCTCCTGTTTCCTTGGGAACCGAGCATACTCAAATAGCACCCAAGATTTGGGAACCGAGCGTGTTCAACTAGCATCCTGTTTTTTGGGGACCGAGCGTAATGTTGGACTGCTTTTAGTATAAGGAGGGTCTATGATCACAAGTTTCGAAAATTTATTCAGCGAACCGAGTTTGTTCAGGGTACCCTCTATTATCACAAGTTTTTCCGGAGAGCCGATTTTTTTTTAAGGGCTTCGTGTAAAGGTTTGGACTCGCACAACACAACTCAAGTCCCCCCCCCCCTTCCCCCTAAATTTGTTTGGGGGGGTCGCCGGGCCACGCGTTTATAGAGGGTCCAAATTTGTTGGGGGGGGGGGCCCACACTAAAGACAGTGCAACATTACTCACACAACGCCCCAATGGCACCCAAGCTTTGGGAACCGAGCGTGTTCAACTAGCATCCTGCTTTTGGGGACCCAGCATACTCAAAAAGCACCCAAGCTTTGGGGCGCGCTCTCAGAACAAACATATCCCTTCGACGTTTGTCGTATGTCCCCTCCCTTTGTGCTCGTACGGTTTGGTGAGGGCCCTAGAAGTTTGTCGCATGTCCCCTCTCTTCGCACTCGTAGGGTGACATCGTAAGCAGCTAGAACCCCATTCGCGCCCTGATGACCAACAAGCTCGCGCCAAGGCGCGAGCTATTTGGTCGCAGGGGAAACATCTCTGGAATCTATGGTGTTTGAACATGTTAAAACACGTTTTCAGGGCCAGCGTTCTGCGCCCAAAAAGCCTGTGCTGGTAGCGTAGTCTTGGCCCTAAAGACCGCCTGCATGTTAAAACGATTCCAAAAGCCCGTGCTGGTAACGTAATCGTGGCCCCAGAACCCACCTGCACTTTAAAACGGTTATATTCACCTCTAGGGCCCTCACCCTACGAGCCTACGGGGACATGCGACAAACTTCTAGGGCCACCACCAAACGCTAGCACGAAGGGAGGGGACATACGACAAACCTCTGAGGGAGATGCGTGTAGGGAGATGCGTGTACTTCTACAGTGTTCTGAAAGTGCAAACGTTAAGAAAAACATTGGATGTTTTGGCGCTCGTACACCATATGGAGCCGCGAATACGTTACCAGCACACAAGGGATAAACATCTCTATGTACTTAAACACCGTTCTTAGGCGCTGTGAAACCTTTTCGCAGAGCAAGAAGAGCTGGGGAAAAACCCTGCTTGCTCTGCGAAAAGGTTCTATACAAGCGCAAAAACAGCCTGTGTTGTTCCTAACGTTTGCACTTTGAGAACACTGTAGAAGTAATAGCATATCTCTGAGAGGTTTGTCGAATGTTCCCTCCCTTCGTGCTCGCACGAAGAACGCCCCCAGTGATTAGGCCTGAAAGCCCTAGAACCATAACGTGCTTGAAGGACCCAGCGTGCGAGGTTTGTCCTTGTGTGTGTGAAACGACTGAGCCTGTTCAACTAGCATCCTGCCCCCTGGACCGAGCGCACTCAAATAGCACCCAAGACTTGGGGACCGAGCGTTTTCTACCAAGTTTTGGGGACCGAGCGTGTTCAACTAGCATCCTGCATTTTGAGGAACGAGCGCACTCAAAAAGCACCCAAGTTTTGGGAACCGAACGTGTTCAACTAGGTCACGCCGCTGTTAGCGGCCCTGGACCGTTTGCGCGCAAAAATGTGGTTTTAACCCACGCAGGGCAGTGTGCGAGAAAAAAAGGGTTTTGTCAGCGGAAGTTTTTTTTCAGGACTTGGAGCGGTTTTAAGGTGGTGTGGTGCTCAAAAAACCACGCCTGCCAGTGTTTTCAGCATTTCGCAGTGCTTACTGTGGGGATGCGTTTTTGCAACTTTTGCGCGTTTTTGGGTTTTGTGTTTTGTCACTGTTCAGGCTGGAACGAGGTAACTGCAATGTGGTCTTATCTTGAACAGTGCCATGCCCACCAGTGTTGTCAGCATGTCGCATGTTTTTGGGGGGCTGGAGTGTTCAGGGTGCAACGGGCTTGCAGTGGTTCAAGTTTAGGGCTTTGGGGTTGCGCAGAAACGTTAAGCACGGAAAGCACGGTTTTGGTCGCGAAAGGAATGGACGCTTGTGACAGATTTTCTTGTTCCACATCCTTGTGCAGTATGTTGTACAAAGAAACGAAAACGCTGTAAATACCAGTGTTTTGTGCATGCACGCAATATGAATGACGTTCTTTTCCCAACCCCCCTCCCCCCCAACCCTCCCAACCCCAACAAGACAACCGGAACAAGTCACCAAGAAGTGCCAACACTAACGTTTTACCCAGGGCCGCTAACAACGGCTGAGCTTCAACTAGCATCCTGCTTTTTGGGGACCGAGCGTACTCAAAGAGCACCCAAGCTTTGAGGGGCGCACTTTCAGAGCACTGTAGAAGTAAAACATATCCCTTCGACGTTTGTCGTATGTCCCCTCCCTTTGTGCTCGTCGGGTTTGGTGAGGGCCCTAGAAGTTTGTCGCATGTCCCCTCTCTTCGCACTCGTAGGGTGACATCGTAAGCAGCTAGAACCCCATTCGCGCCCTGATGACCAACAAGCTCGCGCCATGGCGCGAGCTATTTGGTCGCAGGGGAAACATCTCTGGAATCTATGGTGTTTGAACATGTTAACACACGTTTTCAGGGCTAGCGTTCTGTGCCCAAAAGAGTGTAATCTTGGCCCTAAAGACCGCCTGCATTTTAAAACGATTCCAAAAGCCCGTGCTGGTAACGTAATCGTGGCCCCAGAACCCGCCTGCACTTTAAAACGGTTATATTCACCTCTAGGGCCCTCACCCTACGAGCCTACGGGGACATGCGACAAACTTCTAGGGCCACCACCAAACGCTAGCACGAAGGGAGGGGACATACGACAAACCTCTGAGGGAGATGCGTGTACTTCTACAGTGTTCTGAAAGTGCAAACGTTAAGAAAAACATTGGATGTTTTGGCGCTCGTACACCATATGGAGCCGCGAATACGTTACCAGCACACAAGGGATAAACATCTCCATGTACTTAAACACCGTTCTTAGGCGCTGTGAAACCTTTTCGCAGAGCAAGAAGAGCTGGGGAAAAACCCTGCATGCTCTGCGAAAAGGTTCTATACAAGCGCAAAAACAGCCTGTGTTGCTCCTAACGTTTGCACTTTGATAACACTGTAGAAGTAAAAGCATATGAAGCAGGGTATATATTTCTGTTTTTGGTGAGTGTATATAAGGTTCCTTTGTAATTTTGGTGAGTGTATATAGTTGGTGTCCTTTTGGGGATACAAGACCAATAAACCCTACATCCTATCCCTTGATTAAAGGTTTGTCGGATGTCCCCTCCCTGAGAGCCCTGGAAGTTTGTCGCAGGTCCCCTCCCTTCGTGCTCGTAGGGTGAGGGCCCCTCGAGGTTGGGCCTGAAAGCTCTGGAACCATAACGTGCTTGAAGAGCCCAGCAGGTTTGAAGGTTTCAGAGAAGCGTCTTGGTTGGTCTTTGTGTGTGTGTGTGTGTGTGTATGTACATACATACCCCTCAACCCTCAACAGCCTGCCTCTCGCGGACGCGGTCTGACAGCTTGAAGCTCTTCGTCCTCCTTTGGCGCTGGCGCTTCTCATGGAGATTCAGGGTTTGGGTGCAGCAGCGCTGTCGACTGTGCCCTGTCCGTGATCCCAATCCCAGCATTTAGTCTTTCGCAGGCCGTGCCGCCGTGTTGCGCGTGTACGAAAACCGCAGATGCGGTAGATTGCATGAACAGGGCAGAGATCCCTGTGCTCCTTGTGGTGCAAGCGCAAGGCGCCAAACCAGTCACTGAAAAAGTCTACGAGCTCTTCCCGTGCTGAAGCCGCGGCCTGGGAGGCTTTCAGCTTCGGATTAAGCCCCAGCCTAAAGCTGTTTGCAGACCGCAATGTCTCCGAAGGCTTCCATTTTCTTGGGGCGATGGCCTACATCAAGGACTCCCCAGATGTTTACGCTTCTCGGAGTTGCCGTTTCAGGGTCACGGTGCCTTCCACAGCTTCGATTGGGACTCGGTGCGAGTGGCATCGCCGCCCACTGCCTCAGACCGTGGGGGTTTCGGGAAGTTGGGGCTTTGGGTTGTTCTGGTGTTCGTGCGTGGCGCCCTCCTCCTCAACTTAACCATTCCTACAAGGATCCTGGAGCTCTCAAATCATGGACTGGCTTCTACTTCTTGGAAAGATCTTGTTTGTGCAGCATCTGCCTTACTGTTGAGTTGCAAAACACTGCATACACGTATACACCAATCGATTGACTTGCCGTCACTTAAGCTCACAATTCCTGGATTTCAGGAACGAACTGACAGTACTCAAAGCAAAACAAGAATCCATGAAAAGGTCTCCAAAATGTATCGCCGTCACACAAGCCCTACATCCGTATTCAGGGCGAGACCTCACCAGCTTCCAGGGCCTCAGCGCTGATGCCTCCCAGACACATGTCCGAATCCGAAACGGTTATGTAAATTTATGTCGGGCTTGGGTTTAGGAAGTAGGATTGGGGATCTCCTTGGGTTCGTGATCCTGGCCAAGGTGGCTTTGGGACGCTTTCAGCCGCCTGGCGACCCTGTAGTCGCTGCATGCGCCAAGGCCTAAGTGGAACTCAGGCCAAGTTGGGGGCGGTTTGGGTGCCATGCACGAAGCCTTGGCAGGAAGGAAGGAAGGAAGGAAGGAAGGAAGGCTAGCTGGATGCAGCCAAGAAACGAATGCCCCAGCCACAAATCCCGCGCCCCAGCACGCGCACACGCTCGCACAGCCAAGCAGGCAGACCCACTGAGGGACGTACCACCCACACGCGCGAGCACACACATACACATGCACACATAGAGTGACACACAGAGACACAGAGACACAGGCAGAGACCCAGACACAGACCCGAGCGCTACGCAAGCACACCTGCGCACCCGCGTAGACACACGCACACTCGTGCACCGGCGCACGCGCACACACACACACACACACACACATGCGCGCAGACAAGCAGCCCCACAGGCACACCCGCGTTTCAGAGACCAACCGAAGGAGCCAAGACGACTAACAGGCACGCAAATCACCCAAAAGACCTCCCAAAACACTGCCTCCTCCAGGAGGCACGGACCGAAAGAAAGAAAAACAAGCGACACTGAGCAGGCCTGCACTGGCGCACATGGGGCCGAGAGACGTGGAAGTATAAGCAAATACACAAAAAGGCATCACTTGTGATCAGATTAAACCCGATTGACCGGCCACTCTTGGCAAACTAAGGGGGCGGTTACCGACAATGCAGGGAGGAACCCCCCGAACCCCCCCACGCTTCCTTTTCTGAAACCTGGAACCGCAAGCTTTTGTCAACCCATGTCGAACCCCCCTGGTTTGGGATCCTGACTGTTGGTCCTTGACTGCTTGGAGCCGGTCCTTGGGCAAACGGGGCAGCGCAGTCCGGTCAGCAGACTGGTTGAGGGCAGGGGAAACCACGGAAGGAACCCACCTGCAGTGCCATTTGAAGTGGCCCGGCTTCGAAGATAAACCCTGATGATTTTTCATTCAGGGACTTGGTACTTTTAGTGCCACATGAAGAATTCGAGTGACGATGAGCCAATGTATCTTCTCTTACGAGCGTAGCGTCGTAGTATGAATCATTGTTGTTGGATCCGGTTGTGGCCGACAACTTGGCTCACGCCAGCAACACACATCCTCACCGCACAAAGATCCGCCTCTGCGTTGTTCGATGTTGTTCGGCCGCCGACTCCCACCCCCCAATCCGCCGAAACCCGATTTGCCAACTTTTTCTGCTGGGCGAGCCGCGAGTCGGGCTTGTGGTCGCCCGCCTCAAGGCCTCAGCACCATGGAGGCTTACCGTTGACTGTTCTAAGGCTGCGATTCCTTCATCTCGTCTTGACATTCGACGTCCGTTCCCAAGGTCGAGACGGAATCTGCGGCACGCCCTCGGCTACTGAAAGTTGCAGCTGAGGAATCGAACAGCTCTGGACTATTGCTGTCAGCGCACTTTCTTCCGCTTCTTGCCTCAAGCTTCGCGATGAGGCATCACTCCTGAACGTCATTCATGTTACACAGCTCACATATGAGCCCGGCCCCACCCCCTCAGAAGGAGAACCGGCAATACACCACCGTACGCTCTGTTTATGGGGCGTGCACCTGGCCAGGTCTTTTACCGTCGACGTGGGCGGAAGGTATAAGCCAGCAGATTCGGCCATGGCCGAAATCCATTGGAACGACAGGGGTGTCCTTAAAGAGCCTAGCGCGCCCGAGCTTAGCTGAGGAGTTTCTCTCTTTGGCCATCTTCAGCTCTCTCCTTGTACAACTCCTTTACGCGGTCGGCTTTTGGCTTTTGGTGTGGAGCTCATTCGTGAACAGTGATGTGGAGCTTGTGTCTCTACAATGATGCCGCCTGTGTCTTCCAGAGAGTGAACAGCATGTGAACAGCTAGCAGCTAGCAGAGCAAATGAGCCAAACACGGCATCAGTCGGAAGTCCTAGGTCTCCGAAAGCACATGGATAGTGTTGACACCCATCCAGCAGATTCTGTTGAGTTGGTGTACAAAACCATGCTGGGGTCGCAGATCTATCTTGTCCCTATTGAATCTTTTGAGTCACGACTCATGGAGAAGCGGCTTGTGCGACGCTCATGGTGCTTTTCTGGCTCGACGGATCAGGTGCCCTTTTGGTCGCTTGCCTTCGGCAGGCCTGCCATGTGCAAGGAGCGTCCATTAGATCATGGCATCGAAGGAAAAGCCAACCGCAAAATGCAGACAAACAAGCACGTAACACAACCAACACCAACACACACACACACACACACACACACACACACACACACACACACACACACACACACACACACACACACACACACACACACACACACACAGAACACACAAACACACAAACACACACAACACACAACACACACACACACACACAAACACACAACACACAACACACAACGCACACACACACACACACACACCCACACCCACACACACACACACCACACACACACACACCAACACACACACCCACACACACCAACACACACACCAACACACACACACACACACACACACACACACACACACACACACACACACACACACACACACACACACACACACACACACACACACACACACACACACACACACACACACACACACACACACACGCACACACCCATCTATCTCCACACCCGCGCTTGCGCGCGCGCATAAGGCAGCATGTCACGGTACCCGAGACTCCTCTGTACACTTCCACCATAACCACACCACAACCTCGCAGTCTAGAGCTCAGTCTTCTGGTCCTCATCCAGACTGCAACTGAATGGCAATTCGCACCCGCAGCTCAGCCTCGGCCCAGGACCCGGAGCTTTGCTAAGCCGGCCTGACGAGGAAACACCGGAGGAGGGGGGAATGGCCAGGAAGGGGGGCTTTTTGGAAAGTTCGGAGAGAAAATGTGTGGTTCCGGAAACCCTCAAGAGTCAAGATATGTCAAGATGCCCAATAGCAGTTCCTGGCCCGATCCCGTTCCTGCGGCGTCGATGAACTTTGAGGCATGGCGGCACATGTAGAGGCATGAGGGCACAAGATGATGTGGGGTCGGGATCGAAAGCCTGCTGCCTGTTGGATGTTTCTTGCATATGTTCGACATGTTCTGGGCGACGCATCTCAAAGAAGCTCAAAGACTTGAACCTTCAGTCCGAAGGCTAAGGGAAAATGAACGGGCGCTCCAACTCGCCTGAAGCTGCTTCCAAGAGGGCAACAGCGCCCGGTCCATGGCCTCGAAAAATGTGCAAAAGTTTTGGGAGAGGGGGGGGGGGGGGGAGGGGGGCAAAAGCTTAAGCGATGTATGTTTTGGGCTTGGTTTGGGCTTAGGGCTTTTCAGGGTTTAGTGACGTTTAGTGACGTTTAATGTTCGGATGTGTTCAGTGTACAGGGACGGCATGCAGCACTTGTACGATGGCAAGAAGCAAGAGAATCCATGGAACCCTAGTCACGGTGTTCCCTTAACTATACTGCGGCCTTAGGGCCCCTGAAACCCCAAATGCACAGAATGACGCTCCTCAAGTGCTCTCAGGCCCACAGATTGCGTTGAGTGCCCGTTTTGCTCCATGATTTTTTGCCTCAACCGATGCCGATCTGTTTATCAGACACAGCATCGATCCCGAAACCTTTGCTGCCTAGACGATCTAAATTTCAAAACTCCCCAAGCGCTGACAGCCTAAATCCTTTCCGAACCCCCCTTAAAAACCAAACCAAAAAGGCTCGCCTCCACATGGCCTCGCTCTCTCTCAATCTCGGCCTCGGCCTTCGAAGGGCTTGCGCTTTTGGGGGGGGGGGGGAGTTTTCTCACTTAAGTTCTTATTTTCGTTAAATAGCTTTTCATGAATACATTTAGTTCTGAATTCGGATGTAACACATAATGAAAGTGCGCTTCCCAGTTGTCGTGCTTTATTCTGCGTCAGCATTCTTCACATAATTCACTTGCCTTTGCTCTCTCTTCTCTTCTCACTTGATCATTTTCTTTCTGATTTTTCTTGTAGCATTTTCGTTTCGCTTCTTGGCATTTATTACATGTCTTAACCCGTCAAGCTCTTCAACATCCCTTGAGGCACGACAGAAGAAACAAACTAACATAGCTAACCATTGCCACACTCCTATGATATGCTGATGGTGTAGCAAAGCACGCGGGGCTCAAAAATGATGTCTGGGACTTCCACTAATACTATACACTGTCATTATCCGCCGAGGCCTCGGGCCGAAGGTGTAAAGGTTGTCAGAACCGGCACCCCCCTCCAAATCCTCTTCCCAAGCCCAAAGCGCCAGGGGCAGTTGAAGCCCCGCCTAGCAGGCCCCCCCCCCTTCCCACCCCTCATTCTGCCCCCGCCCCCTTCCCCCCCCCCCCCCCCCCCCCCCCCCCCCCCCCCCCCCCCAAAAAACCCAAACCCCAAACCGTGAACCTTGAGCCCTAAGCCCTCAACCCTAAACTAACCCTCAACCCTAAACCCCAAACCATAAACCATAAACCATAAACCCGGAACCCTAAACCCTAAACCCAACCCTTATTGCTTGGGGTCCAGCGACTTGGGCGCTGCGGAATCACCATGCTCACGCGGATGCGCTGGGCCGGGCCGAGGCGGGTCGCGTAGCGTTGAAATTAAGTAAGTTCTAAACATGTCTTCAACTTTGTTTGTTTTTTCACAATTGTACTTGACAACACTCAAACAATACTTTAAACCGTTTCTTATACTGATTTAAATGTTGATATGTGAGCAAGCTGCCATGCTAACACAAACATGCATCGGAACGACATGTATCGCGTCTCAATCAACACTTGCACGTGCAGTACTAGCCCTTCTACGCTAAATCTCCTACACCGTCCTACTGTCACAATACAAATTACCTAAGGAGGCTGTGGCTCCGTTTGATTTTTGTTTCGACCGACGCCCTTGCTCTCTGCTTCCTGAACACCCATGTGCAGCTTGTACTGCTCCTACTAACCCCAAAAAAAGCTGCTCGGTTACTATGTTATGCTGTACGTGTGACTGAAGCCCATGCCTGCTTCACCTTCAGCTCGAACTCCTCACGCCTGACAGAGGGGCATCTGGGCATGCTCAACGTGTATCCAAGAAGTACATCAATACGCGCCTCTTTTTGATTTCGGCGGCAGTGCGGCATCGCGGCCTCAGGAGTATGTACTATGTCTTTGCGCATGTAGGATGAAGATCAACCCCACCGAAAGTGTCTACACAAACATACAAGCACGCAACACGGTGTTGGCCTGCAGTGCAGCTGGAAGTATGGTGGAAGGATCGTCCCTGAGCTGAGGGTCTGACAGTCGCTGGAAGGCGTCGCGTGCCTCAAATGCGCCCGAGCTAATACCAAGGCTGCAAGGCACAACATGTTTACGTCCTCGTTCGAGTACCCCAGCAGAGGCCGGGCGTCGCACTATCCTGGCGCGCCCACGAAGCTTCGACAACTTTGCCTCGGGGCCGCAGGCTGGGATTTTCAGGGATTCTGCGACAAAAGCGATAAGCTATGCCATCTATGCCGTCGCCGATATGTTCGCTTTTCCATTCAGATTTCCAACCAATGGTGAGAACACAATCAAGCCTTCAGAGGAAAAGACCTGAGGTGTGACGGCTGGAGAAAATCAAACCTGTGTCTAGCCTTCGTGGCATTGAACTGTGTCTCGACCAGGTGTATGGCCTGGCAAGTAACCGACGACCGTGGAACTACTGGTCTTAACATGTCCCAACAGAGAGCGAAACGATCCTCGAGAGGACGCGCAGCGCGCACACGAAACTCCAGACCCGATGGCCCTACTCCTGTGATTTCTGTGACTCCTGTGACTCCCAGCAAAATGGGCCCCAAAGCAAGCTGACTCACTTGGCTATACTTTTTGAGGCCTTGAAGTGATAGCTCACTGCCGCGCGCAGCTGACGCTCGGCATCATCTGCGACCAGACGGGCCTTGAGCCTTGGAGGACCCAGACCGAGCTCACAAACTGAAAGCCTGCTCGGATGTCAAAACACCAAAGCATCACAAAAAAGAACACCAGATCTCGTGGGGCCCGGACATGCTGCGTGACCGATTCTGGGCCACCTCCCATCTCTGGAAGTGTTGTGGGAGCTGCCAAGCAAGCCGCTCCTGTCCGAGGTGTTCTGGTGCGTTGGGGGAATCAAACTTCTGAACTTCCCCTCCAAGAAGCCCCCCCCCCACCCCTAAACAAAATGACACCAGGAGAAGCAGTTCTAGCACCCTGCTCGCCTCCTGGCGCCACAGATCCTGGCTGGCCTCCCAGTCGGGCTCCTCATGCTCGGCATGGCTTCTTTGGGCCTACCTTCGGCTTTGGGGCTGTCAGCATGGTCAGGGCCATAGTTTAAGGTTCGGAGTTTTTGTTTGAACTTCAGGGTGGGCCTGAGTGGACACACGCGGGGAGCCGACCTGCCTTTAGATTTAGGGGCGCGCGCGCCCCATCTCGTGCTGGAGCTAACTGATCCCACCAACACCACCCTTTGGGAATGAGGGTTTGAGCCCCAACCATCCTTCCCCCGTCCCCCCCCCCCCCACCCCTCGACGACACGACGCTTTCAGGTGACTCTTCGGCAACCTCAACAAGCCCCATCATGCCCTGCGAAATATCGCAACCGCGAACTCTGCCAGCCTTGTACCAATCCCCCTGCGCTGGCGGCGTGGTGGATGGCACGACGAGAGGGACGCCTGCACCACATTGCTCTGGGAAGCCCTAGCAGCTAACTTGAATCATGAGGGTTTGGGCTGCTGGCTTTTATGATGAGGAAAGGATGGATTTGCTGACAGAAGGGAATCAGAGGATGCAGCATGCTGCGGCCTCGTATGGCACCCCACTCGCCATCCTTATACTGGACTGGCCATGTGTCCTGACCGGCATTTTCTATGAGAAAGGAAAGAAAACGGAGAGCACACTTCGAGCAAGCACTCACCACTCGCCCGCATCCTCGTGCACTTGCGGTGGTTTTGGCACAGTCGATGTAGAGGGCGGAGGCAGGCCGTCCGCCGCAGCATCGATCTCGGGGTCAGGCTCTCCCGGCACAGCCTCGTAAGGAAGATCTGCTTCGGGCTCAGCATCGTCTGGCGGGGTTGTCGATGTGGAGTGCGTCGTTGTGGTTGCAGGTGTTTGCGAAACACTCGAAGTGGTCACAGAAGCTGTGGTTGCCCGGTGTGAAGTCTCAGGCGCACGGCCGAGATCCTCTGCTGGAAAGCCATCTACATGTCCTGGTAGAGAGCTCTTGTGCTTCTGGCAAGGAGTTTTCTTGGATTCGGGTCTTCCCTTGCGGTAGCTCTGGTCAGAGTCAGAGCCAGGGACAGCATCAGTAGAAGCCTCCAGCTTCTCCGCCAACAAAAGATGTCGCATCTCACCAGTTTCAGCGTGCTGTGCGTGCTCTTCACTTGCAAAGGACCTGTCCAAGAGTTCACAATACCCTCCACCTCCCTCCACCTCCCTCCAGCATGGGCTCACATGTCTGCCAAGTACTGCTCACAAAGAAGCTTTAGAAACTCTGAAGCCACTAGCATTGCCAAAGGAGCCTCTTGATCTGGATGCCTTAGATCCAAGCAGCCCATATTCCCTCACGTGATGCCCGAACGCCCGAATCAGTATGTAACGACAGCCAGCAAGGCAAGCCAGTCTCCAATACAATACGGTAGTCCTCCACTGAGCCTCACGAACAGCTTTCAGAGGACACGCTGAGGCTTGTGCCACCCTCCCGCCGATGGTGCTTCTTTGCCTTTGCTGAGCGATTTTGCCAAGGCCCCCTGCGAAATTCAATACAATACAGTGCCCTGCACTGCTGCACGACCCAACTGCATCACAGGTGCATGCAGCACTGCATGCACGTGCTTGAGCTCCCCGAGCGCCCTCTGGTAGCGTTGCTCCTGGTCAAGACATTACCGATGTCTGGTTAAAGCACTAATGGTACACATTACAAATAATAAACGAAGCTAATGGTATCTTGTATTGATAGTGATAAACTAAAAATGTTCAAGGGTCATTCTAATCTGGCCAGTCACCTGGCAGAAATTCATGGGTGCGAAATTGAACTGGGCTGTAGGTGAAAGTTTCTGAAAGCAGCATGCGCGGAACGACCTGTTCGAGGACATCCTTCTTGGCCTGCTCCTGCCACGGCCATGTGTGGGCAGTTCTCAAACGGATGGTCTGTACTGGGGTACCCATACACAGATGCAAGTCTCGTTATAACAGGAAAGCCAAAACGGGACATGATGTAGAGAACAGCCCATATAGTTGATGTGATCCTTGCCAACAGAGCACAGAGCCACGCAGATCGAAAAGGATGTGAGGTGCCATCCGCAGATTCAGTGTTGACTGTCGTGGCCACTTGCAGTGCACAGCCCGAGAGAGTCGGGCAAAAACATCGCCATGTTGTCGAGATCTGATTCCACCAGGCGTCTCAACTCCGGAAGCCCCAACCGCAATGCCAATCCCAACCTCAACCCTCCTAACCCTCCTGCCTCCAGCACCAATGTGGCGTTCAGCGCCCGCTGGCCTTGCATGGACTCCTGGGCGTGGAAGCGGCTCTGGGTTTGGGGGCTGAAAGGCTTGAGAGTTAACGGTCAAGAGAGTTTTGGTTTCTATAGGGCATGGTCATGGTCTCTCGTAACCCCAATTCCTAACCCCTGCACACAAACCCCTAATCCTAAACCGCTGAATTTCGGACATGAGTTGATTAGATTTCATGAGAACTTAAAACCATAAGTCCATTTAAACGGCGGAGTGAAGTCTTAGGATGGAGTCTCAGAGGCCCTAAACCATGAAATCCCATGAAATGACGCTTCAGGCAATCCGTCTGAGATTTCTTTCTTCGAAGTTCACGTTCACTCCAGAGAAGATGGCTGAAGTGAAGCTCTATGACTGCTTGGCTTGGTGACGACTGGGTGACAGGTGGGCCTGGGATGACGGCTAGGCGCGGTGGAAGTTTCGGGTGCTAGGGTTTTCTGGCCTCCTGGATCCTGTCGACATGCACGCGCATGGTAGCGAGGAGCCTGCAAAGTGGGCAGCCGCCAGGCGCCAGGGGGGTTGAGGGCTTCCGGGTCGCAACAAGGATGCCTTGTTGGGTACCTTGAGAAAAAATGTAAGTATCAGAAACATGTATATGTATATATGTATGTATATATATATATGTATGAAATGCATGTACATGCGAATGGCCCCGAGCCACTTCAAATCCCAGACTATTTCGAGCGGAGCTTGTGTGATCCGATGCCGCCTTCGCAAGTCCTCATTCTCGGCTGCGACGCCGCGTGCCTTGCAAAGGTTTCTTTCAAGAGGCGTCTTTCAAGAAGAAGCATCGAGGCTCTGTGAACAGATTCTACAAACGAAGAGGAGGGGATGTTCTAGTTGGATCATCTCTTTCGCCTTTTCTGGGGGGGGGTTTAGGGCATCGGCTTGGGGCCGTTGATTGCGCTATTGGAGCTCTCCGAGCCTGCTGCGCGCTCTTTTTCTGCGCTCGAGCTCGTAGATTTCTTTGTGGCGCACACTGGTTGCGGCTGCAGAACTGCACAACGTGCGGCCTCTTTGTGGATCTGTTGCAAGCGCCGGCGGAGGCGGGAGCGCTCGCCGCAGCTATGTGCACCACCTAAGTATTGCCACTTCCGAGTATGGAGGGCAGACGAAGTTTATTTCCGAAACGTTCAAAGGGAAAGGATCCAATGGTACAGACATGTACAGACATCTCAGCCGCCGGCTCCCTGCGTCGGTTTTGTTAACGTCGTTGATTCGATGATGCCTTCGCGGGACTCGTGGAAAGTCACACACTGCCACGCCGCTACACCACCAACATCCTTGACAGCGATGGCACTCGGTGAGGCCTCGCTTCATCCTCCACAGCCGTTATCCTGCAGCTCCACGGCCATGTTCAAGCATCTCAGGCTCCGACGTTGCGATGCAAAGACATGTTCATCCCTCCCCTAAGGTTCTTAAGGTTCCCTAGCTTGCCTCATGTTACCTCTATGCTTGCAACACTCCCCAGCTCTGACGCGTAAAGCTTCAGGACCCTAAAACACAGGGATGGCAGCCCCGACATGTTTGATGCGAGAACGACAACAATCACGAGGATCGCGACCCCGACCCCGATCCCTGCAACTGTCAACGCATAGGACACATGAAGACGGGTTAGGGCAGGACGGCGAACCGCAGCGAACCCATCCCTGTCAGCACCTTTCCACCCGACTCTTGACACGTGGGATTCGGCAACTACAGTTGCCGAGCTTGTGGATACTGAGGCGACGATAGCTGTGCCACCTCTTCAAGGTTCAGTCAGAGTGAGAGCCGTTGCTGGGCTCAAGCGTGCTGGGCATGCATATTAGGGCATGCAACTCCCAACCCAATTGCAACTGCAGGCAATCGATGGGAGACTGGGAAATTGTTCCTCTGAACACTCCAAAGACTCCAAAGGTCCAAGACACACCAACACCGAATCAAGCCGTGGCTTTGGATGTCCTTTTTCTCGACTGGGCCAGATACGTAGAAGCTTCAACCACCTGACATGGGACTCAAAGCACCCCAAGGCCGAGGAAGTCGTCCTAGCTTCTCGCTCTGGGATCGCAGAACGAAAAACAGTGGAGTGGTTCGCTGGATGGGGCAGAAGAATCGTAGAAGGCAGTTGCTGTATGTGCCTCTGGCAGATCAACACACCCAGACTAGAACAGCACCTCAAATCTCCTTCAGAGCTTCGCTGCGGGGCTCTCGGCATGCGACTTGGGCAAGAGTGGAGGGGTCGGGGTTCAAGGCAAAGAGGTGACTTGACTTGACGTGACGTAAGGTCATGCTGGGATATGGGGGGGCAACCACGACAAACGATACCATCCATACGCATAAGGCAACAAAACAAAAGGGCCCTAGGATGCTTTGCCTCGGCGAGCTCCGAGAGAAGTTGGTCGCTGGTGCACTCCAGGTTGGTGGCCTTCAGGCCGGTGATTGAGTACTATTGTGAGTAATTGGGGGCTTCAGTGGCTCCAGTGGCCTCAGGGTTTAGCCAAACTCTTCGAGGACTCGGCTTCAGGTTTCAAGATGTCGCAAATTTCTACAGGGGACCAAGGACGGCATGTTGTCGGCACTGCTGCAGCCCAATGCCACAGAACAAGAGACATCACGTGCCTCAGCGCGTACCGTGGTGTTTTCAGTGCAGTCGGGCTCGTCGACATAGTCTCTTCCCTGCAGGGCACAAGACGGCATTCGCGGACTCGCACCAATGATGGCTAAAGATTGGGGTTGATTTGGGGGGCCCACAGAACTTGAGAGAAAGCTAGGTCCCCAAGGTGGTGGAACTCAAAGGTCCCCTTCATGTGCTGTTTGGCAAGACAAGGAGGTTGTATGTAAACACTCCCCGCAAACTCCAAGGAGCTTTCGTAACTTTAAGATCAAGCTCAAAATCCCCCCCAAAAAAACAGCTCTTTGTCGGGAAGGTTCCAGTTCCAGCCTGTTTGAAGTTGCTTGTCGAGTTGGCGATGGAATCGTTTAGTCAAAGCTCCAAGAGCCCTCTGAACCCGGAATGTGTAACCCACACATATATGGGTAAGGCACCAGAACGCAACTCATCGCATTCCAGAGATATCTAGCCGAGCCAATACAGCAAATCAAGCACAACACACAAGCCACTCTCTTGAGTTTCAAGTTGCCCGGCCCACCTCAAATACCCAAACCTTCCTCAACGTTGGTTGACACCTGCGGGCCCTGCGTGGTAGAAGTCGGGTGCGTGCTCCGCAGTGTTTGTATGCTCTTTCTTTGAAGAGGACGTCCCAGCGCATCGTAATCCCGTGCAATTCCCGAGCCCAGTTCTGACTCTAAATTGAGGGGTTTAGTATCAGCTCAGGGTTTGGGCGTGCGGCCTTCAGGGCTGCCATCTCTGCCTCCAAGAGCTGCAGGATCGCCAGGGGGCCTGTCAGAAGGCAAGGGAGCTGTGGGAGGGATAGGACCTTGTTAGGAGAGGTTAGGAGTTCAGCCTATGGTAAGGGAGGATTTGGAGTCCTGGGACCTAGCGCCATTCAATGCCTTCGAATGAACTGGAGAGGAATGCCTCTGAAACCTGGCAAGGCCCAAAAAAACCCTTGAGACCAATGACATGCCACCAGACTGTGCCTGTCAGGTTTGTCTGGCTGGAGCTTTCTGCCACTTGTTTGGCCTGCCAGGAAGGGGTCCAGCCTTTTGGGCGCAGGGCTCTGAAGTTGTACCGAAAGCACCCCATCAGGCCCCCCAAAAGCTTGTTATGGTTGATTACCGAAATGGCAATTTGGCTATTCTCCCACATCTACTCCGCATGACGCAAACACATCGACCATAGGCGGTTCAACACAGGGGTAGGGGCTCCTTTGGCCCCACCTCCACCCCCCCCCACCCACCCCCCCCCACACCCCCACCCACCCCCCAACCCTCCCCCCCTACCCCTTTTTTCCCCCCACCCCCTACAGCCCAACCAAACCTGCTTCAAAGGTGGAACCCAAAGCCCTAAGTGAGAGCATTAGACCCACAGAGGCTCAAAACCTGGAGTGAAGGTTCTTGAGGGATTAGGGTTCTGGGTATAGGGTGTAGGTTTAGGGTTAGGAGTTTGGGATTTAGGGACTAGGGTTGAGGTTTCACGGGGGGGTTGCCTATGTTGCAACCTTACGCCAACCACTCCAAGAGTTCGAAGCCTCTGCCCCCCCATTCCCACAACACGTCCTCAAACCCCCGAACCCTGGTTTAGGGGTTTAGGGTTTAGGGTTTAGGGTGTCGAGTTTAGCGTTTAGGCTTTAGGGCAACAACAATTTCCGGCTTTGAGGCTTGAGAGGTTTCGGGCCTCTTGGGTCGGCGGCCTGAGCCGGAGGCTCCTAAATCTCTCAAAGCCATTCTCTCTGGTGCCTGGTTCCTGACCTCGCGAACCAGAACCTGCTCCGCGCGGTGTCGCAGCAGAACATCGTCCTGAGTAGACTTAAGGAAATCTTATAAGGGCCCGCCGACAGGAACGCGAACGGATGTTCGGATGTTCATTGGGGCGACTTCTGGACCGGTACGTCCATATCCATGCTTAAAACTGATATGGCCAAAAACCCTAAGAAGGGTCGCCTCTTCAGCGAGGGGACGTGGAGATGAAGAGACGAATGCCCCCACAGACGGAAAAGAAAAAGAAAGGCTGTGGATTCGGAGGAATGCGGGTCATGTGCAGATGGCATTCTGAAGACCAAGCAGCACTTGCCGTCGCAAGGCCACAGGTCACAAATGGCTCTAGTTCAGGTGCAGAAAGGCTCTTACTGTATACAGCATTGGGTGATAGAGGCGTGTGCATCAAGCTTGCTGTAAGGCTGAGTACCGGTGCACCCGAGGCATCTCCTGCAATATGCACTTCCCCCCATGAAGCCTCTGTCTGCTGTGCAACAGCAGCATGAAGCAGCAGCCACAACAAGAAGGCCTGACGCGGGATTACTCTGCAAGTAGGGTACTTCTATATATATATATATATATATATATATATATATATATATTTTCTATATATAATTACCGTGAGGCATGGTCTTAAGTCAAGCTTCTGCACTTCAATGTTGGAAGAAAGCCCCGGGCTGGTTGCGGACCCTCATCCTTATTCATCTGGCGCCTGCACGCGCCGCATCATGCCCGGGCGTAGCTAAACCTCGAGGTCGGGGAAATCAAGGGCAGAGGGGCTGAGGTTCGCCGGTCCTTAAAATTTCGTACATGTTCAAAACTACAACCTCCTAAACCCCGAACCCTAAAACAAAAACCATGAAACCCACCGAAAACCTACGTAGCTTGAGATAGATCAGAAGGACCTTGAGGAGTCCTGAGCTCGCGACTAGATGGCCTTGCATGCGCCAGGCTCCATGGCTGACAGCACGGACAGGCCCAGGGCGTGCAGGGTTTTATAGGGCTGTTCATGGGTTTAAGTGGGCTTACATGAGTTTGCGCCGAAATTTAAGTGGCCTTCGGTGTGTGCAAGAATTCAGTGTGTACTCTGCACTCAACCCTGAACGGGTTCTAGAGTTCTGGGGCATGGATCTAGAGCAGCATGCGGGAATCATCTGTGCCAAGGTTGAAAGTGGAGAAACCTGGCACGTTCAATGTTTCAACCTGAGGCAGGCAAGGGATTCCGCCTGCGCCTTGGGCAAGAAAGACAACCGAAGGCCGGGCATACGAGCAGTTACCTTACTGGCCCTAAGTTTTCCACACCTTTCCACGCAGCGGGCGTCCTGATCTCAGCTTCTCTCTCGTGGCTGCTTTCCAAAACCCTGGACCACATTCCTTCTACTGATGCGCAGCTGGCGATCCTTTTTTGCTGTGTGGCAGTAGAACCAATGCCAAAGACATTCAGCTGGCAGAGCAGCCCACGCGTCTATGGAAAAAAGACGAGCTCTGGCCTTTCATTGACACTCCGCCCCCCCTACAAACATGGCGCAAAGTTTCTGATGTTGCTGCTGTCCTACACGAAAACGGCACACTAGCAAAGGCCACAACACGCTCCACCCCGGCGAGGGCCAGGATGGGAATCATTAGCTCAAGGAGGGTGGTCAGCGGCCTGAAGCATCCATGTAACGGACATGCAGTGTAGGCCAGGCCCAAGCTGTAGAATAAATAACACAAGGGCGAGCGGGGGAGCACGGGCACCCCTCCAACAACAACCATCCTGTGAAGCCCTGACACGCCAATCCCGTCTCAGAATCACATGCCCAGCTTCAACAAGTAGAACACTGTCACTTCCAAGGCAAGCAGCACTCGTCAAGTCCACCTCCTCCTCCACGAAAGCGGAGCAAGCCGGATGTGGGACATGCAGCAAAAGCTCTCACGACACACTGAACCCGAAAACTGAGCCGGTGTTGAAAGTTCCATGTGCTTCGTTGCAGTGCTGAACTTCATGCTTAGGCAGGTGCACAACTAAGTTCAACAAAATGTGCCCTCATCACCTTTGGAACTTGAAGCACTCTAAGATAGCGCGTTTCCCCCGCTGCTATCTCCCGCTTTCATACGTGTAGGAACTCTACTCAGAGTGAGGCCTCCGGTTCGGGACATGCCAACCTACAACTATCCGAAGGGTGTAGCGTTTCTCTCTTGCATCTTCCATCAGACCAGTGCTTGACGAAATCCCGCAGCACCCACTCAAAATATCTACAACCAAGGCACCAAGATGCAAGTATTGAATCCCTGTAACTTGTGCCAACTTACCCGTTGCTTTGGCAGAGCTGCATTTTATTCCCCAGGAACAAGTATGTAGCGCTTGACTCAAGAAAGGGCAGCCGTTCCAAGTTACTCATTCACTGAGTTCACCTGGATTATTCCCCCAATCCGCCCCCCTCCCCGCCCCAATCCTGCGATTCACAAGAAGACCTTTGCCACAAAAAGAGCTACCCATGGATAGATAGATAGATAGAGGGAGGCAGACGGCACGCATGTCCATCATCCGCATACCCCAATCCTAAACCCGAGCCCGAAATTTGTCAGCTCAAAACCCTGTGATGCTGTCCCCCCTCCGCCCTGAAGCTCCTCGGACAGCGTCTCATTGGTACTGCTAGCCTCCAGCGCAGCATCCACTCTGACCATTGCCATCTAAGGGTTCGCATTTAAGGGCTACCGGGTTTGCAGACGCGCCATGCAACGGCTCGGGTAATCTGGCAGGTGTTCCCAAGCACGCCAAAAAGAAACGAAAGAATAACGTGCTGCAAAGTGCTGCCGAGCTCACCATTTCCTCGCGGGAGGGCGGGCGCACCACGAGCCTGGGAAAGTGCTTGCAACAAGTCCAGAAATAATCTCCTCGAGCCATTTCTGGGATTCCGTGATACCTCAACGACCTTAACGCCTTAATTCGCCTCGGCCTCCGGTCGACAGGCGTCTGGAACAGGCAGCCCAGGACCTGGGTCGTCCTTCCCCCCCTCTCCAACCATTCCCCCCATCTCACCACCCCTCCATCCCCCACAGGCGGGGGGCTCGACCCGCGGTCGATTTCATCTGCAACCTGGAACCTCCGAGGTGCACCGCTTGGACCAGCGACGTGCACGTCCCGTGGCTTGGCTCGGCTGCCAAGGCAAAACGTGAATGCGCTCTGGGAGGTCCAAATCCCTGGTAGCTCAGCAGACGGGCTTGAGCGGCTTGAGTGAATCGAGCTCTGAAGACGAAGGGCTCTGGGTTTGAGGGTTTGCGGGAAGCGCCTTCGGGATTGCTCAGGTTTAGAACCTTCCGGGATGTGGCGCAGGGCGGGAGCATGATTGGGATAACTGGAAGTCCGAGCTTCCAGCCTGTCGGCATCATTGTCGCTGGTCATGTCGACCTGCCCATGCGTTCCCTGCGTTCTTGGCTCCAATTCTGTGGGGTTCGCTTTTGTTAAGAGAAAGGTCAGGGGTCGAGGCATGCAAAATCAAACTCGTTTGTGGGGGCCTCGAGATCAGCTTGCAAAGGCAGTTGCTTCGGCTGCCGCATGCGCTGCACCTTTGGGCAGCAAGACGTGGGATGACGGCGGGTTCAGAAGCGTCGCTCCACTGAGACGCCAGCCAAGGATTGCCTCAAGACTCAGCCAAGTCTTCGTGTCTAGGAGTCGCATTTCTCACAAGACTCCACCCTTTTGCATTCCAGCTGCACATCTGGATCCATTGTTGAGATCCGGGTATCAGCTCCTGAGCAGGGCACCAGTCGCTTCTCGGGCTTAAGGTTTGCCATGCGGTCCTGGCTTGCTCTTTGCGCTTCGCTCTCGTGTTGGAGAAGGCTCCTCGATCCGGCATTTGCGGCGTTGACTTCTCAAAGAAAGTTCGCACCAATGCACAGAGCTCCTGGGAGCTCATGACGAGCAAGGTGTCCTGAGAGGCGCTGTGAGATCGCAGCTTCGCCTGCGCGAAGCATGTGGCAGGGGCCTTTTAAAATCTTCAAAGCCTTTGTCAGGCCAAAATCAAGGGCATCCGCGCATTTCTTCGTTGCGCGTGCGAGCCCTACAATGTGCAGCCAATTGCTGGTTGTGGAGCGTGCAAGCCGAAACCTTGGCAAAGCAAAACCTTGAAGTGGTGAGAGGAAAGACCATTAGCTTGTCACTACTTGTTCGCAGCCCCCAGAACCCGGAGCCCAACTCCTGAAAACCTTCGCACGGAGCAATGTGGTGCATGCGGAGCATGCAGAGCCTCATCGAGCTCCTGCTGGAGGAGGCGGCCCGAGCTTTTCTCTTCCTCGCACACTGCGCTCGGGGGCTGTGGGAGCCGGTCTTTGAAGATTTCAGGTTCACAGTACGCGGACGATAACTAGACACAACCTCCCTTTTCTCTATTTGAATCGAACCGGCATGTTCACAAGTGAGTACGAGAGTCTCCCCCCCCCCCCCCCCCCCCCCCCCCCCCCCCAAAAGGAGTCTCATGATGGGACAGTGACGCTGCGCCTGTAGAGCTGCCCGAAGGCCTCGGGTTGAACATGAGCCTATGGTAGCCTAGCTGGGCCTCGGCACGTAGGATGCAAAGTTGCAGAAGCCTGGCTAAGGAAAAGGTTGTCAACCAGGCTTCCGAGCTTCCGCATCGATTCCATGTCACAAACCAATGCAAGAACAATGCCTGACCCGAGGCAGCACTCCACTTTGCATTGCTTAGGCCGCTGCTGCTTTCTGCATTGCGCCGTTCACGAAGGGACGACCTACGATGCTCAGTCACCATGCGTGCCTTGGCCGCGGGTGCAGACGCATGTAAGACTCACGCCTCAGGTGCTCCACATCGGATTTGTACATGTCGCGCTCTTTTTCCAATGCCGCCTTAGGACTTAGGGCCAAAGATGCGCAAAGTGGAAACTGAGCATCTCAAGCCTCAGCAGGCATGGCACGAGCGTGCTCCAAAGGTATTCCAAGGTGAGGAGCGGACGATGCGCTCGTCCGCCTCCAGAAGCTTGGTCTTCACCTCTGGGAGTGTGAGCAGTCGAACGGCAACAACACATGACTGAAAACGGCACCAGAAAGAGCCCACGCTGCTCACAGTACTCCACGGCGCCTGCTCCAAGGAGCCCTGAACTGAAGCATGTGCTTCAGCTTGCTTCTTCGCCTGCCCGAACTGGGAGGTGAGTGTTTGAGCATCCCTCGTTGACCCTGATGCTTCTGAGGGTGAAGGTGTAGGCAGTGCAGTTTTTGCGGCTGGGGTGTTGAGCACTTGTGGTTGATTTCACGGGGAGATCCCCTCTTCAGTCTAGCTTGTCCTAACCCGCACCAACCAGACCGAGCCCGCTGTGTCTGCAAACCTTTCTCAAGTTCTCCCACCTCGAAAAGTTCTGTTCGCAGCGTGCTCCGCTCCTTGCGAGATGGGCTCCAAAAAAAGGCAGATTCAGTCCTGCAAGCCCCTGCAAACCGGCTCGACCTTTTGTCTTGCGCCAAGCAATGCCAAGCATGACTCAGCTGTTCCGCTCGAGCTGAACCCATGCGAGGCGTGAGACTAAGCCCAGGCCTAAGCTCGATGAATGCTATGGATCTCGATCTCTTGCGAATCTCTGAGCCGTCGCCGTTCCTCGTTCCTCCTTCTTGAAAGGAACAAAGTTGCACCAGCCAGCATGATGAAAAGGACCACAACCGCCAACCAGAAGTAGAAATCATTGCCATTATCCTCATTGCGAATCTCAGCAGTAGTGGTGGCTGCGGTTTGGCCGTCGGTCGTGGTGTCGGTGCTGGTGCTGGCGCTGGTGGCACCGGCGGCGGTGGTGGTGGTGGTGGTGGTGGTGGTCGTGGTCGTGGTCGTGGTCGTGGTCGTGGTCGTGGTGGTGGTGGTGGTGGTGGTGGTGGTGGTGGTGGTGGTGGTGGTGGTGGTGGTGGTGGTGGTGGTGGTGGTGGTGGTGGTGGTGGTGGTGGAACTCGGCACTGTAGCAGCGTTCACTTCCGGAAACTCCCCTTGCATTTGGGGTATGACAGGCGGTCGTGGTGGAAGCTGGGCTGGGCCAGGTCTCTCCGCATTGCCGAGGCCGAGGCAGTTGCCCTCTGCTATCCTGTACATTCCAGCGCACCTGCTCACTCCGTCTGCCACCAGCCGAGACTCCAACACTTCCCGGACATTTGCAGACCCTGGGATCGCAGAGCTGAAGGCGTAGAGTGCGAGAAACACATGCTTCTGAGCAACCGCGTAGTGACCTTGCACATGGAGACCGCCACTGCAAGCATTTGGGAACTCCTGGAAGGCCTTGCTGCAAGTCATTCTAAAGGCAGCAACCTGTTTGCAAAGCAGCTGTGGGAGAGCGGGCTCAGGACCCTGAATTGAGCAGGCCTCCCGTGTTGGATAAGCAAGCGCTGGATAGTAGCTTCTGTCCACATCTGCTCCTGGCAGCTCCTCGAGCAAGTAGGGATCGGCAAAGCACTCGTCGAAGCACTTCATGGCCCAGTCTCGTAGAGGATCCTCTCCATCCCATGAAGTGGGCGTGCATCTGCCTGCAGTCTCCTCTGTCCGACCTGCCAGCTGAGCGGTGCATTGGAGCTCCGCCTCGGTTTTGCCAAGCAGGACACCCAGAAGAAGCAGCCGGATCACTGTCATGGCAGGGGGCCTGAGTAACATGATTTCGGAGTATTTCGCAGCAAAATCGCCAGCGCTACCATCAGACAAGCTCACAAGGATCGCTCGCTGAAGGACCACTGGCAGCGGCACAGGCAACGGGATGCCACGCGCTACGGCTACGGAACCCAGCAGTATGCAGCTGTTCAGCAGGGCGCAAGCTCTGAACTCTCCCGGCACTCCTCCTCAGCACCGCGGAACAGGGACGCCTTCTCCTCCAGCTGGCTCCTGAAGGCATCTCGCTCCTCGGGTTGACGTGGGTTCACCAACGCATACCAGGCGAGCAAGGCGAGCCGAACTGCCTCTGTCGTGCTCTCCTGAAAACTCAACCCTTATCCCGCAGATTCCTTGGAGTTCCCGGAGTCCCCCACCAAAAACTCCCTTTTTTGCGGGAGGGATGCGGAGGCCACGTCCACCTGCTGAAGCCGGTGCTTCCGCCGCTCCTTTCGTGTTTGGACACTGCTCGAAGCACTGGGAGCTCTTGGCGCTCGGGGCCTCTTCCAGCGCCTGGCGGGACAGCTGCTTCTCCTGAGCGCACCAATTCAAAAGACCGAAGAATTGTCAAGAAAGGATGTCAGATTTGAAGCCGCTGCACAGACGTAATCACAATACTTTTTTCATCGTTGCACCTCTGTGACTCTCCGACAAGACGAGTCGGCAACCTGCAAGCCCTCCGCAAACCTTCGGTTTCCGGCCTGCTGCAGAGACTGCCGGGCGGTCGACAGCTCCTCTGCATGGGTTGAGAAAGTGACATGCAAAGTGGCCCAAGAATGAGTGAACCCCGGGTCTGGGTCAGTGCACAAAAAACCCACAAAAGGAAGCACGTCCATCGAACCACTCTTAAGCTGACAAGCTCTAACGGCTAACGTTGAAATCTCGTCGCATGGGAACAAAGACTGACATGACTTCCATGGCTTGTTGGATTGTTGGCCACCAAAGCTCACCAAAATGCCCCAAGCCCCACCACCCCAAACATCCGGAACCCCCGAAAGTTCAAACCCAGCGATCCCCTCAGCTCCATGCGTCTTCCAGCCGCTGGAGCCTCTCTCGGAGGTGGCTCTCCTGGTGTGCTCTTTGCGTTCAGGGAAGCCTTGGGGTTGTAGAACCGAGGCAAACGAACAACAAAACCTTGGGAACTTCTGGATTGATGTTTGACCTCCTCCATCCTTTGCTGCATCGCACGCTTCTCCTCTGGCACGGAGGAACAGCTGTGCAAAGAGCGGTGGCAAGCGCTCGACCCTCGTGCGAAGCCACAGAAACCCACACGGAAACCCACAGAAAATCCGACTGCACCTCCTGCAGAGACTTCTTTGCAGCAGCCAAATCCTCGATTGCAGAGCTACTAGTACAACCAGATTGGATGCTGACACTTCAGCTGAATGACGGATCCCTCAAACCCAAAACCTTAGGCCCGAATCCCCTTAAACAACAAAAGCTTGGATTCAGGCGGTTTCGACTTGACCCAGGCTGTCTCGCAGGCTGCGCTCCTACACTGCACTGCCACGTGCTGCCTGAACCTACTGCTCTTTGGGGGGGTACAAAGTAGAAACGCTTAGGGTTGTGCAATTTTGTGTTCGGGGCTGCGGCTCCTGCTGCTGCTGCTGCTGCTACAATAAGCTGTATACCTTGTCCTATTCTTCTGTCCAGGCAGAAATCACTCTCCTTGATTGGAAGAACACCACACGTAACAGACACCTTCTGAGACCTCCTTGGGGCCTTGGCCTTAGAAGTTAGAAGATCACCTAGGCGATGACACGGGCAATGCACGCTTCATGCTTGAAAGCCTCATGATAAATGCTCCTCTCCTCTTCCACCTTCTGCCGTGTGAGCCTCCTTTCCTGAGAGTCCGCCAGGCTTTGGCTCGTGGTCGCACGGTCCTACTGCCGATTTTTGCAACGAATTGCGCACCTCCTGCAGGGCCTCCTGTTGGGATGCCAAGTCCTGGAGTGAGAGGATGCGAAAGAATTTCTGAAAGAATTTCTGAGATGAGTCAAAGAAGGTCAAACGGTTCAACACTGAGCTGAGGCAAAATTTAGGCTGCCGGCGGCTTCTGCTCGCTGCAAGCTCTCGCGAAGGCTGCGCTCCTGCGGATTTCGCGCGTTAGTCACGGGTGGAGCCTCACGGCTTCACGGTTTGCACATCTTGGCACGGTGCACCCTGCGACTATTCTGGAAACACCTATTTTGGAGTTAATGCTATTCAGCCATTCAAAACCCTTCGGTCTCCTGTTCGGCCTTCTGCTGCATGAGGCGCGTCTCCTCGCGCGGAGCTCGAAAGGACCCTACACTGCCCTGCAGCAGACGTGTCTCGCACGTTCCCGTTCAGCGCTCCGTGTCAAGTCGCTGCTGAAGACCGCCGAGTGCCTCACAACACGAAAAAACAAGAAGTGGCATGAAGCAAAAAAATGCGAAATAATGCTTGAACCCATTTGAACTCACTCATCGAAGCCGGGCTACGGATCCGCTCATCTCCAGCTCAGCGCTTTGACTGGTGAGCTGCGTTTTCAAGCCTCGGGAGCAAATCATCTGGTGAAATTAGAAGCCTACCACTTGCACGGTAGATTTCTGCAACTGGGGTGTCTAGGTACGTAGCTACCGGGAGGGGCCGTGTGGATGCTTCGGGGATGCTTTGGGGCCGATCGACATGGACGGATCTCTGGACGTTTCCAATTTCAAGACGTTCGTGTGGGTTACACTGACGAACGCCTAGCCGCCCCAGCCGGAGTGTAACCTCTCAAAGGCCTTGGCCTTAAAAGAGGCTCCAGCTGCTGTTAGACTCATGAGTGCCCTGCTCGCTCGCTCTTGCACCCAGGTCTCCTGCTCATTGCCCGGGACCATCTGGAACCCCAAGAGTCACGCTAAGTCGGTAATCCCTCCCTGCAGAGTCCTCAGATTTTTTGAAGGTTTGGGCATGCTCGGGCAACCATCTTCCAAAACCTTCTGAATTCAGGCGCTCCTCGGTCTCTTGGAGGCGTTCCACCTGCAGCTGCCTCGGATCAGGGATCAAGGGCTCAAAAGGATGGCGCCACAATCTCGAAGCCTTCAGGGGCTGGTTTTAAGACATAAGACTCTAAAACACTCATCGGGCCGACGTCCTCAAGTCTTGCTTTCTCAATTCTGGGGCCCTGGCAGATGCTCGACCCTTGAACCTGAAACGCAAAGATCTGAGCTTGTGGCCCTACCAACGACTGCTGTCACGAAGCCGTCAGGCACTGAGACTGAGATGTGGGTGCGAGGTCAGTCAGTGTGCGTCGCTGGCTTCGTTCACGGAACATTGGTGGCAGGGTCGGCCCAGGCTTGCCATCTCATCTCCATGTCCCACAAGCTTTGCTCCATGAGATGAAGAAACCCAGAGGAGAAACTTCCGAAAGTTCAGGCTTTACACACTCTGAGAGCAAACAGCCGGGGCACCAGCCCTGTGACACCAGCTTCGTCTGAAGCTCTCGCACCTGTGCCTGGCTGCAAGTATTTTATGCCATGGTCGGTCTCATCATAAGAGGACCCAACGACTTCGAGTGCTTCATAAGGTAAAGCTACAAACGCAAAGAACCTGACATGGCGTTGAGGACCACGTCCCCAAAAAAAACTGAGCCTAAACGCCTGACAAACTTGGCGTATTTTCGGGGTCAGGGCGGGTCTGACGTCTGATTTCTGGACCCGTCTCCCGCCTCGAGACCTGCCTTCTCGTCGCTCAACTCACCGAGGCTGGCTTGCATAGAAGTCTCCCTGCCCACAGGCGCCATGCAAAAACTTGTTTATGGGCAAGTTTTTGCATAGTGGTCATAGTGGCCCAAAGAGCAGACCTAGCACCGCCATAGCACCGAAAAGGCAAAGCGGCCTCCTTTCCGACTCCAGCCGCTTGGCGACTTCGTCCTTCAACCTCCCCTCGCGGGTCTCAAGAACATTGGGGCTACCGACCAAGAGGCAGCAATTCGAAGGTGCCAAGGCGCTCAAGATACCGAGCTGCCGACCTCCTGCTGTTGCAAAGATAGGAGTTGCCGCGCCTTCTTCTGACTTCTTTTTGGAGGGGTTACTTCTAAACCCAGGGGGTGGAAGAAAGTTGCCAAAGCCGCTTACAGCGTTCCACCTCAAAAGCCTCACACCTCATGAATCTGAACTTAGGGATTCAAGGCTTCAAGATAAGATACATATATATATATATATACTCACCCCCCCCTTCGACAGACCCCGGAATCGCAAAAAAGGCAAAAAGGCGGAGGGTGCGACGGACAGCATAGCTGCACACAGTAGCCAGACACGCTAACAAGCAATATATTTATATGCATATATACTTTTGGTAAATATAATAGGAATCTTATTAAATGAAGAGGAAACCCTTTAAAATGAATGAGACCCTTAATACTATTAAATTCAACGGAAACCCTATTCAAATGACAGAACCCTATTTAAAGTTGATAGGAATCATATTGCATTTGTAGGAGCCTTATTAAAAATAGGCAAACTATGAAAATTCATTGGATTCTTACAAACACAAATAGGAATCCTCTACTTAAATCCATAGGAACCCTATTAAAATTAATCGGAACTGTATAAAAAACAATAGGAAGCCTATGAGCATGAATAGGAACCCGATTAAAGTTAATGAGAGCCCTATGATAATTGATAGGAATCCTAATAAATTGAAAAGGACCCCTACTAAAATTAATAGGAATCATTGGGATTCCTATAAAAATGTGAACCCTTAACTAGTAGGAATCCTACTAAAATCAATATGAGCCTAAACCAATAGGAATCCCTTTCAAATGAATGAGATCCCTTTTAAAATTGATACGAATCCAATGAACATGAGTAAGAGCTCTGAAATTGATATGAATCTTTCTGCATTAGTAGGAGCTTTATCCAAATAATTAGGAACCATATGAAACTTTACTGGAATCCTATGAAAATAAGTAGGAATCTTTCGGAATCCTGCCGAAATTTATCGGATAAGCGAATAGGAAGCCTATTAAAATGAATAGGAAC